TAGCTTCCCTAAGGCCGCGTTGACGTTGACCACGAGCGCCCCTTGCGTGGCGGTGCATCTCAAGTAGGAGAAGGTGTCCTTGAAGATGAGGCCGAAGCACTGGAGCAGCGAAAGAATGATGAACTGATCTTGAGGTTCTAGATATTTCTATTTGGGAACAATATGAAAGTGCTTTGGAGCTTCTAGTGTCATTTGACAAAATCAGTTTAATCTTAGCAGGTACTAGCCCCGCCCACCCACCCTCTCTTTTCTTAGAGGATATGTCATTGCCAAAATCGGTTTTATCTTAGCAAGCACTGATGACTAACTTTTACAAAAAATGATCAAAATTTGGGAAAATACGAGCTTACTTACCTGTTCAAAATAGCAATTTTAAACAACTTCTCTAGGGTTTACTTGGTTTATGCTTTAATGGATTTTTCTTTTGTTGGTTTTGTATTTGTTTGTAATTTATAAATGTCTTATTAAATGTTTTTGGTTTATTTATTAATGAAAATAACAGCTTGTTTTCTTAAAAAACCGAAAACCTGATTAAAAAACTGAAAACCTGAAGAATTGAGAAATCGATAAGTTGAAAAACCTTATATCGAGGAATCGAAGTTGAAAAATTGAAAAATCACGAAACTGAAAGATCCAAAAAATGGAAAAATCGAAATACCGAGAAGTCGAGAAGTCGAGAGATTGAGAAACCGAAGTCGAAAATTTGAAAAATCAAGGAACAGAAATCGAAAAAACGGGAAATTGAAAAATCTCAAAACTGAAATATCCAAAAATGGAAAACTCGAAATATCGACAAGTCCAAAAAACCGAGATGGAAATAGTTACAAAAATTATGCAATTGAAAAAAATTAGAAAGTTGAAAAGTCGGGTTATCGAAAAGACGAATAATTGAGAAATCAAAAAGTCAAAAAGTTGTGAATTCGAAAAATTGCAAAACTGAAATATTGAAAAATCGAAACATTGAGAAATTGAAAAATCAAAACTTCGAAAAATTTAGAAATCAGGAAATAAAAAAGTCAAGAAATCGACAAATGGAAAATTCGAAAGACCGAGAAATCCAAAGAGATCTAGGAAATAATAGAATTTGTCACCAAAGAGAAAAATTAACTTAATGAAAGTTTGTATAAAAGTTTAGAACATTAAAAAAGAATCTTTTATCTTAGCAGGTACTAACCCCGCCCACCCGCCCTCTCTTTTTTAGAGAGTATGTCATTTGCCAAAATCAGTTTTATCTTAAGAAGGTTGAGGAATTTTTACTTCATTTCCATACTGTATTCTAGAATAAGTCTAAGAAATTTATTCTGAAAGAAGAAGAATTTCTATGTCAACGTGAAATTAAATTTATAGAGTTACATATGACGTGATCTCAAAGGAATTCTAGAAGCCTTAAATACGGAAAATAGAAAAGGTAATCAAAGAAGAAAAAAGGTGGTCACCATGTTACTGAAGAACTTCAAGATAGGAAATTGAAAATTGAGAAATCAAACAGTTAAAAAGTTGAAATATCAAGAAACAAAAATTGAAAACAAGAAATTGAAAAATCCAAAACATGAAGAATCGAAAAATTGAAAAATCAATATATCTTTTTTTCCAAAGGTCTATGTCCGTTATCTTTGACGTTTCTCAACATCTATTTCGAGTTTTTCTATTTTTCAATTTCTCGATTTTTAATTTTTGATTTTTCAAAATTTGTAGATTTTTCAATTTTTCGATGTCTCAAGTCAGTTTCCGGATTTTTAATTTTTGGATTTTTGAAAAATGTTTTATTTTCAGTTCTTAATTGCTCAATTTGGTTATTTTTAGATTTTTCAATTTATAGATTTGTCTGTTTCTCAATTTTTTTTTGATTTTCAATTTTAGTTTATTGACTTTTATTTTTTTTACACTTTTTCGTACTGCGCATTTTTGATTGTTCAGATCTTCAGTTTATCGCTTATCAATTTTAAGAGTTTTCAACTTTTGATTTTTCAATTTTTTTCCCTCAATTTTTAGCCTTGCAATATTTCAATTTTTCAAATTTTCGGGGTTTTCAATTTTTCCGTTTTTAATTTTTCATTTTCTCAATATTTAATTCTTCAGTTTTTTGATGTCTCAGTGTTGCAGTTTTTCGTTTTTTCAATTTTGGATTTTTCAGTTTTCCGATACAATCGAAGTCGAAAAAGTGAAAAATGGAAAAATTAAAAAGTTGAAAAATCAAGAAACAGGAATGAAAAAACAAGAAAACATGAACAATCGAAAAATTGAAAATCAACATATCAAAGTCGGAAAATTGAAAAACTGAAAAAAATCAAAATTTTGAAAAAAATGGGAAATCCAAAAAACCGAGATATCGGAACGTTGAGAAACTAATAAATCTAAAAAAATGAAAAATGAAAAATTCGAAAAATCGAGGCATCGAAAGAGATCCAACAATCCGGAAATTGAAAAATCAAAAAGTTGAATAGAGAAATCGAAAAGACGAAAAATCAAAGAACAGAGAAATTGCAAACTCTAAAAATTGAGGAATCAAAAAATTCAAAAATCGAAAATCGGAATAGGAAAATTCAGAAAGTGAAACATTGAAAAATCAAAAAGTAGAAATATCGAATAACGAGAAATTGTAAAACCTTATATCACGAAATCGAAGTTGAAAAATTGAAAGATCAAAAAACAAAAATGGAAAAAGCGAGGAATTGAAAAATCACGAAACTGAAATATCGAAAAATTGAGTAATCGAAATCCCGAGGAGTCGAAAAGTCGAGAAATTGAGAAACCAAAAAATAGAGAAGTCGAAAGTGTCGAAAAAAAGTGAAATCGAAAAGCCGAGAAATCGAAAGAATTTTACAAATCTAAAAATTGAGAAATCTAAAAGTCGATAAATTGAGAAATCGAAGTCGAAAATTTGAAAATCAAGGAACAGAAATCGAAAAAACGAGAAATTGAAAAATCGCAAAACTGGAATATCCAAAAATTGAAAACTCAAAATATTGAGAAGTTCAAAAATCGAGAAATCGGAAAATCCTCCATTTCTGGATGGAAAATTCAAAAAATCGAATTGGAAATAGATCAAGATTGGAAAGTTGAAAAATCGAGAAATGGAAAAGATGAAAAATAGAGAATTCGATAAGTCAAAACGCCGAGAAATCCATAAATTGAAAAATCTAAAAATTGAAAAATGAAAAGTTCGAAAAATTTTGAAATCCGAAAATCAAAATGTCAAAATTATAGAATTTGCCACCAAGGAAAAAAATTATAATATAAGTTTGTATAAAAGTTTAGAGCATTAAAAAAAATGTTGACAGTTCTCTAGAAAATAGGAAATCGAAAAATTGAGATCTCAATGTCGAAAAATCGGGAAATCGTACAACTCAGAAATTGAAAAATTGAAAAATCAAAAAGTGGAAAAATCAAAAATCCATGTCGAAAAATTGAAAAGCAGAAAAATGGAGGTATCAAAAAGTTGAAAATACAAGAAACAAAATCGAAAAAACGAGAAATTGAAAAATCGAAAACATGAAGAATCGAAAAATTGAAAAATAAGTTGACCAAAAGAAAAACCGAAAAAATCAAAATTTCGAGAAAAATGTGAAATCGAAAAACCGAGATATCGAAACGTTGAAAAATTGAAAAATCTAAAAAAATGAAAAACTGTAAATTCAAAAATCGAAACATCGAAAGAGATGATCCAAAAATCGGAAAATTCAAAAATTCAAAAAGTCAAAAATGTCGAAAAGCTGTGAAATCGAAAAATCGAAGAACAGAGAAATTGAAAACTCTTAAAATGAGAAATCAAAAAAATTGAAAAATCGAAAAATTCAGAAATTGGTACACTGAAAAATCAAAAAGTGGAAAAACAAGAAATTGAAAAAATCCAAAGTGTCGTGAAAAAACGTGAAATCGAAAGAATTTGAAAAATCTAAAATTTGAGAAATCGAAAAGTCGATGAATTGAAAAATCGAAGTCGAAAATTTGAAAAATCAAGAAATAGAAATCGAAAAAACGAGAAATCTCCAAAAATTGAAAAATCGGAAAATCTAAAAATGGAAAAATGGAAAATTCGAAAAACCGGGATGAAAATCCGAAAGTTGAACAATCGAGAAATCGAAAAGAGGTAAAATTGAGAATTCGAAAAATCAAAAAGTCGACAAATAGAAAAACCGAAAACGATTGTGTAATATTTCGATGTTTCTATTTTTAATTTTCCAATTTTTAACTTTTCGATTTTTCGATTTCTCAATTTGTAGATTTCCGATTCAAATCTATTCAATTCTATTCCAAAACAGTTCAGGAAGGTCATGTCACTGCAAATTTGGTCAGATTACGTCAGGTCAGGTGATGTCATATCAGATTTGACCGGGTCAGGTCAGGTCTTGACAGGTCACGTAAGATCAAGTCAAGTATTGTACTCCCAGTTTAAAATGGTTTTTATGATAGGTCCATAGTGTCGAAGTTGATGATGGGGACAATGAAGTAAATCCCTAGCCATAAATAAGAAAGTGGTCGGTTTCTTGCAGGGCCGTAATTTGTTACTCAACTGATATTGTCCACTTTAAACTGGGAGTACAATACATTAAGAATGTTGGAGAAAAATTATTTCAAAAGAAGTAGAAGAATTTTTACTTCAGTTCTACATTGTATTCTAGATGTCTAAGAAGTCTATTCTGATAAAAGAAGAATTTATATTTCCATGAAAAGTAGTAGAATTCAAAGAGATTCTAGAAGTCCTAAATACAGAAAAGTAGAAGAAAGTTAATCACCATGACTTAAGAATATTTTAGAAAAATTCTAATATGAGAAAGGACACAATAGCTTTAACTTACCACCAAGGAGAAAGTTTGCATAGAAGTTTAGAACATTCTAAGAGATGTTGACAACTTTCTAGAAGAAAAGGAATCGAAATCGGTAAAAAAAGGAGTTCTAGAACAATCGATAAAAACTGGACAAAAAGAAAACTAGAAGCCAAAAGTTCGCAACAAGCGATTCTCAGACTTCAATTAAAACACCCCATAAACAACAAAACTTTATTCTTTCACTTTAGTCTTATTTCTACCCCTACATTTCACAATAACGGCCTCTGCAGACCACATCAAAATAGTGACCAAAGTGACGCAATTCATAACAACAATACAAACAACATAGCTCCCGGTTGCGTCACGAAGAGCTCCCATGATGGGTCCCCCAACCAAAATACAAATACCATTAGCCAAAGTTTCTATACCTCCAGCAGACGCCAGTTTATCGGCTGACACATGGTCCGGAATAACCAACCACATGTAAACTTTCCGAACGCCTTTAGCAATCCCCCAGGCGAAGGCAATCACTAAAAGAACGTAGTAATTTTTGGAGATAAGAAGAGCTAAAATTTTGACAGATCATAGCAAAAAACACTCAAATCGTAGTTGTTACTTACTGAATCTAACTACTGTAAGAATAGCGAGCGCGTAGACGTACATCAGTCTCGACGGTTTAGTAAAATAGTTGCCTATGTAGGGCCCCACGAAACGAAAAAGCATATCCGAGACCCCCAAAGTCGACAAAAAAGTGGCGATTTCGCCGGTCTTCAACCCAAAGTCGTGAAGAATGAAAGGCATTAAAAGAGTAAAGTTTATCTCGGCGAACGTCGCCAGTGCCAACCCGACTAAAATGTTGTCAAAAACCGGGTCCTTGAGTAAATCCAAGTCAAAAATTTTGGCAATGTTGGTCAAAATCGTCCCACATAGAGTTTCCCGTTTCTTTTCACACTCTTGACTCTTCTCGTCCGCTTAAATTACCCACCTGATTAAGAGTGACACAAATGACAATAAGTACCCAAAAGTAGCCCCTCCTCTGGGTTGTTTCGCTCCTCCTTCATGTGCCAATTCACCGGCTGGAGCAACGCAGCCGCCACGAACACATGGGTGCAGACACCCCCATAAATCAGCGCCACTTCTTGCGCGCTGTACACCCTCATCAACACCCTAATCAACTGCGGGACCAAAATGGGCCCGAACCCCGCCGCCGTCACCGCGAACCCCATCGCCACACTCCTCTTCTTCTTGAAGTAAAAATTCAAGGCCAGCCTCTGCGTGCTCTCGCTCATTTGCATACCCATCGCTGAAACTCCTCATCGATTAAAAATCCAGGCGAAATATGCGGAAGTACACGAAATGAGCCCATAGGCGACCACGAAAAAAGCGAAACTCCTGCAGAACGACGTCAGCACCATGCCTAGAGTGAGCAGCGACGCCGCCACCAGCGCGATCCTCCTGCATCCGTAGACCTTCAGCAGCACCCCGGTTATGGGCCCTATTAGCTTCCCGAAAGCCGCGTTGACGTTGACCACGAGCGCCCCTTGCGTGGCGGTGAATCTCAAGTCGGAGAAGGTGTCCTTGAAGATGAGGCCGAAGCACTGGAGCAGCGAAAGAATGATGAACTGGAAATAACATGCAGGGATTATTTTGTTGTGACCAGGGGGCGGCTTACGCTGCTTAGAGCGCTGGAGAAGACTATTATCCAGCCGTAGCCTCCGTCGGGGGGGACTTTGTTCGTGGATTTCATTTCCGATTTGTTTCGCAGAGTCATTCTTAAAGATGAAGAGAAATGTGAACTGTTGGGGCGCAAACAGGGTGACTGATGGAAATAAAAATGAGCGGGATCGGACGCCTGAGGCGGCCGTTGATTGGTTTTGGTAGCTTGATATTCGTGAAAATTGCTTGTTGGATGATTAAAAAGAGAAAATTATTTTAAATGAATGGGGAAAGTTTGGAGGTTGTATTCACCTGGCTGTGGCGGAAATCACTAGCACCGGCCTGACATCGGACACCGAATAAAAATAAAACAGTACTACGTCGATACTAATTATCTAATTTGTTAATAAAATTTATCGCTTCGGATTTATACTTGATCTTGAACTTTCCCTTTCATATTCTGCGGTTGTTTCTTTAATTAATGGGGCTGCACCACGTGTTAACAACTTTTTGAGTTAAAAAACATTCTGGTCTACACTTGAAAAATCCAAATATATATTATCCTAATGAAGCCACGAATTACTGAGAAACTTCGTAGATATATTTATCCTATTAGAATTTTTACATAAAGAATGTTTTAAAAGCGGAATACCAATTAGATATTATACATAATAAGGCCAGAGGGGATATTAGTGCTAATCAGGTTTCATACAGAAATGAATGGAAATCAGTCAATTAAAAATTATTGTGATTTCTAAGCTAGTTACAGTGTAAGACAATTATAAAACAGAATCCAGAACATAAAACGTGCGAACACGTGCCACAGTGTTAATGAGATTTCCACATTTTTTTAAATCAAACGCAGTATTTGAAAAAGTCCCGACCAATGTCATACCAACAGTGCTAGAATAGGTTCCATTTGTAGAACCGTTTATTATCGACTAAATAGATAAAAGACTAAAACCAGAAAAAAATTATGGTCAGGTCACCAAGTTGAAATAAGTTCCTCAAATTAATGACTGAAGCAAATTTTTGGGTTGGCCATTCTGAATTAGTGGCACATTGATGGTATGTCAATTCACCGTTGTCGATTTTGACATGAGCGCGCCTGAAAACCAATGAGAAAAACGTATATTATTTTAAAAGTGCTAATTATATTTAGTTTTAATTTACGTAAATTCGCCTCTTATTTTTCGCTATTATCCGTAGCTCGAGAAATTGAGAAAACAAAAATTTGAAAAATTGGAAAATCGAAAAACTGAAAAATCAAAAAATTTATATATCGCAAAATCAAAAATTTAAAAATCTAAAAACTAAAAAACCGAAAAGTCGAAAAATCGACCAATCGATTCGAAGCGACAAAAAATTGAAAAATTGTAAAATTTAGAAATCGTAAAATTCAAAAATTGACAAATTCCCAAAATCAAAAAATCGTAAAATCGAATAATTATTGAAATCGAAAAATTAAAATTTTAATAGCCGAAAAATTGAAAAATCAACTGAAAAATCAACAATCTTAAAATGTGAAAAATCGAAAAATAGAAACATCGCAGAAATGAAAAACCGAGAAATCGAAATTCAAAAAGTCTAAATATCGATTAATTAAAACATCAAATAATTGAAAAATTGAAGAATTCAAAAATTGAAAAATTCCCAAACTTGAAATATTGAAAAACTGACAAATCGAAACTTAAAAAATCTAAAATTCGAACAATTTTGAAAATCTAAAAAAGAACTTGAATCAGAAAATCGTAAAATCGAATAATTATTGAGATTGAAAAATGTAAAATTTAAACAACCGAAAAACTGAAATATCAACTAAAAAATGAACAATTTTGAAATGCAAAAAATTGTAAAATTCAGAAATTAAAAAATTCCCAAAACTGGAATGTTGAAGAACTGAGAAATTGAAAACTTGAAAAATCGAAAAATTTTGAAAATTGAAAAACCGAGAGCCCGGAACTCGAATAAAAAAATCGTAAAATCGAATAATTATTCAAACCAAAAAATGTAAAATTTAAATAGCCGAAAAATTGAAAAATCAACAATTTTAAAATGGGAAAAATTGAAAAATCGAAATATCAAAAAAAAACAAGAAAAGTCGAACTCTGAAAAGTCGAAAAATCGAAAGATCGAGCAACTGAAGCTTCAAAAAATTGAAAAATTGTAAAATTCGAAAATTGAAAAATTCCCAAAATTGGAATGTTGAAAAAAAGGCAGATCATCGAAAACTTGAAAAATTGGAAAATCGAAAAATTTTAAAAATCTAAAAATCGAATAATGATTGAAATATAAAGATGCAAAATTTAAATAGCAAAAAAATCCACAATTTTAAAATGGAAAAAATTAAAAAATAAAAATATCGAAAAAATTAAAAACCCAGAAATCGAAATCCGGAAAGTCGAAAAATTGAAAGATCGAGCAATCGAAGCATCAAAAAGTTGAAAAACTGTGAAATTCAAGAAATTTAAAAATCCCCAAAATTGGAATGCTGAAAAACTGACAAATCGAAAAATCTAAATATCGAGAAATCTAAAAATTGGAAAATTTTGAAAACCCAAAAACCGAGAGTCAGGAACTCGAAACTTCGTAAATTCGAATAAATTATTGAAAATGTAAAATTTAAATAGCCGAATAATTGAAAAATTAACTGAAAACTCAAGAAAAGTCGAAAACTCGAAAGATTGAGCAATCGAAAAATCAAAAAATTGAAAAATTGTAAGATTCAGAATTTGAAAAATTCCCAAAATTGGAATGTTGAAAAACTGACAAATCGAAAACTTGAAAACTTGAAAAATTTTAAAAATCGAAAAACGGAGTTAGGAACTCGAAACAACATTATTGAAATCAAAAAATGTAAAATTTAGATACATAGCCGAAAAACTGAAAAATTAACTGAAAAAAAGTCGAAAAATCGAAATATCGAAAACTCGAAGCCTCAAAAAACTGAAAAATTGTAAAATTTGGAAATTGAAAAATCTAAATATTGAAAAATTTTGAAAATCTAAAAACCGAGCTTCAAGAACTCCAATCAAAAAATCATAAAATCGAATAATTATCGAAATCGAAAAATGTCAAATTTAAATAGCCGAAAAATTGAAAAATCAACAATTTTAAAATGGGAAAAATTGAAAAATAGAAACGAAGAAATGAAAAACCGAAAAATCGAAATCCTAAAGTCGAAAAATCGAAAGATCGAGCAATGGAAGCATCAAAAAGTTGAAAAATTGTAAATTTCAGAAATTGTAAAATTCAGAAAATGGAAATTTCCCAAAATTGGAATGTCGAAAAGCTGACAAATTGAAAACTTGAAGAATCGATAAATCAAAAAATCCAGAAATTTAAAAAACGAAAAATTTAGAAAATCGAAAACCGAGACTCAGGAATTCGAATCAAAAAATCGTAAAATCGAATAATTATTGAAATCGAAAAATGTAAAATTTAAATAGCCGAAAAATTGAAAAATCAACTGAAAAATCAACAATTTTAAAATGGGAAAAATTGAAAAATAAAAATATCGAAGAAATGAAAAACCGAGAAATCGAAATCCGAAAAGTCGAAAAATCGAAAGACCGATCAATCGAAGCATCAAAAAATTGAAAAATTGTAAAATTCAGAAATTGAAAAATTCCTAAAATGGAAATGTTGAAAAACTGACAAATCGAAAAATCTAAAAAATTGAAAAATTTTGAAATTCTAAAAAACGGGAGTCAAGAACTCGAATCATAAAATCGTAAAAACGAATAATTATTGAAATCGAAGAATGTATTATTTGAATAGCCGAAAAATTGAAAAATCAATAATTTTATAATGGGAAAAATTTAAAAATCAACAATTTTAAAATGGGAAGAATTGAAAAATAAAACAATATGGAAGAAATGGAAAATCGAGGAATCGAAATCCGAAAAGTCGAAAAATCGAAAGATCGAGTAATCGAGGCATCAAAAAATTGAAAAATTGTAAAAGTCAGAAATTGAAAAATTCACAAAATTGGAACGTTGAAAAACTGACAAATCGAAAAATCGAAAAATCGGGAGCCAGAAACTCGAATAAAAAAATCGTAAAATCGAATAATTATTGAGATCGAAAAATGTGAAATTTAAATAACCGAAAAATTGAAAAATCAACAATTTTAAAATGCAAAAAATTGAAAAACGGAAATATCGAAGAAGTGAAAAGCCGAGAAATCGAAATCCGAAAAGTCGAAAAATCGAAAGATCGAGCAATCGAAACATCAAAAAATTAAAAAATTGTAAATCAGAAATTGAAAAATTCCCAAAATTGGAATGTTGAAAAACTGACAAATCGAAAACTTGAAAAATAAAAAATTTTGAAAATATAAAATTCGAAGGTCAAGAACTCGAATAAAAAAATCGTAATATCGAATAATTATTGAGATCGAAAAACGTAAAATTTAAATCACCGAAAAATTAAAAAATCAACTGAAAATCAACAATTTTAAAATGCGAAAATTAAAAAACAGAAATATCGAAGAAATGAAAAATCGAGAAATCGAAATCCGAAGAGTCAAAAAATCGAAAAATCGGGCAATCGAAGCATCAAAAAATTGGAAAATTTGAAATTTAGAAATCGGAAAAATTCCCAAACTTGGAATGTTGAAAAACTAACAAATCGAAAACTTGAGAATTCTAGAATCCTAAACACGAAAAATTTTGAAAATCGAAAAACCGAGAGTCAAGAACTCGAATGAAAAATTAATAAAATCGGATAATTATTGAAATCGAAAAACGTAAAATTTAAATAACCGAAAAATTGAAACATCAATTGAAAAATGTTAAAATGCGAAAAATCGAAATTGTAAAAATCGACAAATCGAAAAATTGTTGTATATCTACAGTTTTGATTTTTTTTTTTTTTTTTTCAAAACTGGATATCTAGGATGAAAATCCAACACGGATTTTAAGCCACAAGTTCAGGACTATGTTGTTTTTTAACATTTAAATAAATTCGACAAAATTGTAACATGACATCGTTAAAAAATGTTGTACAGTTTTGATTTTATTTTTCCAAAAATCTGGTTGCCTAAGATAAAAACTCAACAAGCAGACAAATTTTGATTAACGGATATATGGCAGAAAGATCTATTTTTTGTACTCTGGCGGTCATGAAACTTTGAGAAAACATTAAAGTAACCAGTTCCCCGATGGACTCGATTGCAATACTTCCTTAGCTTACGCCTGGGAAGCAAAAATGTTTAATGTAGAGTCCAACCTAACCCTTTTTACCGAACCTGTTTTCGGTCCTTTTCGGAAATATATCCATTTTCTTCCGTATTCACAACAATAACACAACACATTCTCCCTAATATTTATTAATAATAAATTAGAAATTCGCGAAATTGCTCTACTTTTACGCCAAAAGGACGCGACGATCTTGTCGCCATCAAACAGAAATTAAAACTGAACACAAAGGACCGAAGAACGTGACCTTTGGACAGGTAACTCACGTGACAGAGACGTCATCGCACGCCACGATAAGATTGCAAAAATAATTTTTCATATTTTCGGTTTGATTATCATATATTAATAGTTACTTACCATATTTGAGCTTTATAAATAATATTAATTATGTCTAAATTTTATTTAATTATATCGTGAAAATGTATAGCTTTGACCGATCAACTTCAACCGTTTCGAAATTCTTTCCAAAATTTAAACATTGTCGAGTAAACGAATCACGGAACTTGATAAATTAAAACTGAAGTCGTACTTCCGCGTTTTCGGTCCTTTTCGGAAAAATATCCACTTTCGTTCGTGTTCACAGTACTAACACAACATATTTTCACTAATATTTATTAATAATAAATTAGAAATTCGCGAAAACAACTTTCAACCAATTTTTTACATTAGTTTAAACACTTTGTTTCATATATGTAGCTAGAATTTTGCCGGTATTACATTAACTTGAATTGCTGCTAACTAAAGCTGTAAATTACTAAATATACTTTGACGATTCTCTAAAGTGACGACGTTATTGCAGTGCATTAATTTGATTAATTTATATTTGATTTTAAAGCAAACATTAGCAAGAATTCATCTAAATATGTATAATATGTGGTTCATCTAAATATGTATATGTGGTTTTAAGTTTCAAGATTATTTACTTTCATTCAATTAAAGTGTAGACAAACAATCTGCGTAGTGATAACACAATATCCACTTTAAAAATAATAAACAACAAGAAATTCTTAACAATTTTTGTGTGTGTGTTTTTTTTTTATTAAATTTGAAATTTCAATAACTATGGATCGATAAATATCGATTTGAACTGATCAATTTATAATTTCAAGTGTACGTCAAGATTATCATAAAGATGTTGTAGAAAACGCTACAGAAAATTTGTCTATTCATCTCCGCATCCATTAGTGATAGCATTCCTACTCATTGTTAATCAAATCTCACTTGAAATATGCAGCGTAACATGTTGCTTTATTTGATATTTATAAATTTATTTTAGAATAATATTATTATCCTTTCCGCAAAATTGATTACGTCATCAACGTTCCGGAGGGGATAATCACACATCTCCAATAAGTCAATTAAAATACTACAATTCCAAGATTTTTTCCGACAACCTCCAAACTCTAGACTGCATCTAGTTTAAAATAATATTGCATGAATAATTATAATTTACAACGAGAACTTATATCTTGAGATAATTAAGTCACCTTCGAACAATTGAAGTAATGAGTAATCATCAATTAGCATTACATATTCCGCCATTTGCATAATGGCGACTCAATCTAATTAATAGCACATTTACTGAAATAACGAAACAATAATGGCAAAATTACAACACCAAATTGACCCTCCACCCAAATCCAAACCCAAAAACCCAATCCTCCCCAACACCCATCCCATCCTCCCGAAGGTCAACCCATTCAACCTTGCTTTCCCTCCATTCCAATCCACTTTTCTCCATTTCCAGCTTAGTCTCTCGTGCATCTACACCATGAACCCTCATCTCCCGCTCTGAAACCCACCAACCACACAATGACAATTTCCTCCACCCCACAACCCGACGGAGGCTACGGCTGGGTCATCGTCTTCGCCAGCGCCCTCACCAACGTAAGTAGAGGGTTGGGGGGCAACCCTAACCGTCACTCACCCACCCATTTCAGTTCATCACTCTCTCCCTCATCCAATGTTTCGGGCTCATCCTCAAAGACACCTTCACGGAGCTCCACCTGTCCGCCATGGAAGGCGCACTCATCATCAACCTCAACGGCGCCTTCGGCATGCTCACGGGCCCCATCACCGGAGTGCTGCAAAAGGTCTACGGGTGCCGCATCACCGCCTTCGGTGCCGCTCTTCTGCTCACGACGGGAATGGTGCTGACGTCGTTCTCGAGGAGCTTCCTCGCCATCGTGGGGTCGTACGGAATCGTCACTTGTAAACAAATTTGAGTTGGTTTTTCTCGAGTTAGATTGGATTTTGTAGCTTTGGGGATGCAGATGAGTGAGTCTACGCAGAGGTTGGCGATAAATCTGTACTTCAAGAAGAAGCGGAGTTTGGTGACGGGGTTCGTGATGACGGTGGCGGGGTTCGGGCCTATTCTCATCCCCCAGCTTATTGGGATTCTGCTCAAGGTGTACTCCACGGAGGAGGTGATTTTGTTGTATGGGGGGATGTGTGCGCACATTTTCGTGGCGGCGGCGCTTCTTCAGCCGGTGGAGTGGCACGTGGAGGGTAAAGGGACACGTGAGGAAAAAATCGAATTGAAGGAGTTAGGGAGTACCGACGAAGAAGAGAAGAAGTCTTTCTGTGCTTCGGTTTTAGAAACTGTGGCCCGGATTTTCGATTTAGATCTTCTCAAAGATCCAGTTTTTGACAATATTTTGGCGGGGTTGGCTTTGGCGAGTTTTGCGGAGCTCAACTTCACCCTTCTCATCCCTTTTATTCTCCACGACTACGATTTGACCACCGACCAGATCGCCACGTTTCTTTCCACCCTAGGTGTAGCAGATATGATTTCGAGATTCCTGAGCCCTTACGTGGGTAACTACTTCAAGAAGCCCTCCAGACTCATGTTCGCCTATTCGCTCGTTATCCTAATGATAATTAAATTCAGTAAGTAGCGAGTTTTTTTTTTTCACACTGGTGAGTGATTGTTTGCAGCTATTATTCTCTTCGACAACTACTACGTCTTATTAATTATTGGCTTTACCCTTGGAATGGCGAAAGGCATACGGAAGGTGTACATGTGGTTGGTCATTCCGGACTATGTGTCCCTGGAAAAATTACCATCGGCTGCTGGGATGGACATGCTGGCGAGAGGTTGCTGCATTTTGATTGGAGGCCCGATTTTGGGGGTCCTGAGGGACGCTACAGGGAGTTACACGATTTGTATCATCGTGATGAATTGTATCACCATTACGACGATACTTATGTGGGCCACGGAGGCGATTATTAAGAGGTTTAAAAGGAGAAATTTGGAGTTTGAAAGTGAGGTCGAAGGGATGAGTTCTGGTAAATAAGCTGGTGGTGAGTAGACGGGGTAAAACGTAAATTCCTGTTACAATGCAATCACGTAGTTGTAGTTAGAAAGCAACTTGTAGAAGAATATTTGTGTAGATAGAAATTGTTGACCACGCTTAATAATAAATATAATTTTGTTTTTTAATTGATTCATTTCATTTCTATCAATTTCTAGATTTTCGTAAAACTTCTGTCAAGAATTTCGATTTTAGCGGATTTACCATTAAACAAAAAACTGTTGACCTTTCAAGAGTGACGAGTTTTGACACTAAAAAATATTTCGGCTGAGTTAATTTTCTGAATTTTGAATTTTAAAAATTAAAAAAAATTGATCAATCGAAGCGAACAATCGGAAAATTGAAGCTTGAAATATCGATGAATGAAACTGTGAAATTAAAAAAATTTAAAAATCCAAAAATTTGGAAACCGAAAAATTTAAAAATCGAAAAATCGAATAATCGAAACATCAAAAAACTAAAGAAGCCAGAAATTCAGAAATCGAAAAATGTAAAATTTAAAAAATTGAAAAATTAAACTATCAAAAAATGAAAAATTGAAAAATCGAGAAATCGAAAAATAAATTTAAAAACTTAAAATTTAAAAATTAAAAAAATTTTAAATCGAAAATTTGAAAAATCGGAAATTGAGAAATCGAAAAATTCCGGAACTGAAACGAGGAAAAATTGGGAAATAGAAAAGTTAAAAATTGAAAAATTTAAAAACCGAAAAATTGAAGTAAAAAATTTTAAAAATCGAAAAACTGAAAACTTTAAATCCAAGAAGCCGAAAAATAGGAAGATAGAGAAATCGTAGCATCAAAAAACTGAAAAACCTAAAATTTAAAAATTGGATAATCGAAAAATTGAAGAGTTGAAATATAGATAAATCCAAAAATGGATTATCGAATATCGAAAATTTAGAAACATCAAAAATAGAAAAATTGAAAAATAGAAAAATTGAAAAATAGAAAAATTGAAAAATCAAAAAATTTTAAAATCTTAAAACTGAAACATTGAAATATCGAAAAATCCAAAAATGAAAAAAATCGAAAATTTGAAAAATTGAGAAATTGAAAAATTAAAAAATTGAAAAATCTCAACACCAATACAACAATCGAACAAGTGAAAATCGAGAAATTGAAAAACCGAAAATCCGAAAAATTGAAGAACTGACAATTTAAAAAATGTCCAAACTAAAACATCAAAAAATTGTGAAAATAAATAATTTAAAAATGAAAAAACCGAAAAATAGAGCAATGAAAACATCAAGAAATCGAAAAATTAAAATCCAGAAACTGAAAAAGTGACAAATCGAAAAATCTAAAATATAAAAAATTGAAAAATTGGAAAGTTACAAATTGAAAAATTTTAAATTAAAAAATCCGTAAATAGAAAAATCGAAAAATTTAAAAACCGAAAAATAAAGTCAAAAATTTTAAAAATGGAAAAATTGAAAAACCTAAAACTCTAAAACCAAGAAGTCGAAAAATCGGAAGATCGAGAAATCGTAACATCAAAAATCTGAAAAGTCTAAATTTTAAAAACTCGAAAAACTGAAAATATAAATATCGAAAAACTGAAAAATCGAGAAATCGAAAAATCTACAATTTTAAGATATAAAAAAATAAAATATCGAAAAACTGAAGAACCGAAAAATTGAAAAATCGAAAATTTGAAACGTCAAAAGATTGAAAAATATAAAATTTAAAAATCGAAAAAATCAAAAATCGAAAAATTGAAGTCAAAATTTTTAAAAATCGAAAAATTGAAAAACCGAAAACTTTAAATCCAAGAAGTCGAAAAATCAGAAGATAAATCATAACATCAAAAAACTGAAAAATCTAAAATTTTAAAATTCTAAAAATTGAAAATAGAAATATCGAAGAACTGAAGAGTTGAAATATTGAAAAATCGCAAAATGAAGTATCGAAAAATGGAAAATTTAGAAATCTCAAAAATGGAAAAATTGAAAAATCCAAAAATTTAAAAATTCTAAAACTGAAACCTCGAAATATCGAGAAATCGAAAAATGAAAACATCTAAAAATCGAAAATTTGAAGAACAGAAAAATAAAAACATTGAAAAATCTTAGCCCCAATCGAAGAATTGAAAATCGGGAAATTGAAAAATCAAAAAATTGAAGAATTAAAACACTGTAAATTTTCAAAACTGAAATATCGGAAAGTCGAGCAATCAAAAAGCTGAGAAATTGAAGAATGGAAAAATCAAAAGATCGTAAAACTGAGATATCGGAAAATTAAGAAGTCTAAAATTAAACAACCGACAAATCAAGAATTCAAGAAAATTGAAGAATTGCCAAAATGAAAAATCTCCAAATTGAAATATCGAAAAATTGTGAAATCACAAAATTGAAAAATTAAAAAATCGAAAAATCGAGCAGCCAGAAACTGAAAAAGTGAGAAATTCAGAAATCGAAATATCTAAAATTTAAAAAATTGAAAAATTAAAATATCGAAAAATCGAAAAACTGAAAAATAAAAAAAGAAAACTCAAAAATCGGAAAATTTATAAACTTAAAAATGAAGTCAAAAATTTAAAAAAATCGAAAAACCGAGAAGTCGAAAAAATTGAAAGGTTGAGAAATCGTAACACCAAAAACCTGAAAAGACGAAGATTTAAAAATTCAAAAAATTGAAAATAGAAGTGTCAAAAAACTGAAACATCCAGAAATCGAAAAATCTACAATTTTAAAGTTTGAAAAATTAAAATATCGAAAAATTAAAGAACCGAAAAATAGAAAAATCAAGAATTTGAAACATCACAAGATTGAAAAACAAATTTAAAAGAAAAATCGAAAAGTCGAAAAATTGAAAATTTAAAAAAACGATTAATCGAGAAATTGAGAAATCGGAAAATCGAAAATTTAGAAATGTCAAAAATTGAAAAAGTGAGAAATTCAGAAACCGATAAATCTAAAATTTTAAAAATTGAAAAATTAAAAGATCGAATCCGAAGAATCGAAAAATCGAAAAAATGGAAAATAAAAATTGAAAAATCTAAAATCGGAAAATTGAAGAATCGAAAAATTCAAAAGTCGAAAAATAAAGTAACAACTTTTCAAAATCGAAAAATTTTAAAAATCGAAAAACTGAAAAAAAAGAAAACTCTAAAATCAAGAAGTCGAAAAATTGAAAGATCGAGAAATCGTAACACCAAAAAATGAAAAGTCGAAGATTTAAAAATTCAAAAAATTAAAAATAGAAATATCAAAAAACTGAAAAAACCAGAAATCGAAAAATCTACCATTTTAAAGCATGAAAAATTAAAACATCGAAAAATTAAAAAATTAAGAAATCGAAACATCAAAAGATTGAAAAACAAATTAAAAAAAAAACTCGAAAAATTGAAAATCTAAAAAGTTTATATATTGAAAAATCCCAAAAAGTCAAAAAATTGAGAAATGAAAAAATAAAAAAAACGAGAAATCGCAAATTCGAAAAATGGAAAATTTAAAAAAACGATTAATCGAGAAATTGAGAAATTGGAAAATCGAAAATTTAGAAATGTCAAAAAATGAAAAAGTGAGAAATTCAGAAATCCAAAAATCTAAAATTTAAAAAATTGAAAAATTAAAATATTGACAAACGAAGAAACGAAAAACTGAAAAAAAAATTGAAAAATAATGTAAAATCGGAAAATTGAAGAATCGAAAAATTGAAAAATCGACAAATTGAAACATCAAAAAACTGAAAAAAAGAAAACTCTAAAACCAAGAAGTCGAAAATTTGAAAGATCGAGAATTCGTAACACCAAAAAACTGAAAAATTAAAGATTTAAAAATTCAAAAAATTGAAAACAGAAATATCAAAAAACTAAATTCCAGAAATCGAAAAAGCTACCATTTTAAAGTATGAAAAATTAAAATATCGAAAAATGGAAGAACCGAAAAATTGAAAAACCGCGAAATCGAAACATCGAAAGATTGAAAAATATAAATTAAAAAAAAATCGAAAAGTCGAAAAATTGAAAATGTAAAGAATTGATATATTGAAAAATCCCAAAATGTCAAAAAATTAAGAAATCGAAAAATGAAAAAAATCTAGAAATCGAAAAGGCGGAAAATCGAAAATTAAAGAAACGAGTAATCGAGAAATTGAGAAATTGGAAAATCGAAAATTTAGAAATGTCAAAAATTGAAAAAGTGAGAAATTCAGAAATCGAAAAATCTAAAATTTAAAAAATTGAAAAATTAAAATATCGAAAAACGAAAAATCGAAAAATCGAAAAACTATAAAATAATAACCTAAAATCGGAAAATTGAAGAATTGAAAAACTCAAAAATCGAAAAATTTAAAAACCGAAAAATGAAGTCAAAAATTTTAAAGAACGAAAAACTGAAAATCCGAAAACTCTAAAACCAAGAAGTCGAAAAATCGAAAGATTGAGAAATGGTAACACCAAAAAACTGAAAAGTCATAGATTTAAAAACTCGAAAAATTGAAAACAGGAATATCAAAAAACTGAAAAATCCAGAAATCGAAAAATGTACCATTTTAAAACATGAAAAATTAAAATATCGAAGAATTGAAGAACCAAAAAATTGAAAAATCGAAAAGTCGAAAAATTGAAAATCTAAAGAGTTGATATATTGAAAAATCCTAAAATGTCCAAAAATTAACAAATCTAAAAATGAAAAATCGATTAATCCAGAAATCAAGAAAACGGAAAATCGAAAATTTAGAAATGTCAATAATTGAAAAATCGAAACTTTTAAAACTACTAAAACTAAAACACCGAAATTTCGAGAAATCGAGAAATCCAAAAAATCGAGAAATCAAAAATTTGAAGAATTGAGAAATTGAAAAATCAAAAATCGAGAAATAAAAAATTTGAAGAATTGAGAAATTGAAAAATCAAAAAAACTGAAAAACCTCAACACCAACACGGCAATCGAAAAATTGAAAAATCGAAAAATTGTCGAATCAAAGAACTGAAAAAATATCAAAACATCGAAAAATCAAAAGTTGAAAAATTGAGAAATCCAAAAGCCGAAAAATCGTAAAAATTCGAAAAATTGAATAATTGAAAAATCGAACGATCGTAAAACTGATATATCCGAAATTAAGAAATCTAAAATTAAACAATCGAGAAATCGAAAATTCGAGAAATTGAAGAATTGACAAATTGAAAAGTCTCCAAACTGAAATATCGAAAAATTGAAAAAACGAAAAGTCAAAAAATCGAAGAATTATGTACTATTCAATTTTGTTTTTTCCCAAAAATCTCGATATGTAGGATAAAAATTCAACGCGGATTCATAAACCACAAATTCAGGACTATACTATTTTCAAATAACATAACATGAAGTAAAAATAATCAAAATTTTAGAATCTTGAAAATTAAGAATGTTCACGCTTTCCGAACCAGTTACATAATTTTCTATCGAGTGTGGTAATCGCACTATCCATTACAATAACAGGTGGGCGATCATAATCGTGACAATCAGTTTCTCAGACACTAGAACCTTGGATTCACTAATTTGTAACAAAATTATAAATTATCAAATCAAAGCATGGCAAGTGCTCATTTAGACGTTTCCGCTAAAACACAATTTTCGTAAAATTGCCGCCACGCGTTGACGTCAGCGTCTTCCGGGCCGGCGGAACCTCCCAGCTCGCCTAAAATCCGGCATCGCCCGGATCCGGCGCGTCACATTCCGATCCCATCGACTTATTCCACCAACCATTAAAATCAAATCAGACGTGCAATAAAACTTATCTCCTAATCAAACAAATAACAATATGTGCCGATAAATCAAAACAAAGAATTTTCAAGCGAATAACGAATAATTCCATCATAAAATCAATATCAGATACCGCCAAGTAGCTCTCCACTCCCGATTGTCCTCAATTATCTCTCCCTTATCTCGCCGAAATGAATATCGCATATATAAGCGCCAAAACGGGCCACCATGACTTGAACCAATAAACATGAAAAATGCAGAAGCTGTCCCCGTCACCAGAAAGGTCCCTCCGGACGGAGGCTACGGCTGGGTCATCGCGCTGGCCATGGCCCTCAACAGCGTAAGTCCAAATCACACCTAGAATTATCATTGTGCAACCTGTCGCAGTTCATCTATATACCCATGATGCATTGCTTCGGGCTCATCTTCAAGGACACGTTCGCCGAACTGGGTCTGTCAGCGGCCCAGGGCGCCCTCATCGTCAACCTCCACGCCGCCTTCGGCATGCTCACCGGACTCCTCAACGGGGTGCTGCTCAAGATCTGCGGCTACCGGAAGATCGCGTTTCTGGCCGCCGTCCTCTACTGCTCCGGGGTCACCACGACCTCCTTCGCCCGGAAATTCCAGCACTTCATCATCTCGTACGGACTGGTGGCATGTTAGTTTTCCCCACGCATTTTTAATACCAATGAGAAATATTTTAAATAGCACCTGGGCAAAACCCAAAATTCTACAAGCCAGACTATAATAATAATGATGGTGGTTTTAGCACTGGGCTTGGGCATGTGCCGCTCCTCCTACAGCCTGGCCATCAACACCTACTTCAAGAAGCGGAGAAGCAAGGCCATGGGCTTCGCCGTCACGATAATCGGCTTCGGCCAGATCGTCATCCCCCAGCTCGTTAACTTGCTGATGAAGTTCTACAGCCCCCAGGGAGTGGTCCTGATTTTCGGCGGAATATGTGCCCATTTTTTTGTTTCAGCCATGCTCCTCCAGCCCGTCAAGTGGCACATGAAAGAGGAGGAAATTCTCGAAACAAGTAAATAGTTTGTTTAGGAGGCGAATAGTCACAAAGTTTATCTTTTTTAGACTAATTTCGGATAATTCTAGATCCAGAGAAGGAAGAGAGACCTGAGTGTCCCGATACGGAAATCTGTGATAGCCACCTCAGTCTTAACGAGCACGCCAGAAAGAACACCCTCCTCAAAACCATCGTCACCTTCTTCGACCTCGACCTCCTCAAAGACCCCATTTTCGTCAACATCCTGATCGGGATGGCCCTTGCCGTCTTCTCCGAGCTCAATTTCAACATCCTCACCCCTTTTATCTTGAACGATTACGGCTTGAGCACCGACCAGATCGCCACCTTCATGTCCACGAACGGGCTCGCAGACATTACTTTCAGGTTTTTAGCCCCCTACGTCGGAGAATACTTGAAAAAACCACCCAGATGCATTTTCATTTTCACTTTGATTATGTTGATTATGATGAGATTTGGTGGGTTTGTACAACAACAAAAACACGAAATGAACGTTTGTTTGTAGTTCTTTTGATGTCGACGGAGTATTACATGCTACTGATAGCGGCCACGGGGCTTGGGATTGCCAAAGGGATCCGTAGGGTGTACGTAGGGTTGATCATTCCGACACACGTCAGTCTGGAGCGGTTACCTTCGGCTTCGGGGATGGAAATGATGGCTAATGGGTTTTGTATTTTGACTGGAGGGGCTATCCTGGGGGTAGTGCGTGACGTCACAGGGAGCTACGTCGCTTGTATCATCATCATGAACTGCGTCACTTTTGTGACGATCGTGTTATGGACTGTGGAGATGGTGGTGGTGAAGCACAAGAGGCACAAAGGGGAGAAGGTGCAACAGGGTGAAGAAAATAATCCCCTTAATAAAATTTGAATGCGGGGTGAATTTGTGATGTAGTAGAATTTATGTAAATAAATATTAGTTTATTTATTGTATTATAAGATTTTATAAATGTTATTTAAAAGTATGAAGTAGACTTTAGTATGGAAAATCAAAACGGGGCGCCCACGAATTTATTATTATTCCTGAAAAATCCTGAAAAACGTATCGCTCTATGACCACTCTAAAATTTCTAACATTTCGATATTTCTACGGTCGATGTCAAAAATTGGTCGAAATTTTTGAAGAGAAAAATTTGAGTCTTAAAAAAGTGTCTAAAAATTCTGAAAAAAATCAGGGATGTATATCTCGACATGCTGAATAAAAAAATATCACATGTTAATAGTCACGGAGCAACATTTTCGAAAAAATCGGTTTGAAATGCGAATTTTTGAAAATCTAAAAAGTTCGATTTTTCGAGGTCGATTCTGAATAAACGGTTGCAGTTATTAGAGAAACGAATCCAGAAGTGAGTTCTAGAGTTCGAAATCTACAAGAAAATGCATTTAGTTAAGTTCCGAAAATGTCAAAGGACGGAAAAGGAAGAAAAGGACGAAAAGGGACGACAAAGGACGAAAAAGGATAATCAGGACAAAAATTACTAAAAGGACGAAAAAGCACCATTAGTACGAAAAGGACGAAAAAGGACGAAAAAAACGAAAAGGACGAAAAAGACGACAAAGGACGAAAAAGGACAAAAAGGACGAAAAAAACGAATAGGACGAAATAGGACCAAAAAGGACGAAAAAGTATGAAAGTTATAAAGGACGATAAAGGACGAAACAAACGAAAAGGACGGAAAAGGACGAAAAGAACGAAAAGTACGAATAAGGACGAACCAGAACGAATAGGTACGAAAGAGGACGAAAAGGGACGAAAGAGGACGAAAAGGGACGAAAGAAGACGAACAAGATACGAAGGACGACAAAGGACGAAAAAAACCAAAATGACGAAAAAGGACGAAAAGGACGAAAAAGGATAATACGCACGAAAAACGACGAAAAAGGAGGACAATGACGAAAAAGAATAATAAGGAGGAATGAGGACGAAAAGGACGAAAAAGGACGATAAGGACGAAAAGGACAAAAAGGACGAAAATGGATAATAAGGACGAAAAAGGATGAAAAGGACGACAAAGGACGAAACGGACGAAAAGGACGACAAAGGACGAAGAAGGACGAAATAGGACGAAGAAGGACGAAATAGGACGGAAAAGGACGAAAGGTACGAGTAAAGACGAATAAGGACGAAAAAGGACAAAAAAAAACGAATAGGACGAAAAAATATAATACGGACGAAAAAGGACGAAAACGGACCAAAAGTACGAATAACTACGAACAAGGACGAAAAGGGACGAAAAAGGACGAAAAAGATATTTAGGACGAAAAAGATATTTAGGACGAAAAAGTACGATTAGTACGAAAAGGACGAAAAAAAAACGAAAAGGACGAAAAAGACGACAAAGGACGAACAAGGATAAAAGGGACGAAAAAAACGAATAGGACGAAATAGGACCAAAAAGGACGAAAATGTATGAAAGTTATTAAGGACGATAAAGGACGAAATAAATGAAAAGGACTGAAAAGGACGAAAAGAACGAAAAGTACGAATAAGGACGAACAAGGACGAAAAGGGACGAAACAGGGCGAAAAGGGACGAAAGAAAACGAAAAAGATATGAAGGACGAAAAAGGACGAAAAAAACCAAAAGAACGAAAAAGGACGAAAAGGACGAAAAAGGATAATACACACGAAAAAGGACGAAAACGGAGGACAATGACGAAAAAGGATAATAAGGAGGAATGAGGACGAAAAGGACGAAAAAGGACAAAAAAGCCGAAAAAGGACGAAAATGGATAATAAGGGCGAAAACCGAAGAAAAGGACGAAACGGACGACAAAGGACGAAGAAGGACGAAATGGGACGAAGAAGGACGAAATAGGACGAAGAAGGACGAAATAGGACGGAAAAGGACGAAAGGTACGAGTAAGGACGAACAAGGACAAAAAAGGACGAAAAAAACGAAAAGGACGAAAAAGGATAATACGGGCAAAAAAGGACGAATAGGACGAAAAAGTACAATACGGACGAAAAAGATATTTACGACGAAAAAGGAAAGTAAGGACGAAAAAGGATAATCAGGACAAAAATGACTAAAAGGACGAAAAAGTACGATTAGTACGAAAAGGACGAAAAAGGACGAAAAAAACGAAGAGGACGAAAAAGACGACAAAGGACGAACAAGGACAAAAAGGAAAAAAAAAACGAATAGGACGAAATAGGACCAAAAAGGACGAAAAAGTGTGAAAGTTATTAAGGACGATAAAGGACGAAACAAACGAAAAAAACGGAAAAGGACGAAAAGTACGAATAAGGACGAACAAGGACGAAAAGGGACGAAAGAGGACGAAAAGGGACGAAAGAAGGCGAAAAAGATATGAAGAACGAAAAAGGACGAAAAAAACCAAAAGGACGAAAAAGGACGAAAAGGACGAAAAAGGATAATACGCACGAAAAAGGACGAAAACGGACGACAATGACGATAAAGGATAATAAGGAGGAATGAGGACGAAAAGGACAAAAAGGACGAAAATGGATAATAATGACGAAAAAGGAAGAAAAGGACGACAAAGGACGAAACGGACGAAAAGGACGACAAAGGACGAAGAAGGACGAAATAGGACCAAGAAGGACGAAATAGGAAGGAAAAGGACGAAAGGTACGAGTAAGGACGAACAAGGACGAAAAAGGACGAAAAAAACGAAAAAGACGAAAAAGGATAATACGGGCAAAAAAGGACGAATAGGACGAAAAAGTATAATACGGACAAAAAAGCACGAAAAGGACGAAAACGGACGAAAAGGACGAAAAAGGATAATAAGGACGAAAAAGGAGAAAAAGATCGAAAAGGACGAAAAGGACGAAAAGGACGAAAAAGGGTTGAAATATTGAAAAATCCCAAAATGAAGTATCGGAAAATTGAAAATTAAAAAAAAAGGATAAATCGAGAAATTGAGAAATCGAAAAATCGAAAATTTAAAAATGTCAAAAATGGAAAAATGAAAAATCGAGAAATTTAAAAATCCTAAAACATCGAAATATCGAAAAATCGAAAAATGAAAAAACCGAAAATTTGAATTCAGAAATTGAGAAATCTCAATACGAACACAGCAATCAAAAATTGAAAATGGGGAAGCTAAAAATTCGAAAAATCGATGAACTAAAACAATGAAAATTTCCAAAACTGAAATATCGAAAAATCGAGAAATCAAAAAGTCGAAAAATTGAAGAATCGAAGAATCAAAAGATCGTGAAACAGAGATAGCGGAAAATTAAGTTATCTAAAATTAAACTATCGAGAACTTGAAAATTCGAGAAATTGAAGAATTGACAAAATGAGAAATTTCCAAACTGAAATATCGAAAAAGGACGAAAAAGGATAATACGGGCAAAAAAGGACGAATAGGACGAAAAAGTATAATAAGGACGAAAAAGGACGAAAAGGTCGAAAAGGACAAAAGAGGACGGAAAAGCACGAAAAGGACGACGCGGACGAAAAGGACGAACAAGGACGAAAAAGACGAACAGTACGAATAAGGACGAACAAGGACGAAAAAGGACGAAAAATAACGCAAAAGAACGAAAAAGTATGAATAAGGACGAAAAAGATATTAAGGACGAAAGAGGACGAAAAAACCGAAAAGGACGAAAAAGGATAATAGGGACGAAAAAGGACTAAAAAAACGAAAAGGACGAAAAAGGAAAATAAGGACGAAAAAGAACGAAAAAGGACGGAAAGGACGAGAGAGGACGAACACGGACGACATAGAACGAAGAAGGACGAAATAGGACGAAGAAGGACGAAAAAGGAGGAACAAGGACGAATAAGGACGAAAAAGATATTAAGTACGAAAAAGGGCGAAAAAAACCAAAAGGACGAAAAAGGATAATACGGACAAAAAAGGACGAATAGGACGAAAAAGTATAATAAGGACGAAAAAGGACAAAAGGACGAAGAGGACGAAAAAGGATAATAAGTACGAAAAAGGACGTAAAGGTCGAAAAGGACGAAAAGGTCGAAAAGAACGAAAAGGTCGAAAAGGACGAAAAGTACGAAAAAGACGAAAAGACGAAAAAGGGTTGAAATATTGAAAAATCCCAAAATGGAGTATCAAAAAATCGAAAATTGAAAAAAAAAATACGAGTACATTATTAAAACACAGATTAGAAACATGTCATGCGATTAATCTGAAGTGAGATTTACTTAACAGAATGTTGAGATGACATCACTTATTTTTTCTATGATGAATACGAAAATGTGTCACACGATAATTTTAAAGTGTATGTAAAATTTGAAATTAATCACTTTACCAGTTTCGGAAACAACTTGCAATATATTGGAAACGGGGGACCAACATTTTCATACTCTACAAGTGTGAAACGTCAAGAAAACGCAAAATTAAACACGCGTGAAAATAAAACAAAATTAGAAAATTCCTATTTAAATTTTTCAGTGACATCTCTCGTTTTTAAGTTGACATTACTCCACACTCCAAACCCACCATAATTCCTCCTCCATAAAAATAATTAATACCTGCTTCGACCGATCAACAATCAGCGATCATCACTTTGTGTGATTGGTACAACTGATAATCAGCGTCGAGAACAGTGTGACTTGTAGATAAACACCACAATTATGGAACCAGCTATGAATTAACATCAGTTCCATTAGTCTACAATTATTATGCAACAAAAAACTACATTAATTGGTTGTTTCGCATTATAAGTTCTAATCAGTCAGGTCAGGTCAGGTCAGGTCAGGTCAGGTCAGGAAACAATGATCGAAACGAAAAAAATTCCGCCCGATGGGGGCTACGGCTGGGTGATCGTCTGTGCCAACGCATTAAGCAACGTGAGTATCATTTTCTTTTCATAATAGTGTTAATTATTGCATTATAGCATGTCATATTAATCATCGTGGCCGATTTAGTTACTGCGATGCGGCTAAGTTGGCATCCTGATCCTCAACGCGCTAAATTGATTTTTCTAGTTCATCGTCATCCCGCTGATTCATTGCTTCGGCCTCATTTTCAAGGACACATTCGTCGAACTTGGCTTATCAGCGACTCAGGGATCCCTAATTATTAATCTAAATGTGGCCTTTGGGATGATCATGGGTTTGGTTAATGGGGTGCTGTTGAAGATTTATGGATGCCGGAAAGGCGCGCTTTTCGGGACGCTGCTGCTCACCGGAGGCGTCGTACTTACAGCATACTCCAAAACTTTTACGCACTTTGTTATCGCTTATGGGTTGATAACGTGTACGTGGTAATGATTGTAACGACTTCCGTTCTGACGACTTTGTTGTAGCTTTGGGGATGGGGATGGTCGAATCAGCTACCTGTCTCGCTATTAACATGTACTTTAGAGCTAAGAGAAGCTACGCTATGGGGTTGGCCGTTACTATTACGGGTTTCGGTCCCATTCTTATCCCCCAACTCATCAGTTTTTTAATGCAACACTACACCCCCTCTGGCGTGACCTTGATTTTCGCGGGTGTGTGCGCCCACGTGTTTATAGGGGCCGTTTTGCTGCAACCAGTCGAGCGTCACATGATCATAGACAAAACACAACCTCAAGACGAACAAAGCGAGCTTTTAACCGAACAAACGAAGACACAAACTCAGGAAGACAAAGACCCCTTGTTTAAAAGACTGCTGAAAACTATTGCCAAAACGTTCGACTTGGATCTTTTCAAAGATCCGATTTTTGTAAACATAATGATGGGCATGGCTTTAGCGATTTTCGCTGAGCTTAACTTTACCGTGCTCACCCCTTTCATTCTAAGCGATTTTGGGTTGGACACGTCACAGATTGCCACGTTTTTGTCGACGCTAGGTGTCGCGGACATCATTTTCAGGTTTTTCGCACCGTATATAGGCAACTATTTCACCAAGCCGCCGCGAATAATGTATGCGTATAGTTTGATCCTTCTCATCGTGACACGATTCAGTAAGTATAGGTGGCGCCACGGTTGTCACTGATGGTACTGTTGTAGCGTTCCTACTATCGCGGAATTTCTACGCCTTGTTGGTAATCGCGCTGGGTTTGGGTATTGCTAAAGGCATCCGTAAGGTGTACATGCAGCTGGTGATCCCCGCCCATGTACCCATCGAAAAACTGGCCAATGCTAGCGGCATGGAAATGATGATGAACGGGTTCTGTATAATCATTGGTGGACCTACGTTGGGTGTCGTTCGTGACGTCACGGGTAGCTACTCCTTATGCGTCATTCTCATGAACTGCGTGACCTTCACTACTATCCTGATGTGGACAATAGAGGCTATTATAGTCAAGTGTAGGAGAAAGAACAAAGGGAGTATAGAAGAGGCGACTTAAATAAAATCTATTTTTTATAAAATTATACAATAAAAAATTAAATACACTAACTACTAATCTATTATCACATTTAAAAGAGGGTGTGCGGGCCCCACTAACCTAGTGCATAATTTTAGAGCCCGAATAATACCACAGACGTACTAATATCGGTGTTTCACTACTTTTTTAAACAAAAACACCATCCTCGAGGCGAGGTCGTTGTTCAAGCGACATTCCAAAACCAAGTAGGCCAGAAGTCGAATTTTTTCAACATTTCGGTATTTCATTTTTTTTTATTGTTCAATGTTTAATTTTTTTCGATTTTTCAGTTTTCGATTTTTTAATTTTACAGTTTTTCGATGGTTATTTTGACGTTCTTCAACTTTTAAATTTTACAATTTGTCGATTTTTAATAATCAGTTTTTTGAATTATCGAAGTTTTCAGTTTCTCAAGTTTTAAGCTTACAATTTTTAAATTTCTCGGTGTTTCAAGTTCCGTTTTTTCTATTTTTGATTTTTAATTTTGGAATTGCTCGATTTTTCTGTTTTTCAAATTTTCAGTTTTTTTCATTTTTAAGGTTACAATTTTTCATTTTCCAATTGTTAACCCCTTAATTATCCGATTTTGAGTTTCTTTATCTTTGCAGTTCTTCGATTTCTCAATTTTTAAATTGTTCGGTGTTTCAATGTTTCTTTTTCGATTTTTCAGTTTTACAGTTTTCCGAATTTTTGATTTTTTAAAATTTCACTTTTCATAAGTGTCCTTTTGTTGAAAAATTAAAAAACGAAAAATTGAGAAAATAAAAAAATGAAAAATAAAGTACTTCCAAGTAGTTAATTCCAAATTGTTTTGTTTCTTCGATTTTTATGATTTCTCAATTCGAGATTTTTATATTTTTCGTATTTTTAATTGATAATTTTTCGATTTTTCCGTGTTTTGATTTCTCCTTTTTTTAGTTTTTCGATTTTCATTATGAAATTCTTGCACTTTTCAGTAAAATGTTTGTATTTTTCGATTTTCTAATTTGCTTTTTAATTTTTCAATTTTCTGTGTTGAATATTACAATTTTTCGTTTTTTTAGGTTTCAATGTTACAAATTTTCGATTTTACAGTTTCCATCTTTTTCTCAGTTGTTCCATTTTTTAATTGTTTTTTTCGCTATGTTTGCCAATTTTTTCAATTTTTCGATATTTCAAGTTTGGTTTTTCAATTTTAATTTTTTTTTCAAATTTACAATTTTGTAATTGTTTCATTTTTAAATTTGTCGATTCTTAATTTTTCACTTTTTTCAAATAATTACATATTTGGGTTTTTATTATTCAATTTTTGGCTTTCCCATTTTCCCATTTTTCAGTTTTTGTATTTTTTCAATTCTTCGATTTCTCAACTTTTAAATTTTTCGGTTTTTCAGTGCTTGGTTTTTTCGATGTTACAATTTTTAAATTTTTCCAAGTTTCGTTTTTACAATTTCTTAATATTTTAGTTTTTTTCTTTAAAAATTTTTGAATTTTGAAATAATTTTTTTTTGTATTTTTGATTGTTTAATTTATAGAAGTTTTTGTTTTTCGTGTTTTCGATTTTTCACTTCTCGATTTTTAATTAATCAAGTTTCAATATTACAATTTTCGATTTTTCAATTCTTTTTTCGATTATACCACTGTTCAATTTCTCAATTTTTTCATTTTCGGATTTTTCAATTTTTAAATTTTTCACGTTTTCAGCTCTCATTTTTTCGGTTTTTTCAAGTTTTCCTTATTTTTTCAATTCTTCGATTATTCATTTTTTTTATTTTTCAATTCAGTTCAAAATTTCGGTTTGAATAAATGTGTCCTTTTGTTGGACAACTAAGAAATGACAAACCGAGAAAATAAAAAAATAAAAATCGAGAATTTGTAAATTTCTAAAATTTCGAATTTTCGACGGTCGATTCTGGAAAAACGGTTGCAGTTATCAGAAAAACGAGGGCGGAAGTGAGTTCTCGAGTTCTAAATCTACAAGAAAATGCATTTAGTTAAGTTTCGCAAATGTCAAATTTTGGCCGAAATTTGAAGAAGTGGGGATCATTGGAAAAATTTCACTTTTAAAAAAGTCGTCTAAAAATTCTGAAAAAATTCAGGATCGTAGATCTCGACAAGCTGATTCCAAAAATTTAGCCTGTTTTGATCACGGGACAGCATTTTCGAAAAAATCGGCCTGAAATGCGAATATTTGAAAATTTCTAAAATTTCGATTTTTCGACGGTCGATTCTAGAAAAACGATTCCAGTTATCAGAGAAACGAGGCCGGAAGTGAGTTCTCGAGTTCGAAATCTATAAGAAAATGCATTTAGTTAAGTTTCAAAAATGTCAAAATTTGGCCGAAATTTGAAGAAGGGGGGACCATTGGAAAAATTTCACTTTTAAAAAAGTCGTCTAAAAATTCAGAAAAAAATCAGGAACGTAGATCTCGACAAGCTGATTCCAAAAATATAGCGTGTTAATGGTCACGGAGCAACATTTTCGAAAAAAGCAGCATGAAATTCAAATATTTGAGAATTTCAAAAATTTTGATTTTTCGACGGTCGATTCTGGAAAAACGGTTGCAGTTATCAGAGAAACGACGCCAAAAGTGAGTTCTAGAGTTCAAAATCTACAAGAAAAGGCATTTAGTTAAGGTTCGAAAATGTCAAATTTTGGAAAGGACGAAAAAGAACGATAAGCACGAAAAGGACGAAAAAGGATAATAAGAACTAAAAAGGACGAAAAAGCACTAAAAGGACGAAGCGAACGAAAAGGACGAACAAGGACCAAAAAGAACGAAAAAGGACGGAAAGAACGAAAAAGGATAATGAGGACGAAAAAGGACGAAAAGGGCGAAAAAGGACGAAGGACGAAAAAGGATGAAGGACGAAAGAGGACGAAAAAGGATGAATAGGACGAAAAAGGAAGAAAAAAACGAAAAAGACGAAAAAGGACGGAAAAGGACGAAAAGTACGAATAAGGACGAACAAGGACGAAAAAGGGTTGAAATATTGAAAAATCCCAAAATGAATGATCGAAAAATCGAAAATTAAAAAAAAAAGATAAATCGAGCAATTGAGTAAATCGAAAAATCGAAAATTCAAAAATGTCAAAAATGGAAAAACTGAAAAATCGAGAAATTTAAAAATCCTAAAACATCAAAATATCGAAAAATGAAAAAATGCAAAAACCGAAAATTTGAATTCAGAAATTGAAAAATTTCAATACGAACATAGCAATCAAAAATTGAAAATGGGGAAGCTAAAAAATCGAAAAATCGATGAACTAAAACAATGAAAATTTCCAAAACTGAAATATCGAAAAATCGAGAAATCAAAAAGTCGAAAAATTGAAGAATCGAAAAATCAAAAAATCGTGAAACTGAGATATCGGAAATTTAAGATATCTAAAATTAAACTATCGAGAACTTGAAAATTCGAGAAATTGAAGAATTGACAAAATGAAAATTTCCCAAACTGAAGTATCGAAAAAGGACGATAAGCACGAAAAGGACGAAAAAAGATAACAAGAACTAAAAAGGACGAAAAGGTCGAAAAGGACCAAAAAGGACGGAAAAGCACGAAAAGGACCGCGTACGAAAAGGACGAACAAGGACGAAAAAGAACGAAAAAGGATAATGAGGACGAAAAAGAACGAAGGACGAAAAAGGATGAAAGACGAAAGAGGACGAAAAAGGACGAATAAGACGAAAAAGGATAATAGGGACGGAAAAGGACGAAAAAAAAGAAAAGGACGAAAAAGGAAAATAAGGACGAAAATGAACGAAAAAGGACGAAAAAGGACGGAAAGGACGGAAAGGACGAGAGAGGACGAAAAGAGACGACATAGAACGAAGAAGGACGAAATAGGACGAAGAAAGACGAAAAAGGACGAACAAGGACGAAAAAAGGACGTACAGTACGAATAAGGACGAACAAGGACGAAAAAGGACGAAAAAGGACGAAAAAGGACGAAAAATAACGCAAAAGAATGAAAAAGTACGAATAAGGACGAAAAAGATATTAAGGACGAAAGAGGACGAAAAAACCAACAGGACGAAAAAGGATAATAGGGACGAAAAAAACGAAAAGGACGAAAAAGAACGAAAAAGGACGGAAAGGACGAGAGAGGACGAAAAGGGACGAAATTGAACGAAGAAGGACGAAAAAAGGACGAAAAGTACGAATAAGGACGAACAAGGGCGAAAAAGGACGAAAAATAACGCAAAAGAACGAAAAAGTACGAATAAGGACGAAAAAGATATTAAGGACGAAAGAGGACGAAAAAAACGAAAAGGACGAAAAAGGATAATACGGGCAAAAAAGGACGAGTAGGACGAAAAAGTATAATAAGGACGAAAAAGGACGAAAAGGACGAAAACGGACGAAAAGGACGAAAACGGACGAAAAGAACGAAAAGACGAAAAAGGGTTGAATATTGAAAAATCCCAAAACGCAGTATTGAAAAATCGAAAATTAAAAAAAAAGAATAAATCGAGAAATTGAGAAATCGAAAATTTAAAAATTTCAAAAATGGAAAAACTGAAAAATCGAGAAATTTAAAAATCCTTAAACATCGAAATATCGAAAAATGGAAAAACCGAAAATTTGAATTCAGAAATTGAAAAATCTCAATAAGCTAAAAAATCGAAAAATTGATGAATTAAAACACTGAAAATTTCCAAAACCGAAATATCGAAAAATCGAGAAATCAAAACATCGTGAAACTGAGATATCGGAAAATTAAGATATCTAAAATTAAACAATCGAGAAGTTGAAAATTCGAGAAATTGAAGAATTGACAAAATGAAAATTTTCCAAACTGAAATATCGAAAAAGGACGATAAGCACGAAAAGGACGAAAAAGGATTATAAGAACTAAAAAGGACGAAAAGGTCGAAAAGGACGAAAAAGGACGGTGAACCATGAAAAGAACGAAGCGGACGAAAAGGACGAACAAGGACGAAAAAGAACGAAAAAGGACGAAAAAGGACGAAAAGGATGAAAAAGGACGAAGGACGAAAAAGGATGAAGTACGAAAAAGGACGAATAGAACGAAAAAGGACGAATAGGACGAAAAAGGATAATAAGGACGAAAAAAACGAAAAGGATGAAAAAGGAAAATAAGGACGAAAAAGGACGAAAAAGGACGGAAAGGACGAAAGAGGACGAAAAGGGACGAAATAAGACGAAGAATGACGAAAAAGGACGAACAAGGACGAAAAGGACGAAAAAGGACGAAATAGGACGGAAAAGGACGAAAAGTACGATTAAGGACGAACAAGGACGAAAAAGGACGAAAAATAACGCAAAAGGACGAAAAAGGATAATACGGGCAAAAAAGGACGAATAGGACGAAAAAGTATAATAAGGACGAAAAAGGACGAAAAGGACGAAACGGACGAAAAAAGCATAATAAGGACGAAAAAGGACGAAAAAAACGAAAAGGACGAAAAAGGAGAATACGGACGAAAAAGGACGAAAAAGGATAAGGTGAACGAAAAAGGACGAAAATGGACGAAAAGGACGAAAAAGGATAATAAGGACGAATAAGAACGAATGGACGAAAATGACGAAAAAGGACGACAAGGTGGAAAAACGGGACAGTGACTTTGTAACCCTAAAATTTATGTGTCAAACTTGTTGGCCCAGTTTTCTGTGGCCGCTATTGTACATTGACTATAATCACTGAAACATCCTGTATATAATGATATTTTTAGAAAGCCGTAATTTAGTTGGCAAGAACCTTGACGGTGGTTTTATTTACAACGGTTTAAAAATATCGCTTTTGTGTTATCGGCTCATGCATTTCCATGTTTTTTGAAATATGTACACTTCTGTCCAATAAATTTGTGTACAGGTGTTGACTGACGTAGCGATATCTGAGTAGTGTGAAACGCGTGTGTATCAGCAACACGTTAATTTGCTAATCTCTGTAAGTAATAATTTAGTTCAGTTACATATTATAATGAAGCAATTATTGTGGTAAACACACTCTAATGTAAACAATTTAATAACAGGTAGACAGAATTTATTACCCAGACCTGGGTTGGTTATAAAGCCGCCGTCTAAGGTGACTTTTTAACTTAAAAAAATGTTATTCAAACAGTACTTATCTGATTTTTAAACTTAAATAATTTGAAATTCAAAAATAAATAAAAAAATAAATCTGGATTCACAAGTTTTTGGGGTATTATTTACAAGTAATTGTAAAAAATATTGCATCCTGCATCTTTTATTTTATTTGAAGGTTAAAAATACGAGTACATTATTAAAACACAGATTAGAAACATGTCATGCGATTAATCTGAAGTGAGATTTACTAACAGAATGTTGAGATGACATCACCTATTTTTTCTATGATAAATACAAAAATGTGTCACACAATAATCTTAAAGTGTATGTAAAATTTCAAATTAATCACTTTACCAGTTTCGCAAACCACTTGATGTAATATATTGGAAACGGGGGATCAACATTTTCATACTCTACAAGTGTGAAACGTCAAGAAACCGGAAAATTAAACACGCGTGAAAATAAAACAAAATTAGAAAATTGCTATTTAAATTTTTCAGTGACATCTCTCGTTAACAATACTCCACACTCCAAACCCATCCATAATTCCTCCTCCACAAAAATAATGAATACCTGCTTCGACCGAAGGTTAAAATCAACAACCAGCGATCATCACTTTGTGTGATTGGTACAACTGATTATCAGCGTCGAGAACAGTGTGACATGTAGATAAACACCACAATTACGGAACCAGCTATGAATTAACAACAGTTCCATTAGTCTACAATTATTATGCAACAAAAAACTACATTAATTGGTTGTTTCGCATTACACGTTCTAATCAGTCAGACACAATTACACCACAATCGATGAAAAACTGAAAAACAAACAATGATCGAAACGAAAAAAATTCCGCCCGATGGGGGCTACGGCTGGGTGATCGTCTGTGCCAGCGCATTAAGCAGCGTGAGTATCATTTTCTTTTCATAATAGTGTTAATTATTGCATTATAGCATGTCATATTAATCATCGTGGCCGATTTAGTTACTGCGATGCGGCTAAGTTGGCTTCCTGATCCTCAACGCGCTAAATTGATTTTTCTAGTTCATCGTCGTCCCGCTGATTCACTGCTTCGGCCTCATTTTCAAGGACACATTCGTCGAACTTGGCTTATCAGCGACTCAGGGATCCCTAATTATTAATCTAAATGTGGCCTTTGGGATGATCATGGGTTTGGTTAATGGGGTGCTGTTGAAGATTTATGGGTGCCGGAAAGTCGCGCTTTTGGCGGCGCTGCTGCTCACCGGAGGCGTCGTACTTACAGCCTACTCCAAAACTTTTACACACTTTGTTATCGCTTATGGGTTGATAACGTGTACGTGGTAATGATTGTAACGACTTCCGTTCTGACGACATTGTTGTAGCTTTGGGGATGGGGATGGTCCAATCAGCTAACGGTCTCGCTATTAACATGTACTTTAAAGCTAAGAGAAGCTACGCTATGGGGTTGGCTGTCACTATTACGGGGTTCGGTCCTATTCTCATCCCCCAACTCATCGGTTTTTTAATGCAACACTACACCCCCTCTGGTGTGACCTTGATTTTCGGGGGGGTGTGCGCCCACGTGTTTATAGGGGCCGTTTTGCTGCAACCAGTCGAGCGTCACATGATCATAGACAAAACACAACCTCAAGACGAACAAAGCGAGCTTTTAACCGAACAAACGAAGACACAAACTCAGGAAGACAAAGACCCCTTGTTTAAAAGACTGCTGAAAACTGTTGCCAAAACGTTCGATTTGGATCTTTTCAAAGATCCGATTTTTGTAAACATAATGATGGGTATGGCTTTAGCGATTTTCGCTGAACTTAACTTTACCGTGCTCACCCCTTTCATGCTAAGCGATTTTGGGTTGGATACGTCACAGATTGCCACGTTTTTGTCGACGCTAGGTGTCGCTGACATCATTTTCAGGTTTTTCGCACCGTATATAGGCAACTATTTCACCAAGCCGCCGCGATTGATGTATGCGTATAGTTTGATCCTTCTCATCGTGACACGATTCAGTAAGTATAGGTGGCGCCACGGTTCTCACTGATGGTACTGTTGTAGCGTTCCTACTATCGCGGAATTTCTACGCCTTGTTGGTAATCGCGCTGGGTTTGGGTATTGCTAAAGGCATCCGTAAGGTGTACATGCAGCTGGTGATCCCCGCCCACGTACCCATCGAAAAACTGGCCAATGCTAGCGGCATGGAAATGATGATGAACGGGTTCTGTATAATCATTGGTGGACCTACGTTGGGTGTCGTTCGTGACGTCACGGGTAGCTACTCCTTATGCATCATTCTGATGAACTGCGTGACCTTCACTACTATCCTGATGTGGACAATAGAGGCTATTATAGTCAAGTGTAGGAGAAAGAACAAAGGGAGTATAGAAGAGGCGACTTAAATAAAATCTATTTTTTATAAAATCATACAATAAAAAATTAAATACACTAACTACTAATCTATTATCACATTTAAAAGAGGGTGTGCGGGCCCCACTAATCTAGTGCATAATTTTAGAGCCCGAATAATACCACAGACGTACTAATATCGGTGTTTCACCACTTTTTTAAACAAATACACGATCCTCGAGGCGAGGTCGTTGTTCAAGCGACATTTCAAAACCAATTAGGCCAGAAGTCGAATTTTTTCAACATTTCGGTATTTCATTTTTTTTATTGTTCAATGTTTCACTTTTTTTCGATTTTTCAGTTTTCGATTTTTTAATTTTACAGTTTTTCGATGGTTATTTTGACGTTCTTCAACTTTTGAATTTTACAATTTGTCGATTTTTAAAAATCAGTTTTTTGAATTATCGAAGTTTTCAGTTTCTCAAGTTTTAAGCTTACAATTTTTAAATTTCTCGGTGTTTCAAGTTCCGTTTTTTCTATTTTTGATTTTTAATTTTGGAATTGTTCGATTTTTCTGTTTTTTAAATTTTCAGTTTTTTTCATTTTTGAGGTTACAATTTTTCATTTTCCAACTGTTGACCTCTTAATTATCCGATTTTGAGTTTCTTTATCTTTGCAGTTCTTCGATTTCTCAATTTTTAAATTGTTCGGTGTTTCAATGTTTCTTTTTCGATTTCACTTTTCATAAGTGTCCTTTTGTTGAAAAATTAAAAAACGAAAAATTGAGAAAATAAAAAATTAAAAATAATGTACTTCCAAGTATTTAGTTCCAAATTGTTTTGTTTCTTAGATTTTTTGATTTCTCAGTTCGAGATTTTTATATTTTTCGTATTTTTAATTGATAATTTTTCGGTTTTTCCGTGTTTCGATTTCTCCATTTTTTAGTTTTTCAATTTTCATTATGAAATTGTTGCACTTTTCAGTAAAATGTTTGTATTTTTCGATTTTTTAATTTGTAGATATTTTAATTTTTCGATTTTCTAATTTGCTTTTTAATTTTTACAATTTTTCGTTTTTTTAGGTTTCAATGTTACAAATTTTCGATTTTACAGTTTATATCTTTTTCTCAGTTGTTCCATTTTTTAATTGTTTTTTCGCTATCCAATTTTCAGTTTGCCAATTTTTTCAATTTTTCGATATTTCAAGTTTGGTTTTTCAATTTTAATTTTTTTTTCAAATTTACAATTTTGTAATTGTTTCATTTTTAAATTTGTCGATTCTTAATTTTTCACTTTTTTCAAATAATTGCATATTTGGGTTTTTATTATTCAATTTTTGGCTTTTCCATTTTCCCATTTTTCAGTTTTTGTATTTTTTCAATTCTTCGATTTCTCAACTTTTAAATTTTTCGGTTTTTCAGTGCTTGGTTTTTTCGATGTTACAATTTTTTAAATTTTTCCAAGTTTCGTTTTTACGATTACCTAATATTTTAGTTTTTTTCTTTAAAAATTTCTGAATCTTGAAATTATTTTTTTTTTATTTTTGATTGTTTAATTTATAGAAGTTTTTGTTTTTCGTGTTTTCGATTTTTCACTTTCTCGATTTTTAATTAATCAAGTTTCAATATTACAATTTTTCGATTTTTCAATTTTTAAATTTTTCACGTTTTCAGCTCTCATTTTTTCGGTTTTATCAAGATTTCTTTATTTTTTCAATTCTTCGATTACCCAATTTTTTTTTTTCAATCCAGTTCAAAATTTCGGTTTGAATAAATTTGTCCTTTTGTTGGAAAGAAAATAAAAAAATTAAAATCGAGAATTTGAAAATTTCTAAAATTTCGATATTTCGACGGTCGATTCTGGAAAAACGGTTGCAGTTATCAGAGAAACGAGGCCGGAAATGAGCTCTGGAGTTCGAAATCTACCAGAAAATGCATTTAGTTCACTTTCGAAAATGTCAAATTTTGGCCGAAATTTGAAGAAGGGGGGACTATTAACATTGGAAAAATTTTACTTTTAAAAAAGTCGTCTAAAAATTCTGAAAAAATTCAGGAACGTAGATCTCGACAAGCTGATTCCAAAAATATAGTCTGTTAATGGTCACGAAGCAACATTTTCGAAAAAAGCAGCATGAAATTCGAATATTTGAGAATTTCTAAAGTTTTGATTTTTCGACGGTCGATTCTGGAAAAACGGTTGCAGTTATCAGAGAAATGACGCCAAAAGTGAGTTCTAGAGTTCAAAATCTATAAGAAAAGGCATTTAGTTAAGGTTAAGCGTTCCTACTATCGCGGAATTTCTACGCCTTGTTGGTAATTGCGCTGGGTTTGGGTATTGCTAAAGGCATCCGTAAGGTGTACATGCAGCTGGTGATTCCCGCCCATGTACCCATCGAAAAACTGGCCAATGCTAGCGGCATGGAAATGATGATGAACGGGTTCTGTATAATCATTGGTGGACCTACGTTGGGTGTTGTTCGTGACGTCACGGGTAGCTACTCCTTATGCATCATTCTGATGAACTGCGTGACCTTCACTACTATCCTGATGTGGACAATAGAGGCTATTATAGTAAAGTGTAGGAGAAAGAACAAAGGGAGTATAGAAGCGGCGACTTAAATAAAATCTATTTTTTATAAAATCATACAATAAAAAATTAAATACACTAACTACTAATCTATTATCACATTTAAAAGAGGGTGTGCGGGCCCCACTAATCTAGTGCATAATCTTAGAGCCCGAATAATACCACAGACGTACTAATATCGGTGTTTCACCACTTTTTTAAACAAATAAACGATCCTCGAGGCGAGGTCGTTGTTCAAGCGACATTTCAAAACCAAGTAGGCCAGAAGTCGAAACAAAACCATAAAAATACATATAATTCCCAACTGGTACTTGTAGTCCATCAAGGGCATCGCCATGTCAGCCATTAAAATATCCGGGTGCGCATAATGACAATAAATCTGGTCTTCAGGACACACCAGTGGCGCCCTCTGATAAAACAAAGTATTACAAACCCCCACCACCCCATTCCGGATGTACGTCAGCGTCATCATAACCTTATAAAACGGCTCAATCGAACTCCTATACCCCATCCCGTACACAGCCAACGCCAACAACGGCGCCAAAACCGACGGCCCCACCACCGACCCGTTCGTGATACTAAAAATGGACCCTATACAGTACCCCAACCCCTGCGACGTCAGCGCCACCGCCAGACCTATGAGACAAAAACCCAAAAAGCGGTCCCCTTCCAGCGGTTGATGCGTCATCAAGTACACAATCGTGGAGAACATCAACGACAACACCACCAGAAGCGGCATCATCGACACCGTTAGCGCCGAGTAGTACGCTTTCAGGCCATACCACCGGTTGAAGTACTCGCGCTTCATCAACTTCACCTCCAGCGGAACTGTAAAACGTATCTAAGTCTCTACCTAAAGTCAAGACTCAACCACTTACAGAGCAACACCGGCATCATCACGTACGTGTACATGTAGAACACGTTGCAGCAGACGCAATACTTGAAAATGGCGATGGTTTGGGAGGCGTCGTTGCCGATCCCGTAGAAGATGCCGCCCACGATGGCCCCGGACAACAAGTGGTGGAAAAACTGGATGTATAACCCCGTGCGGTCACGCCGCATCTGGAGGAACATCCGCGACAGGAGGATGGAGAACTGGACGAAGAAGGAGTTGGCGAACTCGATGTCGTTTTTCTCGATGACGATCTCAGTGGGGTCGGTGTAGATGTCCCCGTCGTCGAGAGACTTGGCGGGTTTGTCGTCGGTGTTCGACGCCTCGCGCATGTTGATTTTGCCGTCCTGGATCGCGGTTCGGAAGCTTTGGACCATGGAGGGTTGCGAGTGGACGAGTTCGATCACTGGGAAAACGACGGATTCAGTATTTTCTGAAGTAACCTTCCAGAGATTTTTTTTTTAGTGGTAGTACCGTGGAGTACCTTGGACTGAAACGTGGTTCCACTAACAGGAAAAGCGGGTTTGTGATAGGCACTTACTGAAGTCGCACGGAGTGTTATTTGAAGGGCAGGAGTAGCCGACTAGAGAGAAGAAGGGGACGAGTTGGGTCGGCGAACCGTTGTAGACACAGCTTCCGTTCGCCACAATGTACACCTAAAAAAATACACAAAGGAATTAACAGCGGACTACCTTGACTTCTGAGAAAATACATATACAAAATGCAAATTCTGGTTTTTTTATTCCTTGAGAATTTTTCTCCGAAAAAAATTGTTTTTATGCCGACCAATTACAACTCTTGCATTTTTTAATTTTTTGTTGTCGATTTTTCAGTGTCTCGATTTTTATTTCGTCAATTTTTTCAAGTTTCAATGTCATAATTTTTAGATTTGACAGTTTCTCATGTTGTCGATTTTTCCATTTTAAGATATTTTTATTTTTTGATTTTTCAGTTGTTGATTTTTTCGTTATCTATCCGATTTTTTACTTTCGCTATTTTTTCAACATTTCGGTATTTCTCAAGTTTTAAGATTACAATTTTTATATTTCTCGGTGTTTCAGTTTCGTTTTTTCTATTTTTGATTTTCAATTTTGCAATTTTTCATTTTTCAATTGTTGACCGCTTAATTATTAGATTTTGGGTTTCTTTATGTTTGCAGTTCTTAAATTTCTCAATTTTTAAATTGTACGGTTTTTCAATGTTTCTTTTTCAATTTTTCAGTTTTACAATTTTCCGATTTTTTTTGATTTTTTAAAATTTCAGTTTTAATAAGTTTGTCCTTTTGTTGAAAAATTAAAAAACGAAAAATCGAGAAAATGAAAAATTAAAAATAAAGTACTTCCAAATAGGTAATTCCAAATTATTTTGTTTCTGAGATTTTTTGATTTCTTAAATCGAGATTTTTATATTTTTTGTTTTTTTAATTGATAATTTTTCGACTCTTCCGTGTTTCGATTTCTCCATTTTTTAGTTTTGCGATTTTCATTATGATTGTTGCATTTTTCAGTAAAATTTTTGTAATTTTCGATTTTTTAATTTGTGGATATTTTAATTTTTCGATTTTCTAATTTGCTTTTTAATTTTTCGATTTTCTGTGTTGAACTTCACAATTTTTCGTTTTTCCGATTTTTCAATTCCTAGATTTTTAATTTGTCATTTCTTCAGGTTTAAATGTTACAAATTTTCGATTTTACAATTTCTATCTTTTCCTCAGTTGTTCCATCGTATAATTTAAAATTTTAAATTTGCCGATTTTTAATTTTTCAGTTTTTTCAAATAATTGCATATAAGGGTTTTCATTATTCAATTTTTGGCTTTTCCATTTTCCGATTTTTCAGTTTCTGTATTTTTTCAATTCTTCGATTTCTCAACTTTCAAATTTGTTTACAATTGTTTAATTTTTCCATGTTTCGTTTTTACAATTCCTTAATTTTTTAGTTTTCGGGTATTCACTTCAAAATTTTTGAATTTTGAAATTAATTTCTTATGTATTTTTGAATTTTTTACTTTCTCGATTTTTAATTAATCAGGGTTTTCAGGTTTCAATATTACAATTTTTCAATTTTTCGATATTTCAAGTTTCATTTTTCAGTTTTTAAGTCTCATTTTTTCAATTCTTCGATTACTCAATCTTTCGGAAAATTGCAGAATTGCTTCGTTTTGTCGATTTTTCACTTTATCGATTTTTAATTAATCAGAGTTCTGAGGTTTCAATATTACAATTTTTCGATTTTTCAATTAACCAATTCAATTTCTCAATTTTTGTTCATTTTTCGATATTTCAAGTTTCATTTTAAAATCTTTGGATTTTGAAATTAAAAATTTTTGTATTTTTGATTATTTAATTTATAGAAATTTTTGTTTTTCGTGTTTTCAATTTCTCGATTTTTAATTAATCGGGGTTTTCAGGTTTCTACATTACAATTTTTCGATTTTCCAATTGTTTTTTCAATTATCCACTTGTTTAATTTTTCAATTTTTAATTCTCATTTTTTCGGTTTTTTCAATTTTTCTTTATTTTTTCATTTCTTCGACTTCTCAATTTTATTTTTTTGATTTTTCAATTTTATAATTTTTAGATTTTTCAATGTTACAATTTTCTGATTTTTAAATTTTTCAAAATTTCGGTTTGAATAAATTTGTTCTTTTGTCGAACAATTAAAAAATGAAAAATCGAGAAAATAAAGAAATAAAAATTTAGAATTTGAAAAATTTTACATCGAAAAACTGCAAAATTGTTTCTTTTTGTTATTTTTTCAATTTCTCGATTTTTAATTATTTTGTTTTTTATGTTTCAGTGTTACAATTTTTCGGTTTTTCAAAAGTTCAGTTTGAATAAATTTGTCCTTTGTTGAACAATTAAAAAATGAAAAATCGAGAAAATGAAAAATTAGAAATCGAGAATTTGAAAAATTTTATATCGAAAAACTGCAGAATTGCTTCACTTTGTCGATATTTTAATTTCTCGATTTTTAATTAATCAGGGTTCCGAGGTTTCAACATTACAATTTTTCGATTTTTCAATTATCCAATTCAATTTCTCATTTTTTTCATTTTTCGATATTTCAAGTTTCATTTTAAAATCTTTGGATTTTGAAATTAAATTTTTTGTATTTTTGATTATTTAATTTATAGAAATTTTTGTTTTTTGTTTTTTCAATTTCTCGATTTTTAATTAATCAGGGTTTTCAGGGTTCTATATTACAATTTTTCGATTTTTTCAATTATCCACTTGTTTAATTTCTCATTTTTTCATTTTTTGATTCTCAATTTTCCGGTTTTTTTCAATTTTTCTTTATTTTTTCAATTCGACTTCTCAATTTTTAAAATTTGATTTTTCAATTTTATAATTTTTAGACGTTTCATTGCTACAATTTTCTGATTTTTAAATTTTTCAAAATTTCGTTTGAATAAATTTGTCCTTTCGTTGAACAATCAAAAAATGAAAAATCGAGAAAATAAAGAATTACAAATTAAGAATTTGAAAAATTTTACATCGAAAAACTGCAAAATTGTTACTTTTTGTTGATTTTTTCAATTTCTCGATTTTTAATTATTTTGTTTTTTATATTTCACTGTTACAATTTTCCGATTTTTCAAAAGTTCAGTATGAATAAATTTGTCCTTTGTTGAACAATTAAAAAATGAAAAATCGGGAAAATCAAAAATTAGAAATCGAGAATTTGAAAAATTTTATATCGAAAAATTGCAGTATTGCTTCGTTTTGTCGATTTTTCAGTTTCTCGATTTTTAATTAATCAGTTTCAAAATTACAATTTTTCGATATTTCAAGTTTCATTTTAAAATCTTTGGATTTTGAAATTAAAATTTTTTGTATTTTTAATTATGTACTTAATTTATAGAAATTTTTGTTTTTCGTTTTTTCAATTTTTCAATTGTTTTTTCAATTATCCACTTGTTTAATTTCTCATTTTTCATTTTTCGATTTTTCAATTTTTGATTGTCATTTTTTCGGTTTTTTCAATTGTTGCTTTATTTTTTCAATTCTTCGACTTCTTAATTTTTAAATGTTTTGATTTTTCAATTTTGTAATTTTTAGACGTTTCATTGTTACAGTTTTCTGATTTTTAAATTTTTCAAAACAATTAAAACTTGAAAAATTTATTCCTATATCGAAAAATTGCAGAATTGTTTCGTTTTGTCGATTTTTCAATTCTAGAATTTTAATTGTTGCATTTTTTAATGTTTCGGTGTTTCAGTTATTCGATTTTTTTATCTTTCAATTTCGGGATTTTTTATTTTTAATTTTTCTATCTTTTTACAATCTTTCAATTTTTGGTGTCTCGATTTTTTAGTTTCTCGATTTTCATTTTAAAATTTTTGTATTCTTCATTGTTTCAATGACACAATTTCCCGATTTTCCAATACTCTAGTTTGGATAAATTTGTTCTTTTGCTGAAAAATAAAAAAACACGAATTGAAAAATTAAAAAACCAAGTATAAAAGTCAAAAAATTGTAAAATCGGAACTAACAAAGCAAAAAATAGATTAAATGAAAAATCGTAAAATCGAAACCTGAAGAATCTGTAAAATTAACATGAATGAACACACACGATGAATAATATTTGAATTTGGCGTTAGTTTGAATGTGATTTGTTGTGATTATATGCTGTTTTTATCCTTGCGTAAAAATCCACAACTGGTTTTACTTGTTCCGCCAAATTTTCATTAAAATGTAACGTTTGAATAATGAAACTCCGCATTTTCCACACGAAACCGGACTACCTGATAAGTTCCAGGAATGTTCAAAACAAAACTGGAATGTTTAAATTTTTTTAGCTTTGAAGGACAAAAAATTAATTATTCTTGTACAAGAACATAAAAATGTACATATATACTATTATCGTGATGGATAACGCAGACTAATTGCAGAGGTTTTTTGGCTGTTACAAGTTGTATAATAACACTATTGTTTCTCCACTCAGAAAAACTTGTTTTTTGTGGGTGACCCTGCGTACTTTTCTGTTCGTTTTTACAAGTGCGGGTGAATTTCCGCTGACTTTACGATCGTTACATGTTAGTCCGACGTGCATAATTAACAAACAAAATGTAGATGCCATTGCGATAATAAACAACCATTTGCATACAATAGAGCCAAGATTATATGTTTATAAAAAATCAAAGCCAACGCCGGCGAATTTGCGTTTTTCAGACGAGTATGACGAGTCAAAAATTGAAATAAAAATTCCGCTGGAGTTCCCAACGCTAACAGTAAACCTTATATGGAATGAGCAGTTATTAGCTTCATCTCTGCTACAAATGGATTTATCGCTCTAGGCAAATAGTTGAAGCGCCAGTTTCATTTATGATCGTTATTTCTTTGATAATTAACGAGTAGTAAATTTTTTACTTTTGTTAGATTGTCCAAGCGCTTGGTAATTTGCATACGAATGCAAAGTATCCAGTTTCTAAAAACAAAAGGCGACAGACTCGTGCAATGGTCGACCTAGAACCGTGGTCAACTTTAATGAATGTTCGTTCTAATCCATTAAAACCAACAAAGTGTAAAGAAAACGTCTAAGTCGGTAGCAACCTTTGAATTACACCAATCCAATACTTTCGTTTTTTACACACCCAGCACAAACAATCTTCCACTAAGTGTACTATTACCGTCTGCATAAATCAACTTTCTCCTTGAAATCAACAATTATCCGATTCATTACAAGAAAATTTTACCTCGTCCTATAAATAAACGAAAATCGAAACCCCCCACGAACGCGACCCACTTTACTAAATTAAATTAACAACCCCGCAAGTTACATCATCGCAAACATCGCTCCCTTCTCCAAACAAAACCCCAATGCTTGCACAAACTGCTAAAATCGCCACGACCGCACGATTTCGGCGCCATTACCCAAGCCTCGTTTCACTTTCTTGGACGCAATTACAACAATTGAACGTGACACTCTTTCGCAGTCACTCACCTGATCGAAATATTGGAAAATCGAAGCGGGAGGTTGGTGGATCGTGCAGATCACGGTCCGATCCAGCTGGCTGATTTTCTTCAGCAAGTCTATGCATTGTTTGATTGCGTAGTTGTCCAGACCTCTGCAAAAAAAAGTCACGGTCCGGATGAGCGGAACGGTGATTTCGCACCAAGGGTATGCGAAATGCAAAAAAATCAGATCAAAATGTCATTTTCTGTCTGCAGCAAAGTGGTGCCTCTTCAAGGTTCGCTCCGTTTTTAGGAGCAATCTAGTAGGTATGTAAAAATGTCGGTGCTTTTTGTGACTTTTTAAAATGAGTTTTTTTTTTTTAATCCAGCATTTTTGCAACAATTAACCTTCGATCTTGGATAATTGTAGTACACTGGAGCTGTTCGACAGGTTTCATTTTTTAGAAACAGCAGCGTTTCAGGGTCCGTTTTTAAAATTATGATGATGGAATTAGTGATTAAATTCGCTTCGATTGACATTTTTATATTTTAAAAAATTGAATCGACAAAGTCAGACTTGCTAGAGTGGAAATACTTTACGAAAAACACACCAGTGAACATGTCCTTCTCACGGTATTTTCACTCTATGTGACGTCACGAACTATTTAATTTATCGCTGTTACAGATAATAAAATTGTTTCCAAACACCCACATATCAGTTATTATTTACCACAATCATGAAAATATAATATGTCGGACTAAAAACCTCCAGCAAAACTTACGTGGTCGGCTCATCCAGGAAAATCACCGGCGGATTGTTAACCAATTCAAGGGCGACAGTTAGCCGTTTCCGCTGCCCCCCCGACAAGTACTCGCTCAGAGTATCCGTACACTTTTCCAAACCCAGCAGATTAATAACCTCATCGACCTAGAAATTTCCGCGATCTACTCGCTTCTGACACCATCGAACCGACTCACCACAGCCAGCTTGTCTTTGTACTCGATGTGGGACCCCAGCTTGAGACAGGCCGCGTAAATCATCGCCTCCTTCACGGTCAGATGCATCTGAATCGTGTCCTCCTGCATAATATACGAGCTCAACTTATTGAAAATTCGCATCTCGCGCGGCCTATCGTTGACTGTGATGACGCCCTTGGCACCCGCCGTCCTGTAAAACTCCGCTCGAGACGACTATGGCAACGGATCCGCGCTACTTACACGCAGCCGGCTAGGATGTTCAGCAGAGAGCTTTTCCCGGCGCCGCTGGGCCCCATGATGGCTGTGAGTTCGCCGCAGCGAAACTTTCCGTTCACGGAGTTTAAAATCGGACGCCATCCTAGAAAAAAAAAAAAGCGACCTTAGGAAGACAATGGAATGTGCATTTTAATTGGTGGACGTCACGCAAAAAAGCGATGATTATGCACCACGTGCAGCAAATTCGAGTTATTATTGTGTAATTTAGAGCTTAAGTTCTTTTTTTTCTAATCTAAGAACCGGTCTAGTTAATGCTTGCTTATTAGCAAGGGAAAACTTTATTATTAATCGCTCGAATGGCAATAAAGTAAGTGATGTAATTTATTGCCGTTTTTTGGAGTGGGTGGGTGGTCATCAACAAAGTCGTTTTGCTGCGTTCCAAGTATGTACGTGTCCCGTGTATCCGATTGGCATTTAATTTTTGTACGAGGGACATGTGCTAAGAGTCATGGCTACATTGACCTGTTTTTATTTTTTAGTACGAGTGAATGATTGCCTTCTTGAGTTTGTGAAGGCGATATGAATTCTTCCGGTTTCTGCAACTATCTAAATTTGCAATGTGTGAAAGTCGGACTTACAAACACTTGTCGCAATTAAGATGAACGTTTTAATGTATTTGTCCACGTTGCCTATTGTATAATAAACAGCGTAATCAATCTGGTAATTTTAAACTAATTATTGTTTGTTTAATGAAACTGCAATAAATCATGATAGAATTTTAATTAGGACACTTTATTACTAGATTCGAAGTTTTCTGTTATCTAGGAAATGCACTAAATTATTTATTCTATTAATTAAAATTTACGACCTTGCCGCAAACGAAACAAAAGTCTGTCCTTAAAAGTTTATTACTAAATCAAAATCTCTATGAGGTCTCCGCACGTCAAAAAACTAATTTTTCAAAAACCAAAATTTGCAAAAAATCAGCAAAAACCGATAACCTTACACAGACAGTTCACGATGCGATAAAAATACAAATATTAGACAGTGCAATTTAGAAAAACAAAGTTGCAGACGAAAGGGTATTTTTTCAGTAGACCTCAATGAAATATTTTTAAAATAAACATACAGTATCAAAGATTTTTTATCAGTTAGTTTGCCCCTCTTTTTAAATAACTATGCAATAAAAAATCTCATTACATAACCAGCAGTACAATTTCGAAATTTCTCGGGTTCATACGAAAACTGGATCGACCTATTTTATCATTTCTATCAAATCTTATTCTCGACCTTTTAATCAAATTTATTATTCACACACCGAGAAACACCCGAATAACTTTGTTTAGCAAACGTCAGCAATATTTTAAAAATAGCCCTCCCATCTGTCGAACTGTCGCCTGTCGTGAAGAAGGCGAAGCACTAATCAAAATTTGTCTGCTCATCCCCACCAACAATGTGATAACATTATTGTAAATGTTACTTAAATTGTGCAAAACAACATACACGTGGAGTTTACGAATCCGTTTTGATTTTGTCCCATTGATTTTCCTATTTTTAGAAAAAAATCAAAATTTTATAATACCGTTTCACAATTTAACTTTGAAATTACACAACCGAATCTCTGAAATCTTGCTACAAAAAAAAGTTAAAAAATAAACAACCAATCAGATTATAGCTCGTTACAATGGATGTTTGCAATTTAACACTTTTTAAATTAACCAAGTTTTACAAGAGTAGTATGGACAAAGTCAGTCTACTCCTATCAATTACGAGCCCCGCCCACCCGACCCCTATTTTCTCAGAGGACATGTCATTTGCCAAAATAATTCTAACCTTAGCAAGTAAGTATTTTGCTTTTTTTTTTCTTAATATACACAGTCATCTTTTAACAACAAAAACTTAAAACATGTTGATAAAGGTGAATTTTTGTACGGAAATATGTATTTTGCAGTTACGCCATACCCCTCGGTTTGGCAACGAATGAACAATTCATCACGAGATTAAGCCCTACCCATACTTGCCCCGATTTCAATAGTGATGAAGTTTTGATTCGTTGTCAGACCGAGGGGCGGAGTGTAATTGAAAAAGCCATATTTCTCTACAAAAATTTACAATTTTAAACACGTTTTGAGTTTCTTGTTGTGAAAAGATCACAACGTATATTAAGAAAAAAAAAGCAAAATTTAAGCCCCGCCCACGCAATCAAATATTTCAAAATTGTCAAAAATAACAAGGCGTCAACATTCTTAAAACTAACAAAAATATAACAAATGGGATTAAAAATCTCAAGAACAAAATAGGTAAAGTTTTTATTTAAAAAAGTTAAAAATGCCAAATAACTCAAGAATGTCAAATACCAAAATCTCTACAGAAAAAATTGACTGCCCAAAACATGGAGTACGTCAAAAATGCCATAACCGCGAAAATGACAAAAATGGTAAAAATGTGAACGATGTCAACTACTCTTCTTAAAAACATCCAGACTGCCAAAAAATGGATGATGTTGGTTTAACATGTAGTTTATCAATGCATTAATATGTTTTTAGAATTAGTATATCGTCTGATGAATTAATTAATGAGGAAATTTATTTTATTGATTAAATCAAGAACGTTTCACGCCGTTTTCTCCAAAATTTGGAAAAAGAATACAGTTTTACACCGCCATCTACCCAAATTGATATTTGTTTTTGTTAAAATGTATGAAATCATCACATTTAATTTTTTTTTATGCAAAAACTCACTTGCGATATACCATATATATGTTTATTTTAACTTATCTTAAAAAATAAAATTTGCAAAACCAAATTTTATAATTTTTCGGACGAGTTTTTTTTTTAAGTTTAATGAACAAAAAATGTTTTATGATTTTTTCTGGACGCAAAATTTACTCGTGTTTACCATTATTCACAGTTCTTTATCATTATCATCGGCTCTATTTACGCTAAATTTTGTTGAAGTTACAAAGTAAACAGCAAGTTCCTTTTCATACTTTTTTAATAAGTAACTATTTTTCTGTATGTTTTTATAATCATAAATATCGTAGAACAATCAGGGCGTTTTTTTATGATGTGTTTATGAATTATTTGCCCAAAGTTCAACAACAATTTTCATGATGATGATACCTGACTGCGATAACTCGCGACGGTCTAACAATAATCATTTATACTGCGTGTAACCCCGTTGCCTTGACCTGTCCCGAATAAACGCTGATTAGATGAATTGTGTCAAATATCAAATATTTGTCTACAAAATGAAACCAACAACGGTAGCGCACACACGAAAACGTGCACCCATGATTATTTGGTATAACCGTGACGTCACACCGCTAGACCAGATTCTATTTTCGTTATACAAATAATTGAGGACTATTTGCTCTTCAATTGAGAGAAATTAGATTACGAGTCGGGAACTAGTTTAATCAATTGCCGCTCGTGATTAGTCGAAAAGAGAATTATCGGCTTCCGAGAAAAAAAAGATATTGAACTTGTAACCCATGTTGTGTCCAAATTTCACGACGTTACGCACTAATGTCGCTCCTTACGCAACGTCTTAATTCGAAAATAATAAATCGTGTATTTACATTTGATGAGTGCTTTCTCGTTTTCTAATGCCAGTCACAATGTAATTTAAAAATTAATATTCCGTGGATAATGATTTAATTGTTATGGTAAAGCTCGCAAAAGTACGTAGCCTTTAATTCAAACTTAATTGCAAGAAACGTAAAGTAATGACAAAATTTCCAAACATTATGGAAATGTCTTATCTGTACTAATTACGGAAAAATACTAATTGCTTAAAAAACCACACATTCTAGAGCACCTGAATCGATAGCTTATCAATTTTGCAACAAGAATGCAGATTTTTAAGATACGACGTCTGACGATTAACTAATCTAATCGTCAAAGGTCAATGAGACTTGGTTCACAAAGAAAAGTGGCCTTCAATTTTGAAGACCATCCGGAAAACCGAAGCGCGGAAAACTCAAGGCTTTGGTGGGCAGCTGATTATTCTCGAAAAAACGGGTTTTGTAGGCGTTCACCAACACTTTCGGCGTAATTCAGAGTATTTGCTTTACGTTATTGTAAAAAATTGCACTACTGATTTATGCAATTAAATAATAATTCAGACGTGACCTTTGCATCGATAAGGAACTTTAGCAACAAAAACGACCAACATCTTTGAAGTTCATCACAAATGAGTCTCAGTGTTCAAAATAAATACGGAAATCAGCAGGCGTTAAGTGCGTATTCTAACCGGCAAAATTTGCTAATTTAATGTTAAAACGGACACATTTCCGGTAAATAATGCTGATATGGTTGGAAGCCAGCTTGAACAGGCTTGAATTTGCAAATATCTAGCAAACTTAAAAAATATATAAAGTGTTGTGAGACTCCAGAACTGGCCGAATTCATTCAAAACTACTACCTGCAAAATCTCGAAATCCAATTTTCTTAAAATTTCAGTCGTGATTTCCTGGTCGTGCCGCAAACTCACCGCATTTAACCATCATCACGGATGCTGTTATCGAAACGCTCGTGACTTATTCTTATACAAATTCGCGCTATAAAAACCAAACAAACACAAAATGACAATGAAAAATTGTTATTGATTTGTTTATGCTTCGCAGTAAAGGTTAATCCAATGCAAATCTTTCGGTAACAGCATTTTCATGTCGCAAAAAAAAATCATAAATCAGCCTAAATTTAAGCAGTGATGTCCGTAAAAGAATGATGACCGAGCCTTAGGGCACACTTGTTGCGTTTCCAGCCAACTGCGAACTTAACCCGACCGAAAACACTCACCCCCTTTCAGGTTGCTGTCCCTGACGGAGTACGACAGGTCCTGGAACTCCAGGTCGAGTTTGGGCCTCTTCGCCACCCTGTTGAGGTGCTTCAGCGGCTTGTTCCTCAAAGGCACTTGTACTTCCTCACTGGTCATTTTCTCGTCCATCACTAACCCGACGCGCGTCGCTACTGCTCGCTCCTGCCGCCAACTGCAAGCACACTCGTGCGCTTTCACTGATACTGAAGAATAGTTGGTTTTTCAGACGCTATGACAATGACCGCAAACTTGGTAATCGCGGGAAAATTACAAAAGGTACAGCTCGACAGCTGAGGTGGGTAATTGAAGTGCGTTAAGGTACGCACTTTGCGTGCATTTGGAATGAATCGGCCACCTGTTGGACAAACAGTGAACAATTCAAGCTGTCTGCGGAGGATTGGCACTTCCTGAAGCTGCAAGTTGTCGAAGTGCCAGATTTTTGAATTCTCGGTGGTACAAAAATTATTCGGTGGTGAAATGCGACCTGCTTAAACCAAATCTACTCGTTTGGGCGGTGTCAAAATGCTGGAGAATATATTAGCATTTAGACGAAGTGGACACTCAAAACTCGTTCCATGCAAAAAAAAACTTAGGCCTTATCAAGGTGTTTACTTTCAGGATTTTATGGCAATTTAAAATTGTGTCCCCGACGTTTACGGTTTCATAAATAGTACTTTTCCCATCACGGTCTCCATTCGGGGCTAATTTGCCACAACTGTCGATTTAAATTACATTTAGATTCATTCAATTATTATACTACACAATTAATTTTCTGGAAACCTACGCTAAAATATGTGAGAAACACTCGAATCAAGATTTGCGTTTTATGAATGATTAATCACAAATGGCATTGAATGTTTGGCTCATAGAATTCCGAGAGTTATAGATTGCAGCAGCGATCGAAACTTGTTTAATTTCAAAAAAAAAAAAAAGACGACTCCACCGAAAAACGGTGTTTGAGCCTGCAAAATCAGTTAGGTGTGGTTTGGGCAGATGTTCCGCATGGTTTCACGGCCGGTCCGCGGTACAACGTATATTCTAATTTTTTTCCTCGCGGTGGAATTCAATTAACGCATTGTGTTTTTAAGCAAAAATAAAACAAAAATATACATGTAAGTCAATGCTACGGGTTTCTACGAGTTCGCGATTATTGCAAAGGAGATTTTACCAACATGTACTTTGCTCCCAATTGGTAAACGCTATTAATCAAGTGATTCATCAGATGAATCACAAGAATCTGGTAGATTTATTTAAAATATTCAACCATTTTAGTGTTTTTTGTTCCATAGGAAAATTTATTTATTTTTTAATTAAATTTGGCTTAATTAGCACAACTACAACACAACGGGTAAACAAGTTTTTAGCGATTGCACGTGTCCCAGGTCAACATGTTTCGTTTTACCGCTTTATTTCTAAGCTATTAATTGTTAAAAAACCTGTTTATCGAAAAAATGACAATTGATAATGAGTGTCACAATGCGATTAAGTAAAGATAAAAACCAAAGTTTTTACAAAGTCGCAAACAACGAAAGGCTCGAATTACCCCCAAAATATAAAAAGTTCCAACTCTTTGCAATGATTAATTAATTTTTTGATAGGGAGGAATAAACAAAATTTATTATGTTTTACAACCGTTCAATGAATACAACTTAACTTTTGAAACACACAATTAACAGCTATTTATTACTAAACACGTCAGATTGTGCAAAAATATTTTTGTAACATTTCACAGGAAACGAGTAATCTTCTACATTATCACTCGAGTAGCGACCAATCAAAAAATATCAAGTAGTCCATTGTTAAAAATAAGGGGCTGATAAAATTCACGTCACATACCGATTTTATCTGAATGCCAATCAATCAGTTTTATTAATACTAATTTAATTTAATATTAATTCATCTAAAATTAGCTTCACAGCCAACCCGAAATGTGAAATTTATCAATAACCACGCTTAAGCATTTTTATATTATTCTCTTACTCAGCAAACTACGCCGATTTTATCCAGTTTTAGTAAAATTAAAAACAAGTACCAAGTCCACTCACCACAATACTTTTTTCAAACAAAATAAATATCCTTCTAAATCAATCTAAACGTGAACAGATAAAACGAACTCTGGCAAGTAGAAGACGAAAGAAAAATAATTGTAAACACTTATTAATTACTCACTTTATCACTTATAATTAATCATTATTAGATACAAAGTTCTCCAATAATCGTTATAGCGATTAAATTCTACACACCGATCGATAAAATCACAGACAAACATCATAAAAAAATTATCTTGCTTTTAATTTGTTGTAAAACAGCAACCTTAAACTCGCCTCCCCGGAAATATCGTCCTCCTTCACGTAGCCACAACCGTATCGAACCGCATAAGCGCAAAACTTATCCCCCGACCGCTCCAGCACTCCCTCCATGTCTCCCTCACCGAAAAACTCCGGAAACCTATTAACAACGACCATCAAAACTCGGTAATAAACATCCAAACTTTTACACTCTTGTAAATAACGGAAGTTCTGTTCATTCCCCAGAGTCATTAAATTCAAATACACCAGAAAATTCCTCTGTCTGTTCTCATCCACCTCCACAATCCTCAACAAAATCCGCAACAGCTTCCCCAAAACCGCGCCTTGCGTTACGTTCTTAAAAACTAAAGCACACACTTGCGTCAAAAATGATAAATTCCCGCACAACACCTTCACCCCCAGATCCACCCCACAACACTCCTCGAACACCTCCAGCACCAACATCTTCGTCTGAGCGTCGCAAACCGTGCTCGAACACAACTCCGAGATCAGTTTGAACCCCATCGACCGCAACAATGTCGTAAAATCGCTGGCGGTCTTCAAACCGTCTCTCACCACCTCCAGGATAAACCGCTTGTGCTCCTTGGATTGCACATGGGGGCTGTGTAACAACGTGTACAGCTCGGGAATCGTGGAAAAATCGAGCGCGTCCTTCGCCCCCAGGTACTGCGACAGCGGCACGTACATCACCTCCGTGGGTTGCGTGAGCACCAGAGCAGTCCGCGCTAAGAAAACCCCCACGAAGTTGTTGACTTTGAAGTCGTCCAAAACCGCCACGCCTTTGCAGACGGCCTCCACGAAGCGCAGCCACAGCGGGTTGTCTTTGCCGGTTTGGCGGGCCTCCAGGTGGAAGTAGAAGCGCTGCAGGATGTGGCAGGTCGCCAGTCTTTGGTTTTTGTCGCCGCGGAAGCCGGTGAGGGATAGCGCGAGGGCGCCGCTCTTGGTGAACTTGTACGTGGCGATCGGGTTTTCTGGAGCCAGGATGTGGCCGAAGAGGGGTAGGAAGTAGTCCAGGTCGTACGAGTCGGGGTGCGATGGGTCGGTGATTGTCGCCGAGATCGTGGGGAGGTGGAGGTTGTTTAACACGTCGGCGGTTTTGGGTTGGCGCCAGAGGGCTTTTTGGAGGTCGGAACGCACGGAGTAGTGGGAGGCGGCGGCGCGGCCCCACAAGAAGGGCTTGAAGTCGAAGAACTTGGTCTGGTCGGGGCGGGATTCGTACCTGGAATAATTTATTTAAGACGTGTGGTAGCTGGGTTTAAATTCGCTTGTCACAAAATAGTCCAGAACTAAAAGATTATTTTTTAATGGTGGTAATACAAAGTGACGCACGAGTGAAAAACAGGTGTCGATAGAAAAACTAAACTTTCTTGTTAATGAGAACGGTAATTACTCACTTCCAACGTGTCATTATAGATAATTTTATTTCAACCGAGGTAATTAACTTAATTTGAAGATTGTATTATTGCAGGTCTTTAAAAGACTGCTTTCTCGATGAAAGTGGGCGTTTTTTCCATAAGTAAGAGATAATTTCCTGTCTTTTAACAAAACTCTTTCTTTATGACATCCGTCCGGAAGACTCTCCGCATTTGATATTCTATATGGAAGACAAGACACACTTATTTTTTTTTTTTTTGAGCCAGCTGTATAAGCAAATCTAAAAAATATGAATGCAATGTTAAATCACAAGTACCTGCTAAGATAAGACTGATTTTGGCATATAACGTACCCTATAAGAAGAGACAGGGTGGGTGGGCGGGGCTAGTGCCTGCTAAAATAAGACTGATTTTGGCAAATGAAATACCCCTACGAAAATAAAGACTGATTTTAGCGAATGAGGTACCCTCTAAGAAAAGAGAGGGCGGGCCTAGTACCTGTTAAGACAAGACTGATTTTAGCAAATGACGTATCCTTTAAGAAATTTAATAAATTATTATAAGAAAAGACACTAGAGGCTCCAAAGCAATTTCAAATTCTTCAGTTTTTCAATTTTTTTCATTTTTCGATTTCTCAGTTTTTCGATGTATCAGTTTTACGATTTTTGAATTTTTTCATTTTTCGATTTCTCAATTTTTCGATTCATCGATTTTTTGAATTTTCGATTTTTCGATTTCTCCACTTGTCGATCATTCGATTTTTCAGTTTTTAATTCTTCAATTTTTTTCAATTTTGACGCTTTTAATTATTCAATTTTTCGACTTTTCGATTTCTAGATTTTTCAATTTCTTGATGTTTCAGTTTTGACATTTTTTAATTTTTCCATTCTTTAATTTTTCGATATTTGAGTTTTGGCATTTTTCAGTATTTCGATTCCTCCATTTTTCAATTTTTCCATTGTTGACATTTCTAAATTTTCAATTCTTCGATTTCTCAGTTTCTCGATTGATCTATTTCTTGATTTTTGACTTTTCGATTTTCCGATTTTAAAAAGTTCCAGTTTTTTCGATTTTTCAGGTTTTTGATTTTTCAACTATTCGATTTTTTAAATTTTCGACCTCTTTCGATTTCTCGAAATCACGAACTTGCAGAAAAATCGAAAAAACGAAATACGTATTCTAAAATCGAAATTTTAATGAAATTGAGTAATAAGAAAACTGCAAAATTGAAATAAATTAAAAATCGGAAAGTGGAGGAACTGAAAAATCAAAAGTTGAAAATTTGAAGAATTGAATATACGAAAAATGATAATCAAAAGAAACATTGAAAAAATAAAAAATTACCTAGAACTTCGAAATTGTTTTAAATTTTTCAAAAAAAAGAAAACTGGGTCCCTAAAATTAACTCAAAAACAAGTCCGGTCAAAATTTTCCAAAAATAGAACACCGAAGTTCCCCAAAATTGTTTTAAATAATTTAAAAATTCTCCGCTGCGCTCTTAACAATCAACTGGTGAGTATGGGAAAAATAATAAAAAAAATCTTTTCACATTTTGGTGGAATTATAATGATTTTAAAATTGGTTCTTTTGCTTGACGTATCAAAAACTATCGAAGTTTTCAAAGTCGTACGTTTAAAATGTTCCCGTTAATTTTAGGTCCCTTGGTGTTTTATTTTCGGATAAATTTAAAGGAATCTAGTTTTTTGTTGCTGGATGAACCTGAAAAAATCTTCTGAGCTTTTAGCGTTTTATTTTTTACGAATTTGAAAACATCTTGAGTGCCGCAGTGTTTTTTTTTAATAATTCGGGTGTATTATTTTGGGACCCCATGGAGATTTTTTTGCAAATTATTTAAAACAATTTTGGGGGATTTTGGTGTTCTACTTTTGGAAAATTTTGACCTGAACTATTTTTCGAGTCAATTTCGGGAGCCTGTTTTTTTTTTTAAACTTAAACCAATCTTGAGGTTCTAGATATTCCTATTTGGTAAGAATTTGAAAGTACTTTGAAACCTCTAGTGTGTTTTATAATAATAATTTAAATAAGTCTCTTGGCGGATACGTTATTTGCCAAAATCAGCCTTATCTTAGAAAGTACTAGCCCCGCCCACCCACCCTCTCTTTTCTTAGAGAGTGTTATTTGCCAAAATCAGTCTTAACAGGTACTAGCTCCATTCAGCCCCCCTCTCTTTTCTTAGAGGGTATGTCCCTTAATTTTATTTTCTTAGCAAGTATGTCATTTGTCAAAATTGATCTTATTTTAGCAGGTGCTAACCCCGCCCACCCACCCTCTCTTTCGTTAGAGGGAAAGTCTTGCCAAAATCAGTCTTATCTTAGCAGGTACCAGATCTGCCCACCCACCCTATCATTCTATCATTTTTTTAGAGCGCATGTCATTTGTCAAAATCAATTTTGATCATTTTTTTGTAAAAGTTAGCAATCAGTACTTGCTAACACAAAACTAATTTTGGCAAGTGACATAACCTATAAGAAATGAGAGGGTGGGTGGGTGGGGCTAGTGCCTGCTAAGATAAAACTGATTTTGACAAATGACATATCCTCTAAACCATTTTTCAAAGAATCGTGATTTGCTACATACATTTCGGGTAGATTTAGGAATTTAACTAGTTACTATAAAAATTGACAATTTAACACCTTTAAATTTCACAAGTTTTTACAAAAGGCATTTAGTTTTATCTTAACACATACTAGGCCCGCCCACCCGCCCCCTATTTTCCCAGAGGAAATGCCATTTGCCAAAATCAGTCTTATCTTACCAAGTACTAGCCCCGCCCACCCGCCCCCTATTTTCTCAGACACTGTCATCTGCCAAAATCAGTCTTATCTTACCAAGTACTAGCCCCGCCCTGTTCTCTCAGAGGATATGTCATTTGCCAAAATCAATCTTATGTTAGCAAGTACTAGCCCCGCCCACCCGTTCTTTATTTTCTCAGAGGGTAGTATCTACTTGCTAAAATAAGACTGATTTTGGCAAATGCCATACCCTATGAGAAAACAGGGGCGGGTGGGCGGGGTTTGTACTTGGTAAGATAAGACTGATTTTGGCAAATGACATATCCTCTGGTAAATAGGGGCGGGTGGGCGGGGCTTGTAATTGGTAAGATAAGACTAATTTTGGCAAATGACATATCCTCTTGTAAATAGGGGCGGGTGGGCGGGGCTTGTAATTGGTAAGATAAGACTGTATAAACAAATTAAAAAAATATTAATTATATATTAAAAATAATTCACACGCATAGACTCGATTATATTTTGCACATTCAGGAAATGGTATTTTCAGCAATATTTTGTCGTGACGTCATCAATTTTTTAGGGGGGATGAGCAAATACATTTTGATAAAAAATTTACCATGCTTATGATAACTTTAAAACATCTCCAAGATTTCAAAGGATTCGGTTTTGCAGTTCCTGATTAAATCAATAAAATAAATTCATTAATTTTTTTGAGTCACCAACCAAATTTAAGATATGAATGCAGTGATAAATCACACACTGATCATATTTTGCACATTTTAGATAGGATTTATCCGGCAAAATTTTGAGATGACGTCATCAATTTTTTGGAGGGGATAAGCATATATAAATTTTGGTTAGCGTTGTACCATCTACATGGTATTCCTAATACAAATGCAAAATTTGACAACAATCAGCCCAGTAGTTTCCTAATAAAAATCAGGACGGCAGACAGACGGATAAACGATTTTTAAAGTTTATCAAATTTTTCGTTCCTTCAGTACTTCGATTTGCATTTTTCGATTCTTCACTTTTTGGATTTTGCAATTTTTTCTTGGTTTTTGATTTTTTAAATTTTTGATTTTTTAGATTTTTAATTTTTTTTTCAGTGAGATTTTTCAATTTTTCGATTTGTAATTTTTCGGTTTTTCAATTTTAGATTCCTTAGTTTCTCGATTTTACTAAATTTTTCATTTTTCTTTTATTTTTAATTTGCAATTTTTCTAGTTTTCGCTTTAAACATGTAATAATAATCATAATTTAAAAATTTGTTCACTTTTTCAATTTTGCGGTTAGAATTTTTCCATTTGGATTTTAAAGCTTCATTAATTCAAGTTAATTTTTCAATTTCTTGACAATTAATTTTTCAATTTTTCGATGTTTCAATGTTATGTTTTTCACTTTACAACTTCCATAATTTTCTGATTTTACAATTTTTGGGATTTTCTATTTTTCGAATAGATTCATTTTTTCTTCTTTCCAACTTTTTGATTCATTAATGTTTTTCGATTTTTAGTTTTTCAGTGTTTCAATTTTTCGTTTCTTCAGTCCTTCCATTTGCAAATTTTCTAATTTGCTATTTTTTTTTCTTCAGTATTTCGATTTTTCAATTTTTTAGTTTTTCGATTTTTCAAAAATTTTCCAAATTTTTTTTTAAATGGGTTCAAACCATTGAAAATTGGTATCAAATTATAGATAATTTTCCGCCAGTTACGAATCAGGAATCGCCGTCATTTGTTCCAATAAACACGAAAAGTGAATGGTTAAAATCGGTTCATTCCACTGAAAATTGGTGTCAAATTGTAGATAACCTCGAACCAGTTAATTTTAAAAATTGTAAAAAAAAAATGGTTCAAATTGGTTCAATCTACCGGAATTGGTATCAAATTGTAGATAATCATCCGCCAGTTGTAAATCTGAGATCGCCGTCAGGATATCTGTTCCAATAAACACGAAAAGTGAAATAAAAATTTTCAAAAATTTTCCAAAAAAATTTGAATGTCTAGCGAAGCGAAGAAACTGAAAGCGAATTCGTATACTACAAGTATAGGAGTATATTTCGGAAACTACGGGTCTAACAAAAATGGATACAGACACCAGACAGAGAGACAGACAGGCGGAAACGGGGACCTATTTCTTCGCACTCTAGGGGTCATAAAAAGTCGAGAAAACGTAAATTAGAGAGTCGGCCGACGGATTCGATTACAATAATTCTTCCTTCGCTGACGCTCAGGAAGTAAAAACCTTGAATTAATGAAAGAAAAGAATTATTACTACACGACCTTTATAACACCGTGCTTTAACAACAAAAACCACTTCCTAGAAGCATACTTTGAACTCTGATAGTCCTATGTTCACACAAGTTTTTCATTTTTAATTTCAATTAAAGGTTTTGTTGCTTCAGATTACACAAATAATTAAAGTTTCAATTAATTTAATCGCACGTGTTTTTAAACATATCCATTACACGACTAATATACTTATTCAAATTGATTTATGTGATTATTTAAATTTAAACATTCTCTAATGTTGGTGCTTTTATCAAGCGATCAATTCAACTACTTCAAAACAAACCTGTGAGATCATGCGATGCCAAAACACAAAAAAATTGGTCGAAGGTTATTTCGACAGAACTTCTCTCGTCCTTGAAATACAATAAAACAAATCCAGCTTTTTCGAAAAATTATAAAATTTTGATTATGCGAATTTTATTTTTTTATGAGAAAGTAAATGTGCGGTGTGACTCTTTCATTAATAGAAAAATAAAATGAAGATATTTGGACAAGCGAATTTATAATACTAAAGAACCGTAAAAAATTCAAAACAAACACAATACTTACATTTTCAGTAAGAACAACGTCGTAGTCTCCGCTTTGGTGCCTTTATACGCCGACAAAAGAATCGGCACGTGATTGCGTTCCATAAACTGCGGCCACTTCGTACATATCGCCTTCCACAACCCCAATACTTCCAACTTCTTATTATCCCCCAACACCACATCCAAGAATTGCGAATGCGACAGCAACATCTCCAAAATCAATTTTCCTTCCTCTTCAACAACGCACAAATAAACCAACTCCGTCAACATCGTAACCAAAACCCCATCCCCGCCCACTCCGTGCTTCAAGCACAACTTACAAAAAGTCCTCAACGCCTCGCTACCGCTCAACCCGACCACCTCCACGTCCCGGTTTTGGCGCAAAAACCCAACCACGACCTCCCCCACGTCACCCAAGTTGTCTTTGGTCCCGCTTTTCTGTTTCAGCAACCCCATGACCAAATGGACGAACGTCATGACCATGTTCCCTAAAACCTTCCCGCTTTTGTCGACCTTGTCAAACATCTTCTTCAGCAAGTAAACGTGAAAGAGCTCCGTGGTTTCGAATTTTTGCACCTGGTTCCCGAACCCGTCCGTTTTCATAAACTTGTCGACCAGAACCCCCACACTACGGTAGCGCGTTTGAAAGTGCTGTCCCGCTTTGTGCGGTTTTTGGAGCGCCTTGAGGATGTGAGGTTCGAGTTTGGTGTAGATTTTTTCCAGGGTTGCGTCGTCGTGCTCGTAGACTTTGACCGCGACGTCGAGGAGCGATAAAATCACGCCTCGTTTGGAGCAGATTTCGTCGAAGTTGGTTTCGAAAATGAGTTTATAGTCGGGTTTTCGGTCCAAGAGGAATTCGCACAAACAGAGATTGTCTTTGTTGAATTCTGGTAGCGCGATTATGCTCGGGAAAATGTCAGCGTCGACGCCATCAACGTTGTGTGGAAAAATTTTCAAATAGTTGAGGAAAGACGACGATAAAAGATTCAAGTTCGGGGATTGTTCTCTGGCCAGAAGCGTGTAGAAACGTGACAGTTCCTTAATGGTGTCGTTGTCTAAGGGTTGCTGGGTGTAGTTTCCGCCTAGTTCCGTCATACGATTCAAACAATAGCAAACAACGGGGTGGAATTTTTTGTTTTCTAACGAATTAACAAATTTTGTTATTAGTTTGCTGCACTGGTCGTAGTCTAGCGCGATTATTTCTAAAACCTCGATGGAAACGGTACGATCTTGATAATTTTCCGGCTTTCGGAATATTTTTAAAATCGTTGACACGATTTTTCGACGAAAGTGTACCAAATAATCCTCAACTATCACACTTTTCAGGCTCTTAACTACCCCTAGAACAAACTTCGTTGAAAAATTGTCCACAACGAAAATCGTGAAGTTCTCCAATAACGTCACGTTCCCCAAAACAGCTTCCACGTAGCGACAATCCTCACCCGAAACCACGTACTCCCAAAACTTGAAACAATTCTTCTTTTGACTGTCTTTTAAAGCATCCGCTTTAACCAAACGTGTCAAATAAAAAATTACAGCGTTCAGTAAATACAGTCTGCAATTGGGATACAAATCAAAATCGACGGTTTCCAAACCCCCTTCTAAAAAATTCTGTGAGAACGAATGCAGCTGATCCGTCAATTTTCCTTTGCATTTACCCAAAGTTACCGCTTCAAGGCTATTCCAATTTACCATGTAATTAATTACAACGTCCGAGACGTGCTGAAATTTTCCCATGACTTGCACTAACGAACTTGAATCATCTTGCACGTGAAAAATATTTAAAACGACGAAGTTCAAATAATTTTTCACCGACTTTGAGACCTCACCGGCGTTGAAATGGTCCACCAAATTCAAAACCATAACGCTAAAATTGGCCTTCTTAAATTCAAACAGCTTCTGATGGTACGACGCGTTCTCTTCGCTTTTTTGTACCAAATCGTACAAAAAAACCGCCACGTTTGGGTCGTAATTTTTCAAATTTAGTACCCCGTCTATCCAGAAGTCTACCTCGTGAAGAAAACCATCGAAAACTCCCGAGTTTTTCAAAAGTTGCTTTAGGACCGTCAAAACGTTTACATCCTGCGCCTCGTGGTAGTACTCCAGAGAAAATAAAACGACGTTTCTGAACAAATCCGTCTGCGATTTGAAGAGCGCAGGCTCCAAATCCATAAAAAACCTCACCGCTTTGACCTGCAACCTCTTCAAATTATCGTCGTCGATGACTTGTTGACTTCTAGCGAGAAACTCGCGCACGTCGAAAGTCAAACTCCATTCTTCTGTGGCTTTGGGCGACAAAACTTTATATTTTTCCAGCAAATCAAACGCCACGTCTAAATGGTCGCAAATTCGTAGATCGTCACAAACTTCGTCCCAGTCGCTTAAAATAACCTGAACGTCTGGGAAATTTCTCTGGACGTAATCACCCAAAGAACTGCTCAAATCTGGATAATTCACGTGCGTCCAAGTCTTCGCACGCTTCAAAAAACCTTCCATTGACGTCGCCATTTTCAAAAGTAACGTCAAAACGTGGAACTTGGTCACGGGTTTATCAAAGCGGCGACTTTCTGGGATCAGCGTTTTCAGAATTGATAACGGCGACGTTAGGATCGTAATGACGTGAGTGAGCTAAAATTTGAACGTGGAAGATAAACATAAACATGAAATAAAAACGCACCTGATGAACCGTAAGATTATCCACTGCAAAGTCAATGCAATCTGGTTCCAACTCATCCACGAGTTTATGGGCAAAATTAATAGTTTTGAGCCACTTTTCAGTCCATCTGGGTTCCAGGAACGTCTTCACGCTACTCCAGACGGTTTTCGCCAAATCTGGACACGCTCTACAAATTTTGATCACAAGTTCGCCTGCGTAAGAATGCTCCCATGGTCGCTCCAAGCTCTCCAGAACCGTGAACATCAAATTGTTCTGTCTCCTCCCTAAACCCAGAGCCGGGTCTTTGAAAATCACCCCGAATTTGTGGGAAGTACACAAAACCAAAAGGAACGCGTGCACGGCCTCATTGACTTTGGATTTTTCAACTTCATCCACCTAAAAAACAAGTTTTAAAATTTATTTTGACACAAATTAACGCACTTACGGCCACAATTTTGTGTTTTTTGTGATCTGCAAGCCCAACGGGTCCTTTCCAGTTGTACAAATTGACAATATCTTTCACCACTGGGGTACTAAATGTCTTCATTTTGACGGTTTTTGAGACCGACGGATTTTCCAAAATGTGGTTCGTCATCGCTGTGACCACCAAAACCACGACGTCGGCTCTATCAAATTGCAACCCCCTGATAATACTCGTCATCAAACCTTTCTTCTCCAGCAGCACCGACAACGTTGGAAAATGCCCATCCACCAAATACGCGGTAATGAAATGAATCAAAGCCGCCCTCGCTTCGTTCTTGCCATCCCCAACCTTAGTCAACAGTTCCAAGTTCGTGGGGTTAAAATTCACGTTTAGCAACACGTCTTTGGCTAAAACCGCCGAAAACGTAACCATCGTGGTTAATAGTTTCAACGTGACCACGCGCTCTTTCATCGACGAGCTCAACCCCAACATTTTATTAATTTGGGTGAGATATGTGTTCAACAAGTAGCGACACGCGTCGTACGCCGCATTTTGATACTGTGGCAACTTCGTGCCAATTTGTAGCAAAACTCGATTAACTACATCGAATGCCACAACCGGCGAAACCCCCGATTCGCCTTCCATAGTTTGGAGAATCTCCAAAGCGCTACCCCCATGCTCCAGGTAGCTTTGAACACACTGAATCGCCTCGTCGTCGGTTTGTTGGAGAAACCGTTGCATAACTTAAAACACAGTCAGAAAAACGGGTTTGTTTCATTAATCACACTTACCTTGCGTTTTTTGGTCGCTTTTGAGCTGCTTTCGGAAATCTTTACCGGAAGAACTTAACCTCACTTTTTTGCTTGGGGGTTGTTTTGTCGTTTCGGTTGATGCAAGTGGGCGTTTGGGGGCATCTTGAGGTGCGGTTTTTGCAGAAGTTTCTTTTTCCATTGTGTAGTTTCGTTTAACGCGAGTTTTAAATAAAATCAAATGCACGTGTGTTTCAATGGACAACCAAAACGAAAAGGGCCAGTGGGGCCAGCACGTGGGTTGCGCAGTAAAGCAAGTTAAGTTGGTCGAGTCTATTCATAGCTCTCGGGGGGTGGAAACATAGGGCAGTAGCGCCGTTAATTTGTCGCACTTCTGTACTGTCTCGTGTGTCTGGTGCCAGCGTTTTGTGTCTCCTATTTTTTTAAATTATTATTATTTATCTTGTAACTTTGTATTTATTAGCAAGAAGAATTTTGTTTAATAGGGTCCTCACAGCATTTATTACTTTAATTATATTTTATGATAAATCAGTTACGCCACTGGTAAGATATAGGCGCGCATCTGAAGCTCCGCCCATGTCGCCTTTCGTTCTGCTTGGCACAGGTTGTATCAAAACAATGTCAGTTGTCGAAAAAGTGAAATAATACAGGAAACTGTAAGCCGATAAACGTACACATGAGTACAACTGGTTGCATACTCACATTAACCACTTCTAAAATTTTTGCTCAAAACGGCAGTGTGGCTCAGATTATATTATTTAATTCTATATTCACAAGTATGATTCTGCAGATTTATTTTTAAATTCAGGTAGACTTTCAATACCGTCAACAATGCGAAGTCTCGAATATTTATTTTATTTATTTATTTTATTGCTTGCTTAAGAAAGATTCTGTAGGAAAAAGTTAAACTTAGCCTTTAAACTTCAGAAATAAAAAATTCACACTTTACAAAACAACATTGGAAGATTGCATTTTGTACATAATCTTTTAGCAGTATGTATACAAGGTGTTTTTCAAGTGGAATACCTCTATTTTTTAGAGTATGTCGTTTGCCAATAAAATGTCCGCCAAAATCAGTCCTATCTTAGCAAGTACTGACCCCGCCCACCCCCCCTCGTCTCATTGTAACGACAAATTACTTACTGTATAGTATAAGTTCCACCTTTCATTCAGAGCAGATTAAATAATTACTGAAATGGAGGCGGGGTGGGTGGGCGGGGTTATTTATTTATTCTTCTGTAGAGCGGAATTGAGAAATAATAGTACCCAAACTGCAAAATTAAAAATTCAGTTCTGCCATTTTTTAAAATGGAAGATTACATTTTGTACATAATTTTTTAATCAGCTTGCCTCAAATGGAACGCCTCTATTTTTTTAGAGAGTATATCATTTGCCAATAAAAGATCTGCCAAAATCAGTCCTACCTTAGCAAGTATTGACCCCGCCCACCCACCCTCCTCTGATTGTAGCGACAAATTTTATTACTGTATAGTATTAAGTTCCACCTTTCATTCAGAGCAGATAATAGTTATTTATGTTACAAGTGTTGAAAACGGTCCATTGCATTACGAACGGGAATACGGCGCGAGACGCAGTCGAGCGCTGTATGTAAGTGAGTAATGCAATGGAGTTTTCACACGAGTATCATACAATATTTTTTGCGCTGCCTTTTTGAAAAAATAACATTTTTCAATCGCTAAAAGAATAAATATTACTGAACCGAAATTATGTTGGTATTGAATTTATTACCAAATACGTCAAATACCAATCTGTCAATTTGTCCGGGCTAGCTTTTGAATTTCAAAGTTGAAATGGAAAATCGTGCACGTATTCACAAAATTGCAGATAAAGCAACTGCAAATTTGTTACCTGCAAAATCCGCAGGTCCATATGAAGCAGAATATCAAAAATTCATCAAGTGGTGCGAAGAAAATAAAATACGCGAATTTTCTGAAACGACGCTCTTGGTTTATTTCCAAATTAAGTCGGAAATTATGAAAGCCTCCACACTGTGGACAATATATTCAGTTCTGAAAAGTACTCTTGGCATCAAACATAACATAAATCATTCGAAATTTTATAAATTAACAGCGTTTTTAAAGCGGCAGAATGACACAAGAAGTCTGAAATACTTACCAGTGGAAACATTTTTATTTACGGCTCCAGATCAGAGAGAATCTTGTGATTATGATTCAGCGTGAGGTTGCGAATAACGTCAAGTTTAAACGGTTTTTTTAATTAACAAGAACTACTAACAAATAGTAATAACATAATAATTGTCAACAACATAAACCAAACCATTAAATAGTGTCAACTGTCAAATTACTACAAATCCAAATTTTGATCAACAAATTCCCCTATTTAAGATTACAACTTAAATTGCACTTTTTTAAAATTTCGAGCCACTTTTTGTTATAATAACTTTAGATACATGATTATCAATTAGTAGTAATTACTTTGTGATAATCAATATATTTTTTGAAAGCTTAAATTCCTCGTTTGTATTTTGCGGCACTAGATCCTTTTTCATTGCCATTTCGACACGCCACGTGTCAACGTAAAATGTCAATTACAACTATGGCAGCGCAAAAAATAATTAATGAAATGGAGGCGGGGTGGGTGGGTGGGGATAATTTTTTGTTCTTCTGTAGAGTGAAATTTAGAAATAATAGAACCTAGACTGTAAAATTAAAAATTCAGTTCTGTCATTTTTTAAAGTGGGAGATTGCATTTTGTACATAATTTTTTAATAAGGTTGCCTCAAATGGAACACCTCTATCTTTTTAGAGAGTACATATGTCATTTGCCGATAAAAGATCTGCCAAAATCAGTCCTATCTTAGCAAGTACTGACCCCGCCCACCCACCTTTTTCTCATTGTAACGACAAATTTTATTACTGTATAGTAGGAAGTTCCAACTTTATTTCAGAGCAGATAAATAATTACTGAAATGGAGGCGGGGTGGGTGGGCGGGGTTAATTATTTATTCTTCTGTAGAGTGGAATTGAGAAATAATAGTACCTAGACTGTAAAATTAAATATTTAGGTATGCCATTTTTTAAAATGGAAGATTGCATTTTGTACATAATTTTTTAATCAGCTTGCCTCAAATGGAACACTTCTATTTTTTTTTTGAGAGTATGTCATTTGCCGATAAAAGATCTGCCAAAATCAGTCCTATCTTAACAAGTGCTGACCCCGCCCACCCCCCCTATTCTCGTTGTAACGACAAATTTTATTACTGTATAGTATAAGTTCCAAAATAATTACTGAAATGGAGGCAGGGTGGGTGGGCAGGGTTAATTATTTGTTCTTGTGTAGAGTGAAATTAAGAAATAATAGTACCTAGACTGTAAAATTAAAAATTTAGTTCTGCCATTTTTTAAAATGGAAGATTGCATTTTGTACATAATTTTTTAATCAGCTTGCCTCAAATGGAACGCCTCTATTTTTTTGGAGAGTATATCATTTGCCGATAAAAGATCTGCCAAAATCAGTCCTATCTTAGCAAGTATTGACCCCGCCCACCCACCCTCTTCTCATTCTAGCGACAAATTTTATTCCTATTTAGTATACGTCCCACCTTTCATTCGGAGCAGATAAAATAATTACTGAAATGGAGGCGGGGTGGGTGCGTGGGGTTAATTATTTATTCTTCTGTAGAGCGGAATTGAGAAATAATAGTACCTAGACTGTAAAATTAAAATTCAGTTCTGCCATTTTTTAAAATGGAAGATTACATTTTGTACATAATTTTTTAATCAGCTTGCTTCAAATGGAACGCCTCTATTTTATTAGAGAGTATATCATTTGCCAATAAAAGATCTGCCAAAATCAGTCCTACCTTAGCAAGTATTGACCCCGCCCACCCACCCTCTGATTGTAGCGACAAATTTTATTACTGTATAGTATTAAGTTCCACCTTTCATTCAGAGCAGATAAAATAATTACTGAAATGGAGGCGGGGTGGGTGGGCGGGGTTAATTATTTGTTCTTCTGTAGAGTGGAGTTGAGAAATAATAGTACCTAGACTGCAAAATTAAAAATTCAGTTCTACCATTTTTTAAAATGGAAGATTGCATTTTGTACATAACTTTTTAATCGGTTTGCCTCAAATGGAACGCCTCTATTTTTTTGGAGAGTATATCATTTGCCGATAAAAGATCTGCCAAAATCAGTCCAACCTTAGCAAGCATTGACCCCGCCCACCCACCCTCCCCTCATGCTAGCGACAAATTTTATTACTGCATAGTATTAAGTTCCACCTTTCTTTCAGAGCAGATAAAATAATTACTGAAATGGAGGCGGGGTGGGTGGGCGGGGTTAATTATTTGTTCTTGTGTAGAGTGAAATTGAGAAATAATAGTACCTAGACTGTAAAATTAAAAATTTAGTTCTACCATTTTTTAAAATGGAAGATTGCATTTTGTACATAATTTTTTAATCAGCTTGCCTCAAATGGAACGCCTCTATTTTTTAAAGAGTATGTCATTTGCCAATAAAAGATCTGCCAAAATCAGTCCTATCTTAACAAGTATTCACCCCGCCCACCCACCCTCTTCTTATTCTAACGACAAATTTTATTCCTATTTAGTATACGTTCCACCTTTCATTCAGGCAGATAAAATAATTACTGAAATGGAGGCGGGGTGGGTGGGCGGGGTTAATTATTTGTTCTTGTGTAGAGTGAAATTGAGAAATAATAGTACCTAGACTGTAAAATTAAAAATTCAGTTATTCCATTTTTTAAAATGGAAGATTGCATTTTGTACATAATTTTTTAATCAGCTTGCCTCAAATGGAACGCCTCTATTTTATAAAGAGTATGTCATTTGCCAATAAAAGATCTGCCAAAATCAGTCCTACCTTGGCAAGTATTGACCCCGCCCACCCATCCTCCTCTGATTCTAGCGACAAATTTTATTACCGTATAGTATTAAGTTCCGCCTTTCATTCAAAGCAGATAGAATAATTACTGAAATGGAGGCGGGGTGGGTGGGCGGGGTTAATTATTTATTCTTCTGTAGAGTGGAACTGAGAAATAATAGTACCTAGACTGTAAAATTAAAAATTCAGTTCTGCCATTTTTTAAAATGGAAGATTGCATTTTGTACATAATTTTTTAATCAACTTGCCTTAAATAGAATACCTCGATTTTTTCAAAGAGTATGTCATTTGCCAATAAAAGATCTGCCAAAATCAGTCCTATCTTAGCAAGTACTGACCCCGCCCACCCACCCTCTTCCCATTCTAACGACAAATTGTATTCCTATTTAGTATACATTCCACCTTTCATTCAGGCAGATAAAATAATTACTGAAATGGAGGCGGGGTGGGTGGGCGGGGTTAATTATTTGTTCTTCTGATAGATAAGACTGAGTTTGGTAAATGACATGTCCTCTAAGAAAAAAAAGGGTGGGTGGACGGGGCTAAAACTTGCTAAGATATGACTCCACAATATTAACAGTAGTTAGTCACTGGAACGAAGAAGAGAAGTGGGTAGGCGTGGCTACTGTTTGCATATAAAAGATTCTGTTGGAAAAAGTTAAACTTCGCCCCGCCCACCCACCCGTTCTCTCATCGTTAGAATGAGGAGAACACCATATGTGGACGGGGCTAGTACTTGTTAAGATAAGATTGATTTTGGTGAATGACATCTTCTAAGAAAAAAAAGGGTGGGTGGAAGGGGCTAAAACTTGCTAAGATAGGAGTGAACAATATTAAGAGTAGTCACTGGAACGAAGAAGGGGTGGGTGGGCGGGGCTACTACTTGTTCTTAAAACTAGGAAAAAGCTAAAAGCTAAATTTAAAGTGCCGTAGAGTTCATAACATCGTGGACTGAGGTACGAGGAGATTAAATGTTTCCCTTTAGGCAGTTATTAACCTCATAATCATCATATCATCACATCACCCCGAGATTTTTTTACAACGTGTGCTGTGCCGGCAAAATAACACGTCGGTAAGCGGAAAAAGATAAATGGTCTCGAGGTCTAGTGGTCAGGATCGCTGCCCGACAATCGGGAGTCGTGGGGTTTGATTCCTACCGAGGAAACAACATTTTTCTTCGCTTACTTTCAGTGCAAAGCTATAGTTATCCCCGAGACATATTTTCATGTGTTTTGTGTGGGATAAGCTGGGGACAGTCCAAGATTTAAACTCTCAAAGCTAACCTTTTTAAAATTTAAACAATAACTCGAATGGACACAAAATATTAATCTGATGTAAATTTGTTAGCTTTGCAGTTTTTCAGTTCATACAATTTTTCTTTATCTCACAATTTTATCTTCAGTAATTTTCTTTGTTGTATAATTTAAATTGAACGTAAACTTTCATGCTCTGCAGTTCCTAATCTCACATAACTTTGTCTGCACAGTTTTACTTCACACCAGATCTTTTTTGTTTTTATAAGTCTTTGCTAGTTTTTTCTTGCAATTTTGTTGATTAATGCTTCCATCGTATGATGTCCAATCTTAATCTCAGCTAAGCACTCTTTGTTGTTTTAAATTTCACGAGAGTGTATGCCAAATTTAAATGTTGTTTATTGCTCCTTTTGAAACTTTGGCCACTTGTTTAGTTGTAGTTTAATACCAGAATCATAGAAATTGAACATTTAACTAGAATTGAGGTTCAATAACACAGAAACACGTGGCGGAAGCGGAGTGCGCGGTTCCTTGTCAAGCTGGCGATCGTGCCATCTGCACAAAAGACGCAGACTTAGAATAGAAGTCACGGGCGGTCGGGATGACGAGACGCTGCTTGGGATAAATAGAATCACCACCGTGGGTAGGAGAACAGCCACAACCAGGAGCCCCAAACTCCCCTATGGGTAATTTTGCTGTGTTCTAGAATGAAATACAGCTCTCTGGTGCCGCTGTCGCTGCATACAGTTTTACTAAAATTTTGTACTCTTGTTGACTGCCATAATTTAAATTTACCGCCACACGTCCGTAAAAACCTGTATATTTGCATCCAGTTACTTTAATTTCAGAATTTTAATTATTTCCTACGTTACAGAATGCTAATATGGGACATTCTGGTTCACCCTTCAACTTAAAAATCTCTGCTAACCTTTTTTAAAATTTCTGTAGCTCATTTTTCTGAAGGATACAAACATTATTTATTTGTTGTGTAAACAATTTAATTAGAGATATATCACATTCCTAGCTACAACGTACTGTTTATCCGACTTTTATGTGAAAGCATAAACAATTCGAACCCACCTTGAGCCGTTGCAAGAAAACAAATAATTTTAAGCGACTGCAACCTCGAATAGTTGCAAAATTCACTTTTCACCGGCGGCACAATTGGTTGCCTACATCACCTCGTTGATTACAATATCCCAACCCGAATGCTAATTTCAACAAAAAGAAAAAAACAACCGCAAATGAATGAATAACGAAGATATGAATCAATTTTCTCGTTTTTTCTTAAACCACAAAGTTTCAGCATTACTCATACATTGTCCGTCCACAATAAGCACTTAAACAACCTTCCATTTCAGCTTCACAAAAAACTCAACCGCCAGTTACATAAGCACACATTTTCACAAAATCGCAATCGCCCTTATTCGAAACCTTGAAAAGAAATTATGCAACTTATTGCACCGAAATTACCTCATATATCGCCTATAAAACCCCGGCCACCTTTCGACTAGACCAAACTAGTCAAAATGCTCCTTCGAATCGTTGTCCTGGCCACCATCCCCATGGTTCTCGCCTACGTGCTCGAAACCGGCAAGGAGTTCGACGCGTCGCGCTACTCCTCCAAAGGCGAGAAAGGCGAACGAGGTTACCTCGGCCACCACAGCGCCGAAAAGGGCGCGCAAGGCCACCACGACAAAGCCAACCATCGCAAAGAGTACGCCGAAAAAGCGGGCCAACGTCGAGGCTACGATCACGCAGACGGGTACTACGCGGACCACCAGCAGGGCGACAAAGGGAGCAAGGGGTTCCACTACGAGGACCACGGGAAGTACGCGAAAGGGCACAGTACGAAGGGACGCCACAACGTCCACAAGTTGAACGAGTTCAAGAAGGACACGGATTTCTACGACGAGGATAACGACCAAGGGTTTGAGGAGAGGCACGGGGGGTACGAGGCGACGAAGAAAGTGGCGCACGGGGACTTCTACAAGGGTGGGTACGACAAGAAAGGATCCGACGCTGCGAAATACGGAGTAGCGGGTTTTGTTGATAAAGGGTCGCACTATTTTGACGATCAAGGGTACAAAAAGGGCCAGGGACAGGACGCGTACTATGGCAACTATGCGAAGTTTGCAAAGAAAGGCGGCAAGGACGAGTTTGACAAGTTCGGGTTCACTAGCTTCAAGAAAGAGTGACTTTGTTGTTGTTGTTGACTTATTATCAGTGTAGGTGGTTCGGAAGTCATAGAAGGTCACAGCTCATCCAGAACTGAGTACCAGTGAGTAGTTATTGTTCAACCCATCAGACGTAATTACACAAAAACACGCGATTATGGGTTACTGCAAATGTAACCACAAATTTGTTTATTTAATAAATAATAATTTGTTAGATTACGAATAATGAGCCTCATTAGGTGCTTAGTTTTAAGAGTCCATTTTCCTACAAAGAAATACTATTTTATGCAATGATCGATTCATAATTTATAGCCACAACACGTGGAGGAGCAGGTACATAAAGCAAGAAATCAACTAATTAAAAGCCACACTACCCGATAATTTACAAACGATAAAAATATGATGTAAGTAAGGATTTTGAACTTTAACGACTCAACTTTTTATGTCGTGTAGTAATAATTGTTATTGTTGTCGCACAGAAAGTGGTAATTTTTTAGTGAAGCGATAAGCGATTATCTGCGAACAGCGCGTTTTAAACGATCTTGAAGGACGTTAAAGTTGCACCAAAATAACGATTTATCAATTAAAAATTTCTCAAAGTTGAAAGTGCCTTCCTTATCTGCATAATTTCTTCTTGCAAATCAATCATCTTTGATTTACGTAAATATAGCAAAGTGTTACTGTGCATAGTGCGCACATTCCGTAATTACATATAACAAGGCTTGATGTAACTAATAACAAGATTAAATCGTTGCTAGCACATGGACCATTGTGGTTAAGCAACCTTGACTCGGCCGTAAATTCCAGCCAATATTTTTGCATACTACTGAAATTTGACAACCCAAAAATCCACAGCCCATAAAATCATAATACAGTATCGATTTAATATTACTTTACTACCTGAAAACCAAACAAACTAAACGAGTGGGGACCAAAAAAGAACAAAATTTTAACACCACAACAAACTCGATCGTGACATTCCGGCTTTAACTTTGAATGAAATGAGCGTCAAATTATTAGTCGGATTATCATAATTTTCAATAACACGGCCCTGTAACCGGTTGCGTAACAAAAAGAGAACACAAAATTTACTAATTTAGCATAATTTATACACACACATGAAAATAAAGCAAACACACCAAAATCGACATTTTTGATCACAAAAAAAAAACATAACGTGTTTATGATTCCGGAGCAAGATTTCATATTTTGTTCGCTTTGAACTTCATTTTTTATGAAAATGCTAAATATTACCCTGATTCAAATGGGCGATTCTGGAAAAATTGTAGAAATTTTTGAACAAACAAAGCCGAAAATAAAATTTGAAATTAAAATCTACAATAAATTGGGTAATTTTCAAAAAAAGTCCGAATTTCATTTGGAAAAATTGAACTTTTGAAAATTTTGCCTGGAAATTATCAAAAAAATTCTGGGATTTAGATCTGGACCTGTTAATGGTTCCGGAGCAAAATTTATAAATATTTAAAATCTGCAACAAAATCCCGTTGGATAATTTTTGAAGATGGTGGAAAAAAAGAGTCGAAATTTTTGCAACAAAATCCCGTTGGATAATTTTTGAAGATGGTGGAAAAAAAGAGTCGAAATTTTAAGAGAGATGTGTGAAAAAATTAAGCCTTGTAAAATTTTGTATAAAAATCTGCAAAAAATTCTGGGGTATAGATTTCGACGCGCTAATTTGAAATATCCGTTTTGAAATTCAACTTTTTTTTTATTCTTAAAAACTGCTATAATTCAAAAGGGCGATTCTGGAAAAATTGTAGAAATTTTAGAACAAACAAAGCCGAAAATAAAATTTGAAGTCTTAATGGTTCCGGAGCAAAATTTATAAATACTTAAAATCTGTAACAAAATCCCGTTGGATAATTTTTGAAGATCGAAATTTTAAAAGAGATGTGTGAAAAAATTAAGCCTTGTAAAATTTTGTATAAAAATCAGCAAAAAATTCTGGGGTATAGATTTCGACGCGCTAATTTGAAAAACATTGCGTGTTTGTGGATCCGGAGCAAGTTTTATAAATATCCGTTTTGAAATTCAACTTTTTTTATTCCTAAAAATCGCTATAATTCGAAAAGGCGATTCTAGAAAAATAAGAGAAATTTTCGAAGAAATGAAGCTGAAAATAACTTTTGGAAGTCAAAATCTACAATAAAATTCCCTTGCGTAATTTTCGGAGATGAAAAGTTCGAAATTTTTATATATATAGACTTTATTAACGGACTTGGCCATTTTACATATACCTAAATATAATGACTTAGTATATAATAAATATATATATGAATATACAATAACATTTCAATATACAATAATATTTATATCGTGGCAGTCTGCAAATTTTGTTTGAAAATAGGCAAAAAGATCCGGTATATAGATCTTGACGTGCCGATTTCAAAAATATAGCATACTTAGGGTCACGCAGCAATATTTTCGATTTTTTTGAAAATTTTCAAAATGCGATATATAAATTGGGGATTCTGGAAAACCGGTTGGAGTTACAAGTAAAATTCGCAAAATTACGTGTTATAATTTTTTGAAAAATCTAGGTTTATTTATCTTCCATCAATTGTTTGATATTAAAATTTTTCGCTTTTTCATTGTCTTTCATTTTCAGTTTTTCAATTTTTCGATTTTACAATTTTTCCTTTTTCGATTTTTCAGTTTCTCATTTTCAATTTTTCGATTTTTCGTTTCCTCAATTTTTCAAGTTCTCGATTTTTGTTTTTCATATTCTCCATTTTTTATTTTCATTTTCTCGTTTTCAAAGCACAATTTTCCCTTTTACAATTTCTTTATTTTTTCAATAATTCTTTCGATTTTATAATTTTAAAATTGAAAAATCGAAAAATTGAAAACTCGTGAAATTCTTTCTTCAGAGCCAATAAGAATGATTCACATTTTAAAAACAAAAAAGAGTTTTATAAGCAAGCAGTAACCCCGCCCACTGACCCCCTCTTCATTTCAGTGACTACTCTTATCTTCAATCTTATCTTGGCATGTACTAGGCCCGCCCACCCGCCCTCTATCTTCTTAGATGATAATAATAATAATAAGGATATGTGACTTGCTAATCAGTCTTATCTTAGCAAGTACTAACAAAAATTAAAAATTGAAAAATTGCTAATCGAAAAATTGAAAAATCCAAAAATGCTAGAAATTAAAAATTGAAAACTCGAGAAACTGCAAATAGAAAAATTGCAAAATCTGAAAACTGAAAAGCATATCTTAAATATGAAAAAACAAAGAAAAATGAAAAATTCCATATCAAAAAATTGAAGAAACTTGAAACTGAAACAATTAAAATTGAAAAAACAAAAAAATAAAATCTAAACACTGAAAAATCGGATAAGTCAAAAAAAACATAAATAAAAAACCGAAAAATTGAAATTATAAAAATTGAAAAAATCAAAAGTTGGAAAATTGAAAATTTTAAACTTGAGAAAATGAAGAATTCAAAAATTCAAGCAAAAATTCGAGGCGAAGGAAGTTCTGTCGAAATAATCTTCAACCTATTTTTTTTGCCTATGTTCTACTAGTTCCCATTCTCACTTTACAAAAAAACTTATAATTAACCGCTCCCACCCACCCCACCTCCGTAATGAAGAGGGGGTGGGTGGGTGGGGCTATTGCTTGCTTATAAATATTCTCTACAAAAAAGTTAAATTTAGCCCCGCCCACCCACCCGTTCTCTCATTGTTTCTTCAGAAATAAGAAATAAATGTTATATCAAATAAGTAGTATTGTACTTCCAGTTTAAAGTCGTTTTTATGACAAGATAATAAACATTATCACCTCATAATTACCCCACGACGGACAATATGAGTTGAATAACAAAGTACGGCCCTGCAAGAAACCGGTCACTTTCTTATTTATGGCTAGGGATTTACTCCATTGTCCCCATCAACTTCGACACAATGGACCTATCATAGAAACCACTTTAAACTGGGAATACAATATAACAAAAAAATTACAATTGATACTTTTTTTTAACAACCTACGTTCTATTAGTTCCCATGCTCGCTTTACAAAAGAACATATAATTCACCCCGCCCACCCACCCCGCCTACATTTCAGTGATTCATTTTATCTAGTCCGAATGAAAGGTGGATCTCAAATGAAGAGAGATAAAACAGTAAGAATAAGAACACCGTGTGTGGGCGGGGTTAGTACCTGCTAAAATAAGATTGATTTTGGTAAATGACATACCCTCTAAGAAAATAAAAAGTGGATGAGAAGGGCTAGTACTTTCTAAGATAAGACTGATTAGCAAATCACATATCCCCTAAGAAGATAGAGGGCGGGTGGGCGGGCCTAGTACATGCTAAGATAAAACTAATTTTGGCAAATCACATACCCTCTAAGAAAATAGAGGGTGGGTGGGCGGGGCTACTGCTGTTTAAGCAAATCTAAAAAATATTAATATAATAATACATCACAAGTAAAAATTCATCACGTTTTGCACATTTTGGGTAGAATTTATTTGGCACTATTTTGAGATGACGTCATCAATTTTCGGGGGGGAATAAACAGATATAATTTGACTAACAATTTACCATGCTTACAATAACTTTAAAACGTCTCCAAGATTTCAAAATATTCAATTTTGCAATTCTTGATTTATTCAATAAGATAAATTGATTTTTTTGAGACATCCTGTATGAGCAAAAATCTGGACGTTTCGGGTAAAAACTCAACACGGAGGACTATGTTTTTTCATACAATTTAAAACCCATTTACTATGTACAATTTTAATTTTTGAGTGACGTCATCACATTATTAGTGGATTTTACCATCTACATGATATTCTTAATACGAGTATAATTACAAAATTTGACAACAATCGGCCCAGTTTTTCGGAGATTATCTGTCTAATAAAAATCGGGACGGCAGACAAACAGAGAGACAGACGAACAGACCGACAGACAAAAACGACTTTTTTCGTACTCTGAGTACGCTCGGGAAGTAAAAACCGCAATTTATTAAAGTTGACGAGCACGTGCTCGTTTCGACGTCGCAATCAAGCCAACAATTAGCACCTCTAAGATAAAAAGCAAAATTATTATTCAATTTACACAGAATACTTATAACGTTATCCTTGATAATGAACGAGCCTGTCAAAAACAAATGAAAGACCAGTATCGGCACTATAAATTCAAGGTCTTTGGCCTACAATTAAACAAATCCATTAGTACTTGAAAATTTTAATCGCACAGAATTAACGAAAGTGCTAACAAAGATTCGATGCGTGTTTGCGGCGTACCGACGTTTCGAAATTTCTTACCATTAATGTCAAATTGTGGACAAATTTATGCAATAATCGAGCCAATGGAAAGGGCAGTTGTAAAATTCGTTTTCAATAATTGAAATGAATTTGCATTGAATTAACGTTAAATCGTAGGAAGATAAGAATTATGGAAATGGAGATTCCAGTGGCTCGTTTCACGTGGAAGTCGAATTTTTGTATAGGCTTCAAGGTGATTTTGAAGTTGAACTTTTAACGTCAATTCGTACCAAAAATGTTCAGCCGTAGTTTTAATATAACAACCTTGAACGATTTCGTAACGCAGTATTAAAATAATGAGAAAAAAAAATTGTGATTTGACTTTGAACTCGGACTTGATGTAGTAACATACATAAAATCGGGTCGAAGCGATCTTCCAACGTAAGTACTATGGCCTTAAAGTATCCTCAAAGGTCAGTCCAACGTGTAAGAATTTAACCATTTTTTTTTAACTGGAACAAAGCCCTTGGATTTTCCCGTAACTGGAACGACGAAATCTGCGGATTTTGGCGGAATTTAAAACGCACCTTGACACTCAAATGAACAGCCAGAACCAATTTTTTTTTTTAAATAAAACAATCAAAGTTTACTTAACTACCTATAAAAAACAGGCAGCCTTCACATTTCCTGGAAAAAGTAAAGGTCAGGTTGAGTTTTCCGGCTTTTAAACATATCAAATAACGCAAGCATTTTAAAATATGATCATTGCAGGTAGAAAACACCACAAAAAAAATAAAGGTCACATAGAAGTGAGACTACGAATTAAACAAAAACAAGACGTCAAAAACAAGAACTGGATTGTAAATTTTTTATCTAACAACTTCCTCTAACTTTATTCAAACACGAAGACATTTTTGTCTAGCTTTAATTATAAATTCGCTCCTCCCTTCTCTGAAAGTTTAAAAGTGAGTTCTCTAATCTGAACACATGTACGAACGTTGCAAGATAGCATGCATGAAATGACCGATAAAACAACGTGATTAAAAATCTCTATTCTTGGAAGACACAAAAACACGTAAAATCAACAAAACAGAAAAGTGACAACAATGACCCGTCATCATGCCAATAATATGTCCATCTGAAAAACAGCCTGTTATCTCGCAGTAAAAAAGCAAAAAACATATCGTTTCTGATGTTTACCAATTCTGCAACAAAAACACCATTTTTAAAGCAGAGGTGTCAGGAAATCGTAGAAATGTGAAAAAGCGTACAAACTTTGATATCTTATCAGTGTGGAATAATACGAACAACACACCGAATCAAATATAGTGTAAAAGTTGCGGTATTAATAGATGTTCACAGAAACGGGAACAAATGTTACATAAAATAGAACAAAGACAGAAACTGCGTACGTAAAATTATAAATGTTGTATGATTAGAACAAGAGTGTGATTAATGGAAACATGATTTAGACACCAGTTTGTACCTAATGCTTAGAAAAAAAAACCTCACTACTCAGAATTTCAAAAACACATTACTACGACTTCGACTTCCCTCTGAAACCGATCCTCCTAATCGAACCAATCTGCGAAACTGTGCCACAACAATAACGCGCCTAAAAATTCTATTTTTGGAAAGCACGATAAAAACTAAACCAAATAGAAAAAAAACTTTCGCCGTTTTTTTTTCGGTGATTCCTCAGGTCTTCGTGTCCGTCGAATGCCACATTTCTGCACACGCACGAAAACAGCGCTTAAAAGCCACCTGTTCCACATGCTGGCGAAGTTAATCCGCGGTGGTCAGTCGGAGGGCACGGTGGGTCTACGGTTTAGTTCGCGTCGTGCCATCGTCGACTATAGGCAGCCTGTGTTCTTATCAGTACGAATTTCCGATGCACTTGGATTAGTTTCGCGCTAGGTCCGGTATTGATAACACGTGCCAATTTTGATCGGTGGGTGAGTGTCGGTGCCAAAATGGACGCGGCAAAGACGTTCTTTCTGGAGTTGCCGAAGGAGAAGTCCATCGACATCGAGTTCGAGAATATTGAATACAGCGTGCCAAATGGACGAAGAGGTAATTTTTGATTCGAGTGTCGAGTGAAAGAATTTTAATAGTTGAAAAGTAGGCGAGGGGTTTTCCTGAAATTACTGGGTTGACATTTGGTTAATGATGATGATGTTCTGGGAAGCTATTTAGTTTGATTGTTTGTTTTCGTCACGGTTCTTCGTACCTCATTAGTGATTATAGTTGCAAATGTAACAATAGTGGAACAATAAAGCTTATTTTAACCCATGATGGAGCTATATTTCAAGGAAAAACTAAAATATGTCAAATAAGTGTGTCTCAGTCGGGACCATGATACCTCAATAAAATCTCGCCTAATTAGTGAATTGAAACCTCCAGCGAAAGCACTTTTCAATTTATAATGTCATTACCATGACCAAGGTTTCAGCTAGTTTTTAATTCCAATCGAAGTATTCTTCGCGCTCGGTATATGATGATGTGCACACTTTTTATGAATACATTGTAAATTATGACAACGTTTATTACTACTTTTCAACTTTTGATTTACGATTCATTCATGCATAATTTTCTATTTCAATTAACGTATGCAATGATGGAAATATATGGAATGGCGGCGACGATATTTAATCTGGTTAGCGACAGGTGGTGATAGTTTTATCAAAATTAATATTCCGATAAAAAAATTATCAGCAACTATAACAACTGTTGCGTTTAGAACTAATAACATAGAAGCTTCACGGAACACAAAAATGTCACTCCTTTTTCCGTCTGTCTGTCCGTCAGAGATAGGCTGGTAACATCCAAACTACGCGTTATTCGTCCCATCCAAAAACTTGATGACGTCGTCTCAAAAATTATAACAGCATAATTTGACCACACAGAACTTTCTTGTCCGATTTGCAACAAAAATAATTGTTTTGAGCAATTAAAACCATGGCATTGAGCGCCCCCAGCCAATTCTAGAACCGCCAAAAATTCGCGAAAAACCCATTACAAAACCTTGATCCAGTGCGAATTAAAAACACCGGTTCGATCTTTTTATTTTTTCGATTTGTTACGTAACATTCTTTGGCGAAAACGTTCATGATCACCGCCTTGATCCCGGGGTTGGACCATCCCGAAAACAAGCTAAGGTTATTGCCTTGTTGCGCTGACGATACGCACTATCTTTGCTCCAGTTTCCACTTTCGTCACTTATTTTGTTCGATTTTGAGAAAACTTTGACCTTCTCTAGGTGCTCGGAAGTTGCACGAGAAGTTTTTTCCTTGTACTGTTATTCTGAACTTTGCGTGCCGGCCATTCCCGGTTATCGTCTTCGTCGAACGAAGATTCGCGACGGCTAGATCGAGGTCGGTTTTCTATTTGTGTCAAAGATGATAGGAGTCCACCCTTGACGAAGATACGTGGAAAATCGAAGCGATGGTTCACATAGAAACGATTAGAGTCTAAATTTTTCGTTTTGATTGATGATTTCTTCCTGTTTGATTGCATGACGTAAATATAACGCCAAAAGTTGTCTGAATATTAAGTTCGTTTGGAAATACGGTTTTAGAACACAAAATTTATTGCTTTATGGCGGGTTTGGTCTTCGTTTTTCTGTTGACCAGTTTTATTGGAAGAAGAAAGAATGTCGTCTGTCTTCACACTTTTCAACTCCATCTGTTCGGTAAACGGGGCATAAAATTGCAGGCTGAGCCAACTAACAAGTTTCCTAGAAACATCAACAACACTGCATATAATAACTCAAGCGCACTACATCTACGTATAAACGTATCTATGCTTACTAAGCACTTTTCCGCGACTTCCTTCCATTATTCATCCACAAAACGAGTTCAACACATTACCAGATAAACAAATATTTTTTTCTGTCACGCTATCCGATTCCAGATGTGAATCCGCGGCCTATCATTATCTCTCACAAAAAATATTCTTTTCATTATTGACGACCATGAAGCCGTCTAATTAATCGAAAATTTTTCGTCAACTACACGAAAATCAGCCATGACATGAAGGCTTCCCGAGTGTTGTTGCAAGCATGTTCACAAATTATATTAATAAACAAGAACGTGACTTTCTGACATGGACATTCTATTTACATAACTTTGCACTAATCATGGCGAAGCCTAGTTATTATTTGACAACCGCTTTTGGCCTCGTTCTAGGTCTAGGTCACTAATAGCGTTTTCGCTGTTTTCCAGGGAAAAAGCCGATCGTCAAAGGAGTGTCCGGCAAGTTCAAGTCCGGGGAGTTGACGGCCATCATGGGGCCTTCGGGGGCCGGCAAGACGTCGCTGCTCAACATCCTGACAGGATTCCAGTAAGTGTCACCACAACAATCATGCGCTCGAGTCAATGCCAAAGATGCGGTTCACGGATTCTGCAAGACAGAATGCGGATTCTGATAACGCTGCTGCATTTACGTTAAAGCGCGAGCTTTTGGCTTTCCTTAAAGAGCCGAGTGCAATTGTTGAGTCGTATATGGAACGGCTAGTAGACCCCGGGTTATCGCGGGTCGAGGAGTCATCACTCGAAAAAAGGTGAACCAATTCAGCGTGACTTTGATAATACAGTTGCAACAGAAAGCGAAAGGATACCGCGACAGTCAAAACAAGATTTTTCCCAAAATACTAATTTGTCATAAAATATCGATAATTATCAGTTTCCAACGCAATTATCGCACGTTTTGTTTTTAAAAAAAAAGAGTGCACAAGTTCATTTGCTTGTGTAAACTTCCAAGCAGTAAAATCGTTTTTGTATATCGAGCAAAGTCCAGGTCTGACGAGTTTGTTTGGACGACTACAGCAGATTTGTGAGGTTCGTGTGAAAAAATTGTATCCGTTCATTAAAATCCGTATTTTATCTAAATCAACATAATTATTGTTTAATGGATATGTAAACGTGTAAAGAAGCACCGCGGCAATTTAAACATAGTAATCTTGTAAGTAAATATTTGTAGTAAGTTTTTTCGAGGTACTATGTTAAATTACATCCGTAAATAATTTAATTGTTTAATTATAATTACACTGTTTATTCAATTTGAAGCTTGAACAATTATATTGTGTTTAGGTGACGTGCTAACTTTAAAGTAACGGATTTTAAGTGGTTACGGTTCAAATCAATTAAAAAAATGTACATCGTGTATATTAATTATTTAACACACTAATGACGTCATCTCAAAATTACAACGCGACTTGACATTATCAAATTTTATTTAAGAACATGATATATTTAATATTAGTGCAATAACAAAATGTAAAAATACCAAAACATTACAAACGAACAAAAGAAAAATAACAAACTAATGGAACGTGGAACGATAAAGAATAAGTCCGTTTATTAGTTATTATTTTTTTTTAACAAGATCTACCAACATTTTACAGGCATATGTTATTCAGAACTGATTTCATTAAAATGTCAATAATAACTTTGGAAATTTTTGTTGCTATAGACGCAAATCGGATTTATGTTATTAATTGGTAGGAAATGTTTTCTTGAATTAATTGCGCAAAATTTCGATAGCAATATCAGCGCAGTGACGCCAGCAAAAAAATACACAACAGACGCACAAAAAGCTATATATATATATAAATATTAAATAAGAACATTTTTTTCGTGTTTCCGTGTGTCCCTCTGTCTCTCGATCTGTCCGGATTTTTTAGACAGATAATCTCCGGAACTATTGAACCAGTTGTCAAATTTTATATTCAATGCGAATATCGTGTAGATGGTAAAACGCTAACCAAAATTTGTCTAGTCATCGTACATAGAAAATGGGTTTTAAATTGTATAAAATAACATAATCTTATACATGTAGCTTATGACTCCGTGTTGAATTTTTACCACCAGATTTTTGGAAAAAAATCTATGAATGCGTGAATTTATTTTATTTATTTAATCAGGAACTGCAAAACCGAATCCTTTGAAATTTTTGAGACGTTTTAAAGTTATCATAAGCATGGTAAATTTTTGATCAAAATGTATTTGCTCATCTCCCCTAAAATATTGATGACGTCAACTCAAAATATTGCTGAATCTACCCTATCTTAAATGTGCAAAATATGATGAGTCTATACTAGTGATTTATTTTTAAAAATTTAATTAATATTTTTTAAATCTGCTTATACAGGGGATCTCAGAAAAATTAATGATTGAGTTGTTAAAAATAAACATCCAATCAGATTTAGGAATTTAACTCGTTACAACGGAAATACGCAAGTTAACACATTTTAAATTTAACAAGTTTTTACAAGATTAATAGGGGCAAAATCAGTTTTATCTAAACAAAAACTAGCCCCGCCCACCCGCCCCCTATTTTCTCAGAGGATATGGCATTTGCCAAACTCAGACTTTTCTTAGGTACTAGGAAGTACTACCCTCTGAGAAAATAAAGAACGGGTGGGCGGGGCTAGTACTTGGCAAAATAAGACTGATTTTGGCAAATGACATATCTTCTGAAAGAATAGGGGGCGGGTGGGTGGGGCAAGTACTTGGTAAGATAAGACTGATTTTGGCAAATTACATATCTTTTGACAGAATGGGGGGCGGGTGGGCGGGGCTAGCACTTGGTAAGATAAGACTGATTTTGGCAAATGCCATATCTTCCGAGAGAACAAGGGGTGGGTGGGCGGGGCAAGTACTTGGTAAGATAAGACTGACTTTTGGCAAATTACATATCTTTTGACAGAATGGGGGGCGGGTGGGCGGGGCTAGCACTTGGTAAGATAAGACTGATTTTGGCAAATGCCATATCTTCTGAGAGAACAAGGGGTGGGTGGGCGGGGCTAGTACTTGGCACGATATTACTGATTTTGGCAAATTTAACTCGTTACTATGGAAATTTGCAATTTAACATCTTTGAATTCCACAAATTTTTACAAGATTAATAGGGGAAAAATCAGTTTTATCTTAACAAATACTAGCCCCGCCCACCCACCCCCGATTTTGTCAGAGAATATGACATTTGCCAAAATCAGCTTTATCTTGCCAAGTACTAGCCCCCCCCCCCCCCCCCTCTATTCTCTCAGAAGATGTCATTTGTGAAAATCAGTTTTATCTTACCAAAGACTAGCCCCGCCCACCCACCCCCTATTTTCTCAGAGGATATGTGATTTGCCAAAATCAGTCTTATCTTACCAAGTACTAGCCCGCCCATCCGCCCCTATTTTCTCATAGGGTATGACATTTGCCAAAATCAGTCTTATCTTAGCAAATACTTGCAAGTACTACCCTCTGAGAAAATAAAGAACGGGTGGGCGGGACTAGTACTTGATAAGATAAGACTGATTTTGGCAAATGACATATCTTCTGAAAGAACAGGGGGCGGGTGGGCGGGGCTAGTACTTGGTAAGATAAGACTGATTTTGGCAGATGACATATCTTCTGAGAGAATAGGGGTGGGTGGGCGGGGCTAGTATTTGTTAAGATAAAACTGATTTTGCCCCTATTAATCTTGTAAAAACTTGTGAAATTCAAAGGTATTAAATTGCAAATTTCGGTAGTAAAGAGTTAAATTCTTAAATCTACCCGAAATGTGATGAGTTTTTGCTTGCGATTTATCATTGCATTCATATTCTTTAGATTTGCTTGTACAAGTGGCTCAAAAATAATTAGTGAATGTGTCAATTTATTTTATTGATTAAATCAGGAGCGGCTCGCTCCATTTTCCCAGAAAATTTTGGAATACAATAGTGTTATTTTTAGTATTACAGTGCAGCAATCCAAGTTGATATACATGTCCTTGCAAAAATGTTGATGACGTCATCACAAAATTCTCTGAAATAAAAACTCAACTCAAAAATGCCACATATATTTCACTGTACTTTAGGTGCGAGGGAAGTTCTGTCGAAACAGCTTTCCACGAATTTTTTTTATAAAATAAAAGTCACTTTTTATCGTGAAGTTTTTTATTGCATTTTTTTTTATTTCACTACATTTTTAAGGTTTTTTTTTAAATTGTGGATTTCTAAAGATTTTGACCATGATTCCAGGTGATCCACATTTGTGCAAAAAAATAATAAACCTCTTCAACGTCAAAATCAGCCTGTTTTCGTAAAAAAAAAAAATGATAAAGCACCTTATAATAAATAAAAAAAATGTAGGGTGAAACGTACCATTTTTACCTACTACTAATTTGGCCCCTTTTTTGGTATTTGTATTTAATTTTATAGGATCGTATACTCCTGCATGTGTGATTCATGAATCCGTGTCGAGACCCTAGACATCCAGATTTTTGAGAAAAAAGTCAAAATTGTGTAATAACATTTTACAATTTAACTTTGAAACTTGCAATTTTTTGAAGATTATTATCGTAAGCTTGGTAAATCGTTAATAAAATTTTTTCGTTTATACAGGGTGTTATTGAAAGGTACGTACAACAAAATTGACAGTTCTTCGCGAGGTCCAAGAAGTCTGAAAAACTTATTTTGTGTTATCAAAATTATAAGGGGAAAATTAACCCTTATCCAACCGTTTTAGACGCTACTGAAAGATAAATAGGTAAAATTAATTTATTTTAATAAATCCTAGCAACTATAACAATAAAACTTTTGTCAAGACTAAATGTTGCTATAGAAACGAGATGATATTTTTATCAGAGGCGTACAACGAATTTGGACATAAATTTTAATAATTTTTATCTCTAAAAGGAGAACACTTTTACCTGAACTTTTTTTAACTTTTAGCACCCATACTTCCGAGACCAATTGCCGATTTTATTTTGTACGTACCTTTTAATAACACGCTGTATAATGTGTAATTTAATCGAAATTTTTTTGGGAAGAAATTCAAAATTTGAAATATTTTAAGATTAACCAACCAAATTTCGTTTTCTTTTAACCGCTGATTCTTGTAATCTGAACATGTTAAAAGTCGAATTCGGTCGCAGTATAAACATAAACAGTTAAACAGTCGAAGTTAAGAATATACTGAGACTTTGAGAACGTCTATATTTTTTCCCGTTAGTTATCCACTTTAAATTTACTGGAAACGCCATTGCAACTGAATTGTCACTAATCAAATAAATAAAACACTTAATTATTTTGTTGTTTGTTTGTTCGACGTTCCATTCAAACATAATGCTTCGTCACCAAGGTTCTTTGGCCTGCAAAATTTTTTTAAGTTTAAACAGCCCAGGTTGAGGCCAAATAACGAAAAATCGAAGCTTAACGAATGGTTTTTCGAACAATATTTACGGTGTCAAGGTACGATAATTAATTGTACACACATTTTTCTGTCTGATGGATCGCTGTCTTTAACTTCTTAATTGAAGTGCGACCTTATCCCAAGACAACAACATTTTTGTAAGACGACTTGAAAAGTGACAAGTCATTTTATGAAAGTAAATAACCTGTCCGCTGATTGCGATCTGGCGACGTCTTGCTTTACTCCGGCTACAACTTTTGTTTTCCAATTAGGAGAAATAAATCCTGAATGGTTAACCTGTTTCGAATTACCTGATAATAACATAAATGTTAAAGGTACGTGTCAAGAATCATGGCTAACTCCATCTGCGTACGCTCCATGGCCATGTATACCGAACATTATATACATAAATATATGAATTTGTTGATAATTACAGTCAAGCTTCTGATTGACGCTGCGTATTTTTAATGATTAGAAATATATATTTACATTTACTTGTAAAAACGACACTTATCGCAACAAATGATATAATTAACTAACCAATTACTGTCATAAACATACCATTTACGCGTGTACGTAAGATTCCACATTTTTTTAGTCAAATTTGAACCATTAAATCATCTACGTCACACTATTCCATCAACATAAAAAAAAATCGTCGCTGTCGAGTAACACAAAAAATTCAACAACAACAAAGAGTATTTTAGGAGTGCCTCAAGCACAATCCTGTGAAGGTTTCACCTACAATCCCCAAATTACTTTTTCGCTCCTATATAATTTATTTATCTATGTCAAGACTTTTAATACACAAACAAAAAACGCAGCGAAAGCATAAATCGCACTTAACCTCACGCCACGCACTTACGTAACCCAGAAAGTTGAAAGATCGCGACACCAACCTCAACCCCTAGTTCCAGCACCACGGGCGTACGCGGTACCATCAAAACCACCGCCAACACCCAGACCCGCACCGGCGCCCACCAGTACAGGAAGCAGTCCTGCTACATCCTGCAGGACGACCAGCTCAACCCCTTTTTCACGGTCAGCGAGATCATGAACATGGCGGCGGACCTAAAACTCGGCCACGGCATCTCTCAGAAGAGAAAAATCATTCTGGTGAGTGTCCTCAATTACGTAAGCGCTCACCTTGCACTTGAATTTTTCCGGCAAGGTAAGAGACTCTCTTGTTCCAGATCAACGACATTCTGGACACCTTGAGCCTATCGGTGGCGAAAGACACTCGCTGCCAGCGGCTGTCGGGAGGACAAAAGAAGCGATTGTCGATAGCTCTTGAACTTATCGACAACCCGCCGGTGATGTTCTTGGACGAACCAACAACGTAAGTAAAGCGAATAATGTGGCGGTAGCCACACTTCCTGCTAGTTGACTGTTAAGTAAGTTACTGCAGAACCTAAATACCTAAATATCGATACGATACGACCTAGAGTGGAAAGCGTTTATGTAAACGCTGTATTTCTCCTTTTGCTACTTCCTAGTGTGTAAATTTTTGACTTTTCTTACATAAGTAGTCACCCGTTTTGACATTTTTCTGTTGGTTAATGTTGCACTTTCTCTGGTTTTTCTCTTTAGGGGCTTGGACAGCTCTTCTTCTGCGCAATGTGTGAGCATGCTCAAGGATCTAGCGAGAGGCGGAAGAAATATTATTTGCACTATTCATCAACCGAGTGCTACTTTATACGAAATGTTTGATCATGTTTACGTTATGGCCGAGGGCGAATGTATCTATCAAGGGGCGAGCCAGAATACTGTGGCTTATCTTTCCTCGATTGGGCTGAATTGTCCCCAGTATCACAATCCAGCGGACTATCGTAAGTGTGATATTTACTTTTTCCGAATTATGTAACGGTGAGAGTCAAGATAAGAAAGTAAATAAATAGTTAACTTATTCATACCGTAAAAGGAGGAGCTACACAGGAAAATAATTCCACATTTGCGTTAGTCATTCGTACCAGGTTCATAATTTTCGTAATAATAGAGATGTGTTTGAAAACACAGTATTTACAGTGCACTTTTGGTGTCGCAACCAAGCGGACATTTATTTCATTGGCGCAAAAATTGCTTCATCCTTTTTTCATGTACACTAGAATTCGTTACTAAATTTAGTTTTAGTTTGTTTATAATTTTGAGAAGACGTCAACTCCACACAAACCTTCTCCCGTGGAACATTCATGATTCCATTTCAGGAATTTCCCACGACTGCATTAAATACCGGCTGCAGAATCCTGATTTAAATAACAAAATCTCGGAATTTCCATAACCCGTAACGCACTGAAACGAAAAAATGACTACCTGGCAAGCTTTTATCAGAGTTTTGACTAAGAACGAAAAACAATATTATTGTCACCTTCACACACTCAACATTTTCCACTCCTAATCAGAAGTTCAAATCAGTAATAAAAAATAATTGTGTCGCTTTTTATTCGTTTCCACCAACAATTTAAAATCGCGATGACATTGAAACCAAGTTGTCCGACAAGATTTTTTCCAGTTCAATTTCTTTCCCTACGTGTAAACAAAACGCATAAACTAATGGCGTGTTACAGTCCTGGAGGTGGCTAATGGCGAATACGGAAACTTCACGGATCTTCTGGCAAAGACCGCCCTAGAAAACCAATGGAGGACCGCTCTAACCCCCAAAAAACGTATGTTGCAAACTCGACTCTATAAAATCTAGCGAATTTTTCTAGTGGAAAACGAGATAAGTCTGTATACACACCAGTACACCCAAACCATGGGCAGCTACCAACAGAGCTTAGTATTAACTAGTCAGGCGTCCGAGTGGTTCAAATTTTGTATTCTAGTCAAAAGGTCTTTCTTACAACTATATAGAGATTGGGTTTGTGTTTAGTTCAACCCCGAAACGACTGATAACCGTTTCTTTCCAGACCATTTCTCACCTAAAAATAGTTCTCCATTTTCTCGTAGGAATAGTGTTAGGATTAAATTACTACCGATCTGGAAACGACGGTTCCAAGACTCTCAGCAACGTAGGCTACTTTATAATAAGTTCTGTGTATCTCACGTACACATCTTTAATGCCAGCAGTACTCAAATGTGAGTAACCCAAAAATAAAACCGTCGTTACAACAACGAGTTTCAGTTCCCTCAGAATTGGCAGTATTAAAAAAGGAGCGGTTCAACAACTGGTACAACCTCAAGACCTACTACGCCGCTTTCTTAGTATCAGATATACCAATGCAGATAATATTCTGCGTAACGTACGTTTCGACGTCGTACTTCCTCAGTGACCAACCGCCAGAACTTTGGCGGTTTTTAATGGTTCTGGCAATTCTGATACTCGTGTCGTTGTCGGCCTCGAGTCTCGGCTTGCTAATAGGAACTTTAGCAAACCCAATTGTAAGTTTAAACTTGTACAATTTTACAAAAAATAACGTTGTTTTTTTACAGAACGGGACTTTCTTTGGCGCTATTTTGACAGCGTTGATGTTGACCCTTGCCGGTTTCCTCATTCTTTTCACCCACATGCCCAAAGTCATGTACTACTTGACGTATGCATCATTTCTTTCTTACTCATACGAGGGATTGGTGCAAGCGGTGTATGGCTTCAACAGAGCGGCGCTCCCCTGCCCCGACGACGTGATGTACTGTCATTTAAAAGTGCCCGAACTTATTTTACGGGAATTGGGGATGGTGAGGAACACGTTCTGGACTGACATTGCTTTCCTAGTTGGGAATTTCTTAGTGTTACGGATGGTAGCGTTCTGTACTTTAAAAAGACAGCTTAAAAGTGGATGAACAGTGTGATATTTCTGATTATTTATAAATGTAGAAGATATTAGCTGTGCTAATATCCGTACGTGGTGTAAGATAATGCGTTATACTATTGTACATAGAAATGAAATATTTAATGCAGAGTTTGCGATCATGTGTCAGTTTGTTATTGGTAAAGCGTGAAAATAAATGTTTGAAGTTGGTTGCTTACTTTATTTGGTTACTAGTGGTTGAAATGGTTTGTTCTTTGGTTAAATTGAGTCTTTGGTTTGGTTGCTGTGGCCATCTAAAAATGGAACAGTTGGACGTAATTCACCAGAAAACGAAAATAATCACCTTGATTGTAATGATTATTGAATTTGCATTTTTTGGGTTCGTGGAAACTTATCAACGTTTACATTTTGTATAAATAAAACACCCACTGAACCACTATCACTTTTATAAATTGTCGGTAAAATCAGGCGCGGTTTTACCGACTACAAGGGAAGCGTGTATTGCTGGTTGCATAAACCGTGGTAAATGGAAATTTGCGTCGTCTTGTATTTATTTACAAGAACTAAAATTAGCTTTCAGTTTATCTTTTTTTTTTAATAAGCAGAGGCAAACAAACAACACACTAATCAGTCAAATCACTCGTGTAAAATATCGCGATTTATTTCGCTAGAAAGATCCGTGTATTGCTGGTTGCCTATACGGCCACAAATAAACCAATAACACTTCTTTGATTTCTCTTATTTACTAAAAACAACACCAATACGTTTGATATTTTATTAAAAATTAATAATTAGTATCCCTATCCATAAAAATAAATAAATAACAATATAAATTAACCACTGGAGCGTCAGTCTCCTCTTCACAGTCTACGCTTTGACACACCTACAACAACCACGATTAAAACCTTCAACCCTTAAATTAAGTGACAAACCCACCTGCACTCAGTTCGTTCCCACGTCGTCCCCGTCGTGCAAATCTTCTCCCTTCGACACCCACAGGAGCAAGTTTTCGCGCTCCATTTGAAATTGGAATCAACGTCGGCTTTATCCACACAGTCCCTTTCCTCTTCCTGAAACAAAAAATTGTAAAAACCATCAAACTTTCCAGATCCAACTCACTTTATTCGTGCACACACATTTGCACAACGTCGGGTCAAACTTCTGGTCGACGGAACACCGCTTCTTCTCGGGACAGTCGCACTGGCATTCCGTGTCCTCAGGAACGCTGATCCTGCTGCAGAAAACCATCCCCGACTTTTGGTCAGTCGTCCTGACGTAAAAGTCGACGTTGGTGCGCTTTTTGGGGAGGCACTTTTTGCTCCCGGAACACATGCCGCCGCAGCGCTTGACCACGACGGTGTTGGGGATGACTTTGGAGCTGTCGGGGGCGGCTACTTCCACCACCGTGTCTCTAGGGATGCAGCGGATTTTTTTTCTTAGTTCGTTCAAAGAGCGGGTGACGTTGCTGGACTTGCAGCTGACTGAAAAGCCAAAGTGAGTATAAATGTTTTTTTTGGAAAGGGGTGCGGGTTACCTGGAACGGGGTCAATTTTGGCGTTGGTTCTCTTCCTGGAGGTGATTATGGGCGGCATTTTCAAAGCGTAAGTGGGGAACTTGAGGGTGACCTCTGATTTTTCCAAAACGTCGTTTTCCGAGCTGAATTTATTTTTCTTACGCTTGGTGTTGCCCGACGCGCTGAGCAAAACCACGACCACCAAAACTTGGAAAAACTTGATGAATGTACACATTGTAGATGTCTCTTTGATCACGCTTGACAACAAAATGCTCGTGGGTTTCGGGTGTTAACATATACATAAAACTTTGCCAGTTTTTTGCTAAGCGTCGACGTGAAAGTTCTGCAAGATTGCGTCTTGTTGTACGCAATCACAGATGTGCTGAACTGGGGATATTTTTAAATATTTATTACTGCAAGACAATTGTTTACTTTAGAAGAATTAGTGTGATCAAAGATTTAAGTGCACTACAGGGAAATATCAGTTTGACGGTTTCCGGATTGCGGTTATTTATCAACATCACGTTTTTAAACAACTTTATTTAGTTTTTTAACGGTGAGAAATTAGCTATTTATAACGGAACGGGGTTTACTTTATTTGAAATTTTATGGGGAATTTTTGCACGGGTTTACGTCCCATAAAATCTTTTACCCACGATACTAGATTTAGAACAGGGTCGTCGGATAGTTTTTTTAATCGTTTTTACGGATCTCTTGTGCAAACGAAACAACAGCTTTATCCCGCGTTTTGGGGGATCGTGACGCAAACATAATAAATTCTCACGTTTACTTAGGACCCGATAAACCAAAGTGCGTCACAATTCAACCACGTTGCGCAACGGTAGTCACCCGAATTGTCTAAATATTAGAAGGCAATTCCCTGAGGACGCGGTCTTTTTTTTAAGTTTGTAATAACAAACTACAAATAGATCCGCTTCCTGTATTTTTTTTTTTGAATTATTAGAAATTACTCATCCCATTCGAGATCTGTCTCTATCAGAAGAAAAAAAATCTTTTGAAGCCTGATGAGTTGATGGTTTTTGGTATTTTTACTTCGCGAGCGTAAGCTAACGAAGTATAGTAATCGAATTCATCAGCCGAATTGCCACTTTTATGTTTTTCGACGTTTCATGGCCCCTACAGTACGAAAAAAGTAGTCCCCGGTTTCTGTCTGTCTGTCTGTCTGCATCCATTTTTGTTAGACACGTAATCTCCGAAAGATACTCCTATACTTGCAGTATACGAATCCGCTTTCAGTTTCTTCGCTTCACCAGACATTCAATTTTTTTTGGAAATTTTTTGGAAATTGTGGAACCATATGTTACTTATATTTCAACATATCTCGTGAAAGCAATATCGAATTTGTAACTACGGAAGATAGAACCAATTTGAACCACTTTCTTGGAAAATTTTTGGAAATTTTGAACTCACTTTGCATGCTTATTGGACCAGATATCGTGGCGGCGATTTCAGAATCGTAACTAGCGGAAGATTATCTACAATTTAACATCAATTTTCGGTCGATTAAACCAATTTTAACCACTTTTTTGGAAAATTTTTGGAAATTTTGAATTCACTTTGCGTGTTTATTAGATCAGATATCGTGGCGGCGATTTCAGAATCGTAACTAGAGGAAGATTATCTACAATTTGACATCAATTTTCGGTCGATTAAACCAATTTTAATCACTTTTTTGGAAAATTTTTGGAAATTTTGGACTCACTTTGCGTGTTTATTGGACCAGATCTCGTGGGGGCGATTTCAGAATCGTAACTAGCGGAAGATTATCCACAATTTGACATCAATTTTCGGTCGATTAAACCAATTTTAACCACTTTTTTGGAAAATTTTTGGAAATTTTGAGCTCACTTTGCGTGTTTATTGGAGCAGATATCGTGACGGAGATTTCAGAATCGTAACTAGCGTAAAATTATCTACAATTTGACACCAATTTTCGGTCGATTAAACCAATTTTAACAACTTTTTTGGAAAATTTTTGGAAATTTTGAACTCACTTTGCGTGTTTATTGGACGAGATATCGTGACGACGATTTCAGAATCGTAACTAGCATAAGATTATCAACAATTTTACACCAATTTTCGGATGATAGAGCCAATTTTAACCACTTTTTTAGAAAATTTTTGGAAATTTTTAATTCACTTTTCGTCTTAGTTGGACGAGATATCGTGGCGACGATTTCAGAATCGTAACTTTCCGAAGATTATCTATAATTTGACACCAATTTTCGGTCGATTAAACCAATTTTAACCACTTTTTTGGAAATTTTTTGGAAATTTTGAAATCATTTTCCGTCTTTATTGGACCAGATATCGTGACGGCGATTTCAGAATCGTAACTAGCAGAATATTATCTACAACTTGACACCAATTTTCGGTCGATAGAGCCAATTTTAACCACTTTTTTGGAAAATTTTTGGAAACTTTGCATTCACTTTTCGTCTTTATTGGACGAGATACCGTGACGGCGATTTCAGAATCGTAACTAGCCGAAGATTATCTACAATTTGACACCAATTTTCGGTCGACTAAACCAATTTCAATCACTTTTTTGGAAAATTTTTGAAAATTTTGGATTCACTTTGCGTGTTTGTTGGACCAGATATCGTGGGGGCGGTTTCAGAATCGTAACTAGCGGAAAATTATCTACAATTTGACACCAATTTTCGGTCCATTAAACCAATTTTAAAAACTTTTTTGGAAAATTTTTGGAAATTTTGAATTGACTTTTCGTCTTTATTGGACGAGATATTGTGGCGGCGATTTCAGAATCGTAACTAGCGGAAAATTATCTACAATCTGATAGCAATTTTCGGTCGATTGAACCGATTTTAACCCTTTTTTTGGAAAATTTTTGGAAATTTTGAATTCACTTTGCGTGTTTATTAGACCAGATATCGTGGCGGCGATTTCAGAATCGTAACTAGCGGAAAATTATCTACAATTTGACACCAATTTTCGACCGATTAAACCAATTTTAACCACTTTTTTGGAAAATTTTTGGAAATTTTGAATTGACTTTTCGTCTTTATTAGACGAGATATTGTGGCGGCGATTTCAGAATCGTAACTAGCGGAAAATTATCTACAATCTGATAGCAATTTTCGGTCGATTGAACCGATTTTAACTCTTTTTTTGGAAAATTTTTGGAAATTTTTGAATTGACTTTCCGTCTTTATAGGACGAGATATCGTGGCGGCGATTTCAGAATCGTAACTAGCGGAAAATTATCTAAAATTTGATACCAATTTTAGGTCGATTAAACCAATTTTAACCCTTTTTTTGGAAAATTTTTGGAAATTGTTGAATTAACTTTCCATCTTTATTGGACGAGATATCATGACGACGATTTCAAAATCGTTACTAGCGGAAAATTATCTACTATTGGACACCAATTTTCGGTCGATTAAACCAATTTTAACCCTTTTTTTGGAAAATTTTTGGAAATTTTGAATCAACTTTTCGTCCTTATTGTACGAGATATCGTGATGGCGATTTCAAAATCGTAACTAGCGGAAGATTATCTTCAATTTGACACCAATTTTCGGTCGATTAAACCAATTTTAACCACTTTTTTGGAAAATTTTTGGAAATTTTGAATTGACTTTCCGTCTTTATTGGACGAGATATCATGACGACGATTTCAAAATCGTAACTAGCGGAAAATTATCTACAATTTGACACCAATTTTCGGTCGATTAAACCAATTTCACCACTTTTTTGGAAAATTTTTGGAAATTCTGAATTCACTTTTCGTCTTTATTGGACCAGATATCGTGACGGCGATTTTTCAGAATCGTAACTAGCGGAAAATTATCTACAATTTGACAGCAATTTTCAGTCGATGGAACCAACTTTAACCACTTTTTTGGAAAATTTTTGGAAATTTTGAATTCACTTTGCATGTTTATTGGACCAGATATCGTGGGGGCGGTTTCAGAATCGTAACTAGCGGAAAATTATCTACAATTTGACACCAATTTTCAGTAGATTAAACCAATTTTAACCACTTTTTTGGAACATTTTTGGAAATTTTGAATTGACTTTCCGTCTTTATTGGACGAGATATCATGACGACGATTTCAAAATCGTAACTAGCGGAAAATTATCTACAATTTGACACCAATTTTCGGTCGATTAAACCAATTTCAACCACTTTTTTGGAACATTTTTGGAAATTCTGAATTCACTTTTCGTCTTTATTGGACCAGATGTGACGGCGATTTTTCAGAATCGTAACTAGCGGAAAATTATCTACAATTTGACACCAATTTTCAGTCGAATGAACCAACTTTAACCACTTTTTTGGAAAATTTTTGGAAATTCTGAATTCACTTTTCGTCTTTATTGGACCAGATGTGACGGCGATTTTTCAGAATCGTAACTAGCGGAAAATTACCTACAATTTGACACCAATTTTCAGTCGATGGAACCAACTTTAACCACTTTTTTGGAAAATTTTTGGAAATTTTGAATTCACTTTGCATGTTTATTGGACCAGATATCGTAGGGGCGGTTTCAGAATCGTAACTTGCGGAAAATTATCTACAATTTGACACCAATTTTCAGTAGATTAAACCAATTTTAACCACTTTTTTGGAACATTTTTGGAAATTTTGAATTCACATTTCGTCTTTATTGGACGAGATATCATGACGACGATTTCAAAATCGTAACTAGCGGAAAATTATCTACAATTTGACACCAATTTTCGATCGATTAAACCAATTTTAACTACTTTTTTGGAAAATATTTGGAAATTTTGAATTGACTTTCCGTCTTTATTTGACGAGATATCGTGACGGGGATTTCAAAATCGTAACTAGCGGAAGATTATCTACAATTTGACACCAATTTTCGGTCGACTAAACCAATTTCAATCACTTTTTTGGAAAATTTTTGAAAATTTTGGATTCACTTTGCGTGTTTGTTGGACCAGATATCGTGGGGGCGGTTTCAGAATCGTAACTAGCGGAAAATTATCTACAATTTGACACCAATTTTCGATCGATTAAACCAATTTTAACTACTTTTTTGGAAAATATTTGGAAATTTTGAATTGACTTTCCGTCTTTATTTGACGAGATATCGTGACGGCGATTTCAAAATCATAACTAGCGGAAGATTATTTACAATTTTACACCAATTTTCGTTCGATTAATCCAATTTTAAACATTTTTTTGAAAAATGTTTGGAAATTTTTGAATTGACTTTCCGTCTTTATAGGACGAGATATCGTGGCGGCGATTTCAGAACCGTAACTAGCGGAAGATTGTATACAATTTGACACCAATTTTCCCTCGATTAAACAAATTTTAATCAGTTTTTTGGAAAATTTTTGGAAATTTTGAATTCACTTTGCGTGTTTATTGGACCAGATATCGTGACGGCGATTTCAGAATCGTAACTAGCGGAAGATTATATACAATTTGACACCAATTTTCCGTCGATTAAACAAATTTTATTCAGGTTTTTGGAAAATTTTTGGAAATTTTGAATTCACTTTCCGTGTTTATTGGAATAGATATCGGAACGACGATTTCAGATTTGTGGCTGATGGAAAATTATTTACAATTTTACACCAATTCTCGGGCGATTGAATCCATTTTAGCCATCTTTTTGGGAAATTTTTGGAAATTTTGAATTCACTTTTCATGATTATTGGAGCCGATATCCTGATGGCGATCTAAAATTTGTAACTGGCGGAGTGTTATCTACAATTTGACACCAATTTTTAGTCGATCGAACCAATTTTAACTTTTTGGAATTTTTTGATAATTTGGGAATGATATTTTACCTTTATTTCATGAAACCCAATAATTGTAAAATCGAAAAATTATGAAATCGTCAAAATTGTAACATTGAAAGAAAAATTGAAAACTGAAAACACGAAAAATTAAAAATCGAAAAATTGAAAAATTGAATAAATGAATGCGTTTTAAAATCCAATAATTGAAAAATGGAAAAATTGCAAAACTGTAAAACTGAAAAGGTGAAAAATTTTAAAATCCTAAATACTATTACGTTTAAAACTAAGAGAATTGCAAATAAAAAATTGAAGAAACGGTAAATTGAAAAATCGGGAAACCGAAAAATTTTAAACTGAAAAGACGAAAATGTTAAAATCTAATTACTGAAAATTCGCAAAATTGAAAAATCCGAAAATTGAAAAATTTCACATTGAATAAATGAAAAATTTTAAAATGAGAACTCGAGTAGTTGCAAGTCGTAAAATTGAAGGAACCGTAAAGAAATGAACAACTGAAAAATTGCACATCAAAAAGTTGAATAAACTGAAATAGAAATGTTCAAAAACTGAAAAAATAAAGAAGCTAAAAAACCGAAACAAAAAATTACAGATAGAAAAATTGAAAACTCGAGAAACGCAAATCGAAGAATTGAAAAATTAAGAAGTTGAAAAATTTTAATCTGAAAACAAAAAATTACAAATTGGAAAACTGAAGAAACCAAAAAAAGAAAAACTGAAGAAGTGAAAAGTTCAAGTCAAATTTTTTCTTCATCGGAGTTGGTTTAGATGACGATGCTTGAAGAAAGTAGCTCAAAACCGAACACTTAAGTGAAAAAAGAAATAAATTGACTTATTCAAGATCTTTTCGTGCCAAAAACGATGAAAATTAGTTTCTTGCACCCCTATAAAAAAATCTGCACGAATTACTAACCTGAACACTTGAACTTTGTAGTTAGTGGCTAAATGTCAACGTTAAGAGACATCGTGTCAAAAATGAAAAAATTTCGAATCGATTTCCCTCTTTTCGACCGTCGTAAAATAAGACCATCCTGAATGAATTCCTCATTAAAAATACAAGACGTCTTACGCATCCAGACGACACCGCAGGCGCACAATGAACGTTCGATCGATTCCGAAGGGGTAGCACCCTCGTATTAGTCACTCTCATTTATAGTTTCCTTCTAAAAATCACTCAGTCTATTTTTACGTTCCGCAAACATAATAAAATAAAATGATACGTGCATGGTGCTAGAAAATAACCCTCAACTTAACACATAAAATGGCGTTCGCAAATAATCCCGCGCTGAAAACCCCAACTGTCCTCGAGCAGTTACTCGAGGAGATCAATTTCCAACGTACAAAAGAAATGCGCCAACTTCTCAAAGATGGTAAACCACGACGACTCTCTAATAAAACCCCAAGTAAAATTTATTTCTAGACTCGGGTTTCGTGATGCTGCAAGGAACGACGTACTGGACGGATTTGTTCGTGAGGCACTTCTTGTTCCAAAACGAATCGACGATAGACTGCGACGATTTGTTGTTTTTCGTTAGGAAGAAACACGTGAAGGGGTCACCTAGGTATCTCCCGAAGTTCGAGGTATTTATTCAAGTAAAATTCTTCAAACGCGGACGGTATATTTGTTGTAGACTGAAGTGGACGTGTTTCGGAAAGATAGTCGAAAATTGCCAATCGGCGACCCCGACATCGACTGGGAGGAAACTGTGTACTTGAACCTCATCATCCACCAGTTCGAATACACCCTAACACTAGCCATTTGTACGAGGACTAGCCCCAAAGAGCTCCAAGTGCTCAAACGCCACTCGCAGAAAGTCTACGCTTCGCCTAGTAGACGAAGAATGGACACCAAAGGCGAAGTCGAGGAGATCACGTACCCTCACATCTGCTTCATGGTGGATAATTTCGACGAAGTGTTCCACGACATTCTGGTGCGCGATGGGGAGATGGTTTGCGTGGAGCTGGTGGCGGCAGATCGCGCCGGCACCGTCCAAGGGGTGATCTTCTTGGGGTCCATTCGCTACGACGCGCTGAAGAAAGTCTACGATTCTAGGGTAGGTATATCAACCTTGGTGTCTACGCCTACTTGTCTAACTACTAAAAACTTGCAGCAGTCAAGTCTGAGCACCAAAATGGCCCAACGAATGACGTTCGGTCTATTCTCAAACTCCAGCAGCCAAAGATGCGAATTCGTTAGGATGAAGGGGCCTCAAGGCAAGGGGCATGCCGAGATGGCCGTGACGAAGCCCAAAGGTTCGGGGGTGGAAACCCCCACGTCCGAACCGGGGTTCTGTGCCACGGACATGTGGGACTCGGATTGGGACGAGGACCCCGAGGACTTCTACGTGTACAGGAACCAAAGGAGACTCAGCGACCCCAGCGCCAACATCAACAACTTCGTGCGCGGCGGGTGGAAGTCCAAGCTCGACGCCAAGTCCAGGTCGGAGAACGAAGGCCTGGACTGCATCGACAACGGCGTGAGCGAGATAGAAGCCGGGGATTTGCGGGACGGTGAGTATCCCGCTTGCTCTCATAGTTTCAATTGGATAAAAGAAGCAGGACTAGAGTCACGAAATTGTGTGTAGTAGTTAGAGAGTTAATTCCTTCTTCTTTGGTTGTAGAGAGGTCCGGTCCTGCTTCTACATCCAAGTCAACTTGCTGCGGGTGTTTCCAAAAGAGAAAAAGGGGGTCGATTACGCTGTTGGAGATGTACAGTAGGAAGTGCCTGGACCCGGCCAAGTGCGCCCAAAGGGCGCCCCTGGGACCCCCCGATAACAAATGCTCGTGCCGCCCACAAATTAACAATCTCATGAACCAGTCCGAGTACGAAGTAGGCAAAGAGAAAAACAAATCGCGCAAGACGAAGAAGACGAAACAGATCCGCGAGAACGCGAACAACTACACGGAGTTCGAGTTCGCTGATGATGCCATCAGTCTGAACAACGAAACGTTCGAGGAGCGGCCGTCCAGCCGCAATTCGAACTCGTCGCTGAAAGAGCCGTCGGCCACCGACAATCCCTACATTACCGTGAACGGCAAAGAAGAACTCCCTTGCGTCGAGGAAATCAGAAAGTATTGCATATCGGACAATATATCACTCGCGGCGAAAAGCTGCGACCCTAAGACTGAACCCAAAATTGTTATCACCCCCCAGCCGGACAATGTAAATAACGATCGAATCAAAGTCAATAGGAACTTTGACGGCAACTACAACAAGCTGAGCATTAAGAGCATCTACAGCTATTGCACTTTACCCAAAAACAAAAAGCTCGTCAACAACCACAAGAACTACTGGTTTAGGCATGTCGTTCCGCCTAAGCGGATCACGCCCGACGGGACGCACATTTACTATTGGTGCGACTTACATAAAAGGGGACATAACGGTAAATGAGCTTTTCGGTGTCGAGGCGCATCGATCCGGGACGAAAATAAAGTGACCTTCTTTGTTATAGAGTTGGACGATGGCGCCTACAACCCATTGTGGACGATGCGGGGGTTCACGCAGACGTTCCACTTCTGGAAGGAGAACAAAAGGGCGCAATCGGTGCCCTTGAACGCTTTCCTCACGTACGTGACGCTGCCTTGGTGGAGCATTGCCAAAGGTTCGTGAACAATCGATTTGTCGTCAATAGTTCACTACAAAAACCATAAGAAATCTAGAACAGCTTGAGGTTTAGTTTAACCTTGTTTATTCTCTACGCAACTTATAAACAATGACGTATTTTGTCTCCTTCAAGTTTCGACATACGATTGATCTGCTCTTCTCTTTTCAGACATACTCGACCACCGAGAAGGTCCCATCCTGACGTTCTAGTACATTTTAAAAGGCACCGATCCGTTGAAACCACAATTTCGCAAACTTTCTAGTTTATCTGTGATTTTTATAACATTTAGTTGGAAACATACAATTCAAACCTAATATAAGATTTCTGCGCCAGGTTTGAGCTGTGATATTAATTTAATACACTAAATGTATGTTTATTACAATAAATTGAACGTTCTTTCATTGTGTTTTGTTCCGAGAAGATCCACATTATTTTGATAAACATAGGTCAAGTAGATAAAAAGGTCCGCACGATAAAAGCGTCGGTTTAGTCCAACCGCATCAGTAACACTGTGGAAATGTTCAAACTATTACTCTTTCTTTTCTTTGTGTCTTCAATTTGGGCTTGCTCTCGCGAGCCCAGCGTCTACCACTCGAAAGTCGCTAAACTACGAGGCGACAATGGCTACCAAATCAAGATCAACGAAGACCCAGCTAAATACGTCCCTGGAAAAGTATACACACGTAAGAATCATCAAACCGTTCGCCTAGTAACTAACAGACTCTTCTTCAGTATATATAATGGGTTCCCGAACCTACGCCAAACTCCAACACTTCCGACGTTTCACAATCAACGTCGAAGCCACCAGCGACCCTGGAAACTTATCTCCGCAACGAGTCGGCAGTTTCCAGCTTTTCGGCGACTCCATCTCGAAATTCAACGAAGAATGCATCAACACGATCTCCGAGAACAACGAACTACCCAAAACCGAAGCGTACCTCATGTGGACGGCGCCCCCACCAGGCTCGGGCTGCGTCACCTTCAAAGCCATGGTACTAGAAGACTCGACCCACTGGTACGCAGACGAAGGCAACCTCTCCAAGACCTTCTGCGAACAAACCGAACAAGACGTCAAGTTTGACGAAAACAACGACTGCTGCGCTTGCGATGAAGCCAAATATAACGTAGGTACTAAAAGCTCAGTTCAAAGACCTAAATATGTCTTTGTAGATGATCTTTGAGGGGATTTGGTCCAACAAAACTCACCCCAAAGATTTTCCGTTTTCGTTGTGGCTGACGCACTTTTCAGACGTAATCGGGGCTTCGCATGAGAAAAATTTCACTTTCTGGGGGGAAGGGCAAATCGCGTCTGAAGGTTTCAGGAGCTTGGCGGAGTGGGGCTCTGTGAGACTAATGGAAACTGAATTAAGGGCAAAGAGTAAATATCTAAGGACTATTATTAAAGCCGCTGGGTTGTGGTACCCCAATGTCAATACAAACACGTCGGCTAACTTCAGGGTGGATCGTAGGCACCACTTAATCTCGCTAAGTTCCATGTTTGGTAACTATATCGTCGGTACTTGATGGAATGACAATCACGTGTTCGTAGGACCCTCTCCGGATTGGGTGGTGGGTGTCAACGGGCTCAACTTGTGCTTGAAGAACTGCAGCTGGATTGAAAATCTGGTCATAGATTTGTTTCCTTACGATGCTGGTACTGACGATGGTATTTCCTACATGGTACGTATTCTCGAAGTGTGTAATTCCAACTAATTTTGAATAGTCTCCGAATGCCGAAACGTCACCCAGAGAGCGAATGTACCGAATCACCACTAAGTACCCAGAGGATCCAAGAGCACCGTTTTATAACCCGTCTAAGAACGAAATGGTTCCTTTAGCAAAATTGTACTTAAAACGAGAGAAACTAATTCCGAAGAACTGCGACGAGAATTTCCTCAATGCGCAGCTTGACGTCAGCGAGAATACTGAAGAAGTCAGCAGACGTAACACCTAGAAACTGTTTCAATCCGCTAGTAATAACGAAATTTTAGCTGAGTGTGCCGTCACCGAGTACAACCAATGGAGCGAATGCTCCGTGACTTGTGGTAAAGGCTTGAGAATGCGAAGTCGTGAGTACGTGATGCCCCAAAAAGCCAAGATGTTCCAGTGCAACAGACAACTAATCTCGAAGGAGATGTGTGTAGCAGCTGTAGCAGAATGTGAAAGCAGTGGCACCGATGTTGAAGAATCCATTGAAGACACTCCTCTCCCTGACAACGAAGGAATCTGTGCCACTTCCCCTTGGGGTCCTTGGTCCGAGTGTTCCGCCACCTGTGGCATAGGTTTCAAAATGCGAACCCGCCTCTTCATCGACAGAATGGGACGCAAAAAGTGCCCCCACATCACCACAGTTGAAAAAGAGAAGTGCATGAGCCCCCCTTGTACCGCCGAACAAGTAGAAATCCCAGATCCCATGTGTCCCACCACGAACTGGAGCGACTGGAGCCCTTGCAGCGCCTCGTGTGGTAAAGGAGTCCGACTAAGAACCAGATTACTCTTGGTGGAACCGTCTTTGCAACAGAAATGTAGTTCCAGGGTGGAACTAGTCCAACAAGCGCCTTGTATGGAGACCCCTGATTGTACCATCGACATGGCTACTGCTAAAGGTGGGTACTTCGGTAACGCGTTATTGTTGTTGTTGATTTACAAACTTCTAGTGATTTGTATGCAAGAAAGTGAGGCAGGACCGTGCAGCGGATATTTCAATCGATGGTACTTTGAACCCAGGAAGATGATGTGCGTACCGTTCATCTATGGGGGTTGTAGAGGCAACAGGAATAATTTCTTGACGGGGCAAGAGTGTATGGACACTTGTCAAGTAGTCAGAGGTACAAATACGATGACTCCCTTATTTGGATTTTTTGATTTTTGGTTTCTAGATGCTTTGAAAGGAAATTTGAATGGTGGTAGCTCGAACCCAGCTGTGTTAACGTCAAATGGCGGGTACAATGAACCTATTGATTGTATGGTCACGGAGTGGTCAAATTGGTCTACGTGTAACGTGGCTTGTGGTTTTGGTATTTCTGAAAAGTTTAGGATGGTGAAGAGACCAGCGGCGAATGGTGGAAGACCTTGTCCTGTCAGACTTGTCAAAACGAGGAGATGTAGAGGACCACCATGTGTTCAATAAAAGAAATAGACAGTAGACACCTGTGTTGATAACGTTGCATATTTTTGTAAATTCTTTATTTCAATATAGTTCAAAACTGCTAAATTTATAACAGTTATTTATTCAACTAGAGGGTAATAAGCGAGTGGAATTAAAAATAGGCGAGATCGTTAATCGCTATTATCCCACGTGTTGATTACAATATTTTTTCGACGATCGTAATTTGCGTAATTGGTATGCAACCAACAATATTTTGATTTTTCTGTCGAGTTTATTTTATTTAAATTTGTCTCCCAATACATTTTTGATTAAAAAACACCCTGTTTATTCAACTTTTAAATATCGCGTTAATTTTAAAAGACTTTGAAATTGAAATAACAAACTTTATTAGATTGGTATGCAACCAACAATACATTGCCATTTCTGTCGACTTTAGTTTAATTGTTGAGTAAGACTCATTAAATCAATCATAAATTTGTTCGTAATTTTCACATTAATAAACCATCGTCGGAAAATGTTTTTGGTGTCGACATAAAGCATAAAACTTATAAATAGAATAAAAAAATAAAATTCTGTGACGTAACAACGTCCATTAATCATCCTCGCGCCAAAATTCAAACCCCCAACTTGACATAACATCTGACACCTCCTCATCCTAACCTCCAATCATTTCGACCAAAAAGTTGTTTGTTTATTGCGCCAAAATTCGTATTTAAACCAACCAAAAATGAAAACTTGCCTCTTTTGCAGAAACACTCGCATTTTCAACATCCACAACGACTACGGCAACAGCAGCCACACTGCAAAAGACGACATGTTACAATTTTTTGGTTACCAGGTAGGCAAAATAAACATTGAAAAACCAACAACAACCCCTTCACCTGCAGATAGAAAGCCACCTCAGGCCCGACGATGCCATCTGCAACCTCTGCATGAACATAATGGACAACGTCGCCAAGCTCAAACGCCGCCTCCTGCCACTGATTTTCCGTTCAGAACCCTCGTACATGGAAGATTGCAAACCAATCAACTTCGGCAAAAAGTGGGACGTTTTCGCGTCGATGAACTTCGAAGAGGAGGACCCCTTTCTGGAGTCGCGCAGCCCCACGCCTAGCAATTTGTTGAAATGTAAACGAATCGTGCCGTACGAGAGCCCCATCGAGATGAAAATCGCGGAAATCGAGCGCCACCGGAGCTTAAGTAAAATTGTGTTATTATGTGGTGTGAAGGTGTAAATGGTGGTTTTAGGTCGCACCAGCGTGGCGAAATCCGAAGCCGAGAGCGAAATCGTCAACGCGTTTTCGAAAAAGCGCGCTCGGAGGCGGAAACGGGGGCACAATTGGTCGCGCCGGAAAACCGGGAGGTACTCATCGGCGAGCACTAACACGAGGCGCAGTGGGAGCACGTCGAGTCGGAGAACGCGGTCGAGGCCCGTGAGCACCATGTCAATAATGAGTACGGATTCGTACGAGAGTTTTTATCCTCCAGCCATGAACGTGGCGTCACCCGCTATGCCTAGGTCGGAAGAAAGTAGTTTACGGTATTTGGATGGGTGTTTACAGAATAAACGGACGAGGTCTGTGTCAAAGCGTCAAGAGGAGGAAATTCAGCTATTTTTTAAAGAAGACGAGTTATATGAGTGTGGGGAGGAGGATTGTTCGTTTATTAGCGAGGATATTGATGTGTTGGCACAACACAAAATCAGTAGGCATAGGCAACTGGCGCTCTTTTGGTGTAACTTCTGTGGGAAAAAATACACGTCGGGGTATGATCTTCTATGGTGTTGTTATGTTTTGATTGGATGATTTTTTTTAGTGAAGATCTTGAGATTCATAAAAGGACGCACTCGGAGCAATACGCGTGCGTGATTTGTCACAAGGAGTTTTACTACGACCGGGATCTTCTGGATCATTGGCAGGAACACGTCAAAAAGTCTGTACCTTGTAAAATTTGTGGGAAGAGGTTTGTGGATAAGGCTATTTGTAATAAACACCAAAAAAATGTTCATAGGAGGAAAATTCCCAGTCGGATTGATTATGATAAAGTTGTTGAGTCAAACAGTAAACAGAGTAATGGTTTTGAGGTTAGAATCCTGGTCCAGGATGGGGTTAGTTTGCTTGAAGACTAGTATCAGGGGCAATAATTTCAAATCACTTCAAGTGTCTTGTATTTTATGACTTCTATGAAGTTTGATATTGTTAAGGCCGTCATCAATGTCAAAGTTTATCACGAAATTGTTTAATTACCGTTTTTATTTACAAATGTACAATTTTATGCAACTTTAAGTAGCACGTTGTCGAAAATTAAGTGTAAAACTTGCAAATTCTCATTATGGTTTTACTGAGCTATTTTATTACCCATTGTCCAATTAATTTGTTATTAGGGTGATATTGTTTTTGATAAGAATAAAAACCGATTACGGAGTGCGTCACACCCATATCACTTTCTATTTTTAAACTAAAGAAAAAATATTTTATGTGTAATTTTTGAATAAATTTATTCAAAAGTAAACTGATTTTGATTTTTTCAAAATTGGACTCAAAAAATGACATTTCAAACACAGAAGTGAGGTTAGGTGCATGTTTTTTACCAGGAATGATAATCGACGGGTGAAAAGCACAAAAATTGATATTTTGACCAAAACCCAGATCAACTGCGTTAAAACTAATTTGTGGTAGCGAAAGACGCAACACCTCGAAAGTTCTGGTAAGTTTGCGCAACGTTGTGTCAGTTTAGGTTATCTTGTGTCGCAGCTAGGAAAATTTATTTTCCGCGATGGTGAAAATCGGGCTTCAAATTAAAGCCAGTTTGGAGCACGTCGAAGAATTGTACACGAGCCACCCCAATTATACTTTTTTGTTGAAACTAAAGTGTCTCAATTGTGGCGAGACGTCCGATAAGTGGCACGGCGTCACCGAGTCGGAAACTTTTCCCACGAAAATCGGAAAATCCGAGACTCACTATTCGGCCAAGTGTAAGCTGTGTGGGAGGGACAATAGTCTTGATATTATCGAAGGGAGCAACGGTAGCGCGTTGGTAACTGTAGCGCTCTGGTAACAGAATCAAATTAAATTTTAGGTAAATACACGAGCGAGGACCAGGAGAAATTTCAAACCATCGTGGTTTTTGACTGCCGGGGGATCGAGCCCGTGGATTTCTCCCCCAGCGACGGTTGGATCGCCAAAATCGAACAAAGCGGCAAAATTTTCGCCGACGTAGACCTCAACGAGAAGGAATGGGTAGAGTATGACGACAAAATCAAAGAGTCTGTAGGCGTCTACGATCTACAGTCGAATTTTATTAAGATTAAATAAAATATGTATAATAGAAGGTATCACACTAATTTCAGAACCTTATCAACATACCTACATATAGGTGATTTAATGTCTATACTAATCTATACATCGTACGTGCAAAACTGACTTAAAAATCATGTACAGGTTCAGTAACACAGTCAACACAAAGGGAATGAATTTTTGAGATTTTGACAATATCTTGCATTTATTGATCACATTTAGTACCGTGCTGAGACACTTAAAGCTTAATAAAAAAACAGAAGCCTCTCCTGGTGGCTGGCTGAAAGCATGTGCCAGCCGCGCTTGATGCTTAAGTACTGGAGAATAGCACGTATGCAGATTATCAAACCTAGAAAAAAAATTATGGTTGATTTCTTTTTTGTGTTTGTGTGTGTGTGTGTTGTTAATTTACCAAAAGTCATTATTAACCACCATAGCCAGCTATTGTCTTTAGACGCCAAATCCGTCGAGTGCTGTACTATGAAAGTCCATTTGGCTAAAGACAGCCCGAAACCTGATAGCGCGCCGTACCTTGACGCGATCGTGTGGCAGAAACACATCAACAATAAAAACCCGATCCAATTAAAAATGAAGGCGACTGAAAATCAAAAAATGAGTGTTTAATTTGGTTATTTGATGTATGGAAGTACCGAAAAACGCTATATAGAACATGAAATCTGTTCCTAATAAACTCGTGTCGACGTCTTCATTTGGCTCGTTCTCGACGGTGATGATCCTCTGCCCTGGTGCTCTGTACTGTGTTAACTAAAAGCAATGTTTTTGTTTTGGTTTGTACACTGAGTGTCTTACGCTTACCCTTGTGGGCGGTATGTTATTTATTGGTACGTTTTGTTCCTCTAGATTTTTCTCCCTTTGCACTTCTTCATACGTGGGTAATTTAGTTGTTTTGGTGGCAACTTCATAAGGAGGGGGCGCATAGAAGTCTGCTTTGGGGGGTGGAATGTCGTCGCTTGATGAGCTCGTGGGTACGAAACCTACACTAGGGACTGTCGTGGGGGTTCTGTGTCCGTTATCGGCCGCAGTTTCCGTAGGAGTGTCCTGTAACTGAACAAATGTGTCATGATAACATAAGGAACCAAACGACCTCCAATTACCGTCTCGCTCTGCCCATTGCCGCTAGGTAAACTCGGCTCCATCTCACCTCCTCACAACAACAATTCTCCGCGTTTTCCCACAACGACACACTTCAATTTCACAAAAACACACTATAAAACGGCATCCATTTTCCTCGAACGCTCGAATGTCAGCCAGCGAAACGCAAACGCAGCGCGGTCGCAGAAGGCCATGGAGGGGAAGCACTAATACCACAGTAATACCGCTAATCGTTTAAAATCGCGTATGCGCTATTCACAGAAATTCCTTATCAGCGACTTGTGGTGCAACAGCAAGGCAAAAATGCCTGACTTATCATGTTTCCGATAAAACCAGAAAATAGCGGGTTTAGTCAGCGGATGGCGTCCTATACTTAGCGCTTAGTTCCTCGACCGGCCACCCGTGGCGCGCCTCGAGCCGTGCTTTTTTTTGAGCTTAAACGCAACAGTTGACAGTTTTGTTTCGGTGGGTGAACGCGTCAAGTGTTGTACCAACGCGTGGTCCGTTCCTTCACTCAAAAACACGGACGTGGATAAAGGCGCTTTTTTTCGGGCGAGGGGGCCCCGGCCGTCGATGTGCGTTTGTTTTTCGGAAGTGTCAGTCGGTCGGAGCACACTTTGCGCTTGTTTGAAAAGTTGTTTGTTGTGGTCCTTGTGGTCGTAACAGTCTTAACTGGTGGAAAATTACGATTTGGTGCGGATTTATCAGTGCAGGACGTCTCGGCGGCATTCTCGAGGTAGGTCTTTGCTTTGTCGCGACTTTGTTTTTTTGGATGACAGGTCCTAACTCGATGCGTTTCGTAAGCCGCTCGAAATCGTGCTGATGTATATTCATAAGAATTTCCCATTAATGCTTGCTCTGCTGGGTTCTTTGCTCTGCTAAACATTCTATTCTCATTACGATGAAACCAGCTGGCCCATATCGCGAATTTCGTAGCACCTGTTTGACCAACTTCCGGTCGAGGAGGCGCGTTTTTCCAGTGTAGGCACCCCCGGGAGCACGTGTGTGTCAGTCGACACGTGGTGTTGCCAGACCCTGATTTGCGGAGGGTTGTTGGAGCGACATGTTCGGCGTAAGTTTAGTGTTATTTAACACCTGCGACGTCGCGATTGGTCCGAGATCCAACTTTTATGGAGCACACACCTTCGATTGGAGAACTCCGTTATATCGGTTTTAATTGTTGGGTTTTATAACACACCTTTGGTTACTTTCGTTGTGGCGATTGTGATGCAGTGGCGTAGGGTGGTGTGGGTGTTATTCAACGTAGAAAGTCAGATCATGACCGACGTTAACAATAATTGTAACAATTAATTCGTAATGCTGGACGCTGTATTTTACTTTTCTCCGATATACATCGCTGCAATAGAATAATGCGAAATTTACAATAGGTGACATAAAGTTTCAAGAATAAATATATAAATCCGAATTGAAAATTTTATATGCTGCGTAGAAACTTGCTTTAATGACGTAGTTTGTGGAGTCCTACTCTCAATCCAGGCTGCTGCAGACTTAAAACAGACAATTTAATTAACGATCTCATATATTTTAATTAAGTCGCACATCTTTTTCGTTTAAAAACAATACCGGTTGTCCTTCAGAAGATGGTATTTTTTTATACTTGTGTACGACAAGTAATCACTAGTTAAGACTGGTTAAGTCCTGAAGGTACGTCTATGTCAAGAAAATGACGTCATCAGTTTTTTTGAAGGAAGGAGCAAGTGCACTTTAAATTCCATTGTTTTTTCCGACAACTTCATTCTCTGTCGAAAATTTTACTAAAACCGAATGAGCTGTTCTCGTGGTATTTAAATCATGACCAAAATAATCTTGAAAGATTACGCTGACATTTAAGAGAACGCACTTTAAATTATTTACTGTGTAATCCGTAGAAAGGATGCTTTCATATATTTTTTTTTTTGTGAGTGGAACAAATACGTTAGTTGTTATATTAACAGTTGTCTCTGTGATTCCAAAATTTCAAGGGAAATAGCATTTTTGTGAGTGTACTTTTCAAATCCATTAATTAATTGCAAAATCCATATTCCTCCACAAAATTTTCGCTTTTATAACATGGTATAATTTCTTGTGGAGAAATGCGGATTTTGCAACTAAGCTTTGCCCATCGGCTCACGATGAATTAAAATATATTTTGTCCACTTTTTCTTATTATAAGAAGTCTTCTTTTCCCAACAAGAAACTGAAAACATCTTTAGCCATCTTGTTGTTCACAGAAAACTATATATATCAAGAAAAAAAAGATATGTATTTTCCTACAAAACAAAATATAGGCCCCACCCCCCCACCTCATCTCAATTCTGATGATTTTTTTATTCGTCGTGAGTTGAGAGGGGAAGCTTAATTGCAAAATGTAATTTTTTTCATAAGAAAATGCTATGTTAGAGACGAATCGGGTTCTTTAAAGAAAACTACGTTTTGAGTATAAAAAAAAGGGCCACCCACCCGCCCCGATCTCAATTGTGATGAATTTTTCATTCGTTATCAGACCAAGAGGCGGAGTTTAATTGCAAAATCCATATTTCTCTACAAAATTGTACCCTTTTTAAAATATATTTCAGATGGTAATTTCTTTTGGAGAAATGAGGATTTTTGCAATTAACCTTCGCCCCGTGATTCACGATGAATAAAAAAATCATCACAATTGAGAGAGGGTGGGTGGGCGGGGCTTATATTTTGTCCACTTTTTCTTAAAATAAGAAGTCTTCTTTTCCCAACAAGAAACTCAAAACATCTTTAACCATTCTGTTATTCGTAGACAACTATATATATCAAGAAAAAAATAAATAAATAAAGCACGACCTATCCGTCTCGATCTCAATTGTGATGAATTTTTCATTCATTGTTAGACCGAGGGGCGGAGCGTAACTACAAAATACATACACCACAAAAATGTACCATTTTGAACGTGTTTTAAATTTCTTGTTATGAAAAGAAGGCAACGTACGATAAAAAAAAACAAAATATATGCCCCGCCCACCCACCCCATCGCAATTCTGATGATTTTTTTATTCGTTGTGAGTCGAGAGGGGAAGCTTAATTGCAAAATGCCTATTTTTTTTTATAAGAAAAGGCTATGTTAAACACGAATCGTGTTCTTTAAAGAAAACTATACGGTTTGAGTAAAAAGAAGCCAAAGATTAAGCCCCACCAACCCGTCCCGATCTCAACTGCGATGAGTTTCTCATTCGTAATCAAACAAGGGGCGGAGTTTAATTGCAAAATCGATATTCCTCTTTAAAATTTTACCCTTTTAAAACATATTGCACATGGTAATTTCTTGTGGATAAATGAGGATTTTGCAACTAAGCTTCGAACCTCGGCTCACGATGCATAAAAAAATCGTCACAATTGAGAGGGGGTGGGTGGGCGGGGCTTATATTTTGTCCGCTCTTTCTTAATATAAGAAGGCTTCTTTTCCCAACAAGAAACTGAAAACGTCTTTATCCATCCTGTTGTTCACAGAAAACTAGATAGGTATATCAAGAAAAAAAAAAAAGATTAAGCACGATCTACCCGTTTCATTCTCAATTATGATGAATTTTTCATTCGTTGTTAGATCGAGTGGCGAAGCGTAACAGCAAAATACAGATTTCCCTACAAAAATGTACCATTTTGAACGTGTTTTAAATCTCTTGTTGTAAAAAGAAGGCAGCGTATGTTAAAAAAATTAAAATATATACCCCGCCCACCCACCCCATCTCAATTCTGATAATTTTTTTATTCGTCGTGAGTCGACAGGGGAAGCTCAATTGCAAAATGCTTATTTTCTATAAGAAAATGCTATGTGAAACACGAATCGTGTTCTTTAAAGAAAACTACGTTTTGAGTATAAAAAAAGCCCAAGATTAAGCCCCACCCACCCGCCCCGATCTCAATTGTGATGAGTTTCTCATTCGTAATCAAACGAGGGGCGGAGTTTAATTGCAAAATCGATATTCCTCTATAAAATTTTACCCTTTTAAAACATATTTCAGATAATAATTTCTTGCGGAGAAATGAGGATTTTGCGATTAAGCTTCCCCTCTCGGTACACGATGAATAAAAACATCATCACAATTGAGAGCGGGTGGGTGGGCGGGGCTTATATTTTTTTCCATTTTTTCTTATTATATGAAGTCTTCTTTTCCTAACAAGAAATTGAAAGCATGTTTAAGGATCGTGCTGTTCAAAGAAAACTATATATGTATTAAGAAAAAAAAGCACGACTCACCTGATCCCGATCTCAATTGTGGTGAATTTTTCATTCATTGTTAGACCGAGGGGCGGAGCGTAACTACAAAATACATACACCACAAAAATGTACCATTTTGAACGTGTTTTAAATTTCATGTTATAAAAAGAAGGCAACGCACGATAAAAAAAAAACAAAATGTATGCCCCGCCCACCCACCCCATCGCAATTCTGATGATTTTTTTATTCGTTGTGAGTCGAGAGGGGAAGCTTAATTGCAAAATGCTTATTTTTTTATAAGAAAATGCTGTGTGAAACATGAATCGTGTTCTTTAAAGAAAACTATACGTTTTGAGTAAAAACAAGCCAAAGATTAAGCCCCACCCACCCGTCCCGATGTCAACTGCCATGAGCTTCTCATTCGTAATCAAACAAGGGGCGGAGTTTAATTGCAAAATCCTTTTAAAACATATTTCACATAGTAATTTCTTGTGGAGAAATGACGATTTTGCAACTAAGCTTCGAACCTCAGCTCACGATGCATAAAAAAATCGTCACAATTGAGAGGGGGTGGGTGGGCGGGGCTTATATTTTGTCCGGTCTTTCTTAATATAAGAAGGCTTCTTTTCCCAACAAGAAACTGAAAACATCTTCATCCATCCTGTTGTTCACAGAAAACTAGATAGGTATATCAAGAAAAAAAAAAAAGATTAAGCACGATCTACCCGTTTCGATCTCAGTTGTGATGAATTTTTCATTCGTTGTTAGACCGAGTGACGGAGCGTAACAGCAAAATACAGATTTCCCTACAAAAATGTACCATTTTGAACGTGTTTTAAATTTCTTGTTGTAAAAAGAAGGCAGCGTATGTTAAAAAAATTAAAATATATACCCCGCCCACCCACCCCATCTCAATTCTCTTTCTCAAAAAGTCGAGAAACTCAAATTGAAAACTTTTTTGCATTTTCCCAACTTTTCAATTTTCATTGTCTCGATTCTATATCACAATTTTAATTTGTCGTTTCCTATATTTTTTTCACTGTTTCGTTTATTCAGTTCTTCAAATTTTTAATCCTTGATATTTTAGTTCCAAAATTTTTCAATTTTTCAGTTCCGCAATTTTTGGATTCTCAATTATCCGATTTTCCGAAAAATTGCAACTGAAAAACGAAAAATCGACATATTGAAAAATTAAAAAATGAAAAGTTGAAAAATTGCAAAACGAAAAATTGAAGAAAAAAAACATTGATAAAACGAAAATTATAAAATTGAAAAATTGGAAAAATAATAAATATTATAAAATTTACTTTGATTAATAGTAAAAAAAATATTTTTTTTATTTCTGCAGTTTTACGATGTGCTTTTGAGGTTTTTTAAGCTTTCCATTCTTTGATTTTCAAACTTTTGGATGTGTTAACTTTTATATTTAGTAATTTTTCGGTTTGCAGTTCCACGAGTGTTCAATTGCATTTTAAGTTTCTTGTTGTGAAAAGAATGCAACGTACGATAAAATAAGCCCCACGCACCCGCCCGATCTCAATTATTGT